GTCGTTCCTGGTCTCCTTAAACCTCGCTCTAGACTACATGTTGGAGCATTTAATGTACGGACATTGTGTCAAATAGGGCAACAGGCTTCCTTAGCTATGACTTTAGAATCTCGTGCCATCGATGTATGCTGCGTCTCGGAAACGCGCATACAGGATCCGAGTCACGTCATACACTTGACCACACCATGTCAAAATAAAGAAGCAGCTCGATTTACTCTTCGTGTATCCGGTAGCCCTGATGCTGCTTCCCGGGGTCTTGCTGGCGTAGGCATAGCATTGAGTCGTAGGGCAGAACAATCTCTCCTTGACTGGATCCCAATAGATAGTCGATTGTGCGCTGTCCGACTAAACGGGACAGTAAGGACTCGGAAAGATAGGGACAATCGCCGTTGTCTCTTCATCGTATCTGCCTATGCCCCCACTGACTGCAGTTCAGACGAGGTTAAGGATGAGTTTTACAGAAAGCTTTCGGACCTCCTCCAAAAAGCTAGGCGCTCTGATATAGTAATAATGGCTGGTGACTTTAATGCTCAAGTAGGTAAACTAAGTGAGCAGGAGAGACACCTAGGTGGATGTTATGGTGTTGCGGCTCAGAGAACAGACAATGGTGACCGTCTGTTGCAAACATGCTCAGACAACCGCCTATTCTTAGCAAACACTAACTTTAGGCATAAGGAAAAGCACCTGTTGACCTGGCGACCTCCAAAGTCGTCTCAACGTTGGACTCAACTAGATCACATCGCCATCAGCCACCGATGGAGGGGTTCGATAGAGGACTGTCGCTCGTTCTGGGGCACATGTTTGGATTCAGATCATGCCCTAGTGCGAGCGCGTATTTGTTTGAAGCTTACTGGACGTAGGAAAGACACCGTAAGAAAGCCTCTTAGGGTTTTGCTTAATGATAATAAGGCGAAAAATATATTTCAGGAACAACTAGAAAGACAGTTAGGCGACCATTTAAGCGATTCCCATCCGGAAGCAGGATGGAATGATATCAAAAAGGCTGTAGAAACAGCAGTGATATCTGCTAGTGAGGTTGACCATAAGGCTAGAATGAAACCGTGGATCTCAGTAGCATCCACCGATCTGATGGATGCCCGAAAACTCATCCCACCTGGCTCTGAGCATGATGAAGAACGAAGTCAACTTAGGCGCAGACTTATGAAAAGCCTACGTAACGATCGCGAGCAGTGGTGGGTGGCGAAAGCAAAAGCGATGGAAAAGGCAGCGGCGATCGGCAACAGTAGACAACTTTTCCGCCTTATTAAAGAAACTGGTATTAAGAACCCGAATGTGAGTGAGACTATCTCGGAAAAGGATGGTCTTATTATCCATTCTCAATCCAGGAGACTGGATCGATGGGCAGAACACTTTAGGGATCAGTTCAACTGGCCACGAGCCACTCTTCAGTTACCCACGATCTCCAGTCATCCTGAATGGCAAATCGACCTAAGTCCCCCTAGTCTTAATGAAGTTGAGAAAGCGTTAGGAAATCTGAAACGAGGACGAGCTGCAGGTCCTGATAGACTTACCCCTGAGATATTTAAGGATGGAGGTCCAGTTTTATCAGCTAGGTTGACTGAGATCTTAGGTAGAATCTGGGAACTGGACGCAATCCCATCCGACTGGTCTCAATCCTTGATTGTCCCAATCTATAAGAAAGGACAGAAGTCTTCTTGTGACAATCACAGGGGAATAAGCCTAACTAACATAGTATCTAAAATATTGGCCTCAATAATACTTCGACGCTTAACGAAAGCTCGTGAAGAGCAAACTCGGGAAAACCAATCTGGTTTTCGACCTGGACGTGGCTGTATAGACCACATTTTCACACTACGACAGGTCCTGGAACACAGACACACATTTAGGCGTCCTACAATAGTTGTTTTCCTGGACCTTAAGGCGGCATTTGACTCAGTGGATCGTGAGGTTCTGTGGCAGTGTCTGTCATTGAAAGGTGTACCACAGAAGTACATTAACCTTATACAAGCCCTATACTCGAACACCACTGGTCGAGTGAGGGCTTATGGCGAACTGTCACCGGAATTCTCTACATCAAGTGGTGTCCGTCAGGGATGTCCACTTTCTCCATTCTTGTTCAATTTTATCATAGACATGCTCCTAGAACTTACCTTATCCTCGTCTGAATTTTCAGGAGTAGACCTTTTACCAGGTGGCTCGCTTATTGACTTAGAATATGCCGATGACATTGTCCTACTTGGTGAAGACGCTGAAAAAATGCAGAGTCTTCTGACTACCCTAAGCAACAATGCAAGCATGTTCGGGATGCGGTTTTCCCCCTCGAAATGCAAAATGTTGCTTCAAGATTGGGTTGCATCGGTTCCTGAACTAGTGATAGGGAGTGAAGTGGTCGAACGTGTAGACCGCTTCACCTATCTTGGGAGTCTCATCAGTGCTGATGGCCTGGTGACTGACGAAATCTCGGCACGGATACAGAATGCTCGATTGGCTTTTGCCAACCTGCGTCACTTATGGCGTAGGCGAGATATCCGTTTGCTGACTAAAGGACGAGTGTACTGCGCAGTGGTTCGCTCCGTCTTACTTTATGGCTGTGAAACATGGCCAGTGAGAGAAGAAGATATTCGTAGGTTACTGGTTTTCGATCATAGGTGTCTTCGAAGCATTGCTCGTATATCGTGGGACACCCGAGTGACCAACGCTGTTATTAGGAATCGGGTGCTAGGTAAGAATGGCAGATCAATCGATGAAGTATTGAAACTTCACCAGTTGCGGTGGTTGGGACATGTGTTGCGTATGCCCAACCACCGACTGCCTCGTCGAGCCTTGTTTTGTAGTGTAGGAATAGGTTGGAAGAAAGCTAGGGGCGGCCAAACCAAAACATGACAGAAATCCATGAAGTCATTGACTAGTGGACTGAGCCATGTCGGTAATTGTCTACTACCTGGTTGGGGTCCGGTAGATGATAATAATCGATAGTTAGAGACCTTGAATGACATGGCTCAAAATCGTTCGCAATGGCGCCAGTGCATTTATTCTTTGTGTTCTCTCAAATCCTAATCTTCTGAGTTCTTCAACACCTCTAGCTTTTACTTTCTAAACTTATCTCATTGAATCACACTTCGTGAATAATATCTTCTCATCCTAACCTCTCCGATTACTTCTAATACCTTTACTACCTCTTCTACTATTGGATTTGAATTGACAATTATATCTCTGTGCTGATGTGGTATGGCGACATGAACTGATGTACTTACGTACGAAGTTCTACGTTGCAACTGACTGACTGACTGACTGAGTAGAAGTATTAGCGGTAATGAGGAAGATTAGAGTTCGAAGAATTTATTTCAGATGTACAATCCAGTGAAATCAATTTAAAAAGATCACGAAGAATTCAGATTAGAATTTAAGAAAAGACAATGGTTACATCTTTGTCGTCGAAAACCATTTTGAGCCATGTCATTCAGTCTCTGACCGTCGGTAACAATTGTCTGGCGTACCTCAGCCAGAGAGCCTGCACTTATTAACATGGACCAGTTCAGTTGTCTGTGACTTCATGGATTTGTGCTGTTTTAGTCTGGTCGCTCATTGCTTTCTTTCAGCTTACCCCTACATCACAAAACATGGCTCGTCGAGGCAGTCGGGGGTTCGTAACACATGTCCCAACCACTTCAACTGATGAAGATTCACTACTCTATCAATTGGTCTGTCATCGCCGCCTAGTACCCGTTTCCCAACAACAGCAGCGCTTACTCAGTTGTTGAAGTAAATACGAGCAGTGGGTCTAAGACAACGGTGATCGAATAACAATAACTTATGAATATCCTCTACTTTTTCCTGTCACTAATATTCCGGGACTTATCATGATGATTTCATCTTTGTGTTGTGGCGACCACAAAGAAGTCAGGCGACTTGTGTGCTGAATCCATAAACTATGCCACGTGATTTTTCTAACAATATAATTCTAACTGGAATTCAGTTACCTTGTAACTAATGTTTAAATCTGATGAGATTTATACAGCTTACACTGCAGCCACCTCGGAAATAATCAAGATCAGATATACACTACTCAAATAATTGCAATATAAGATCTACTACAGACATAACCTAATGTGGCATGACACTATTTTTGTGTATATATACCAGTGGCCGATGACCACATATTGAACGTACCCATGTCTTCTGGTCGTTTTTCAATTTTCTGCAGCTAGCGTTATCTTAGTTCCTGCTCATGACACACTTCCTTAGGTGTTGTGACGTGAGGTACAGTATCTTCGGTTCATATAGAACTATCTTAAACCTTATATTACCTAAATCTGTTGGACGGACATTACGAATCTTAGCTTCATCTCATGTCGTGGTACAACGTTAACAATATTCACTGTGGTATTTACCAATAAACTGCCTAGATCAGGGCGTTACTTACCGGTTAGATACGACCGCCGTTTTGGCAAATGCAACGGAGTTGTACTAGGAACAGTTAGATTCTCTATCAATCTGATTAATCAAAAGATGTATTGTTATTATAAACAAATAGTTAGACGTAAAACTACTTGTGACAACTGGTAGTTTACCGAATATAAAACTTGGTGCGACTGGTTAACAACAGATGTGTAAATCAAATCTTAAGAAGTAACTGATAAACTAACTAAGATTATAGATTTATAAATAGAACAAGACAAGAAAATATTTTGGAGTAAACTTTTTCACATAACCGGACAATAATACCTTATATAAACAATTAAACTCAAAGGTTTATTTAGCAGTACCATAATACTTAGTGTTCAACATAGTTATTACCTATTCACATAATATGGTGGTTTTTGGTTTATGGACAAACGCTTTTATTACATGGGATAACTGAGCAAATAAAACATTAAACGAACACATTATAGGTGAGTTCTGTTTCTTGGACGAAATTTGTTTTGCAGTGGCATATATATATATATATATATACATATATTTATCTTGAAGCAGAATAAAAAGCAGAACAACATAGAGAATATGATAAAGTGTTGATTTTAAACAGTTTCATCATCGTCTGTAATAATATTTGGGTGTGGATTATCAACTTCAGCCTTCAAGCCCTCTCTGTTATTCGAATCTACGGTGTGAATCTCGACTGCTTGACTTTCGGCTAGATTTACAAGGTTGTCAGTAATCATAACACTACTGGAGTTTAAAACTGGTTTATGATCAAGCTCTGTAGAATGCGGTGTGTAATCTTTAGGTCCAAGTATTTCAGTATTTACTGAGTGGGGTACAGCGACAGAAGATGCAATATTTAATTCACTAGCTGCTTCGTCTAATAACTGAGCAGTACCAGCATGAATACTGTTATTGGATGTTATACAGTTTGAATCTGAAATAGATGCGATACATTCAGATGCCTCATCCAATGAAAGAAGAACTTGAGCTCTTGATGAAGAGTCTGAAGAAACCAGTGGTTGTGCCTGTAAACTGTACATAATTTGTTGCGGATGACCATCTACACTTGCAATTACTGCACCCATGTGAGTGCCTAGCAGGGCACCGGCTTGCTGTAGAAACAAGGTCGGTCTTTGCTAGGATTAGTAAATAAGAGTAAAAAAGAAAGAGAAAAAGCATCTAGATTTAACTAGTGTTACATACAATAAATACACTAGATGGACGTTCGCAAAACAATGATGCACAGTGAGATATATTGTGAATAGATATGAAAGAAAACCGTTGAGAAAAAGCTTTTACACTTTATATGTATGTATGTTAATATTACCGTGTACATTCAGTGTGCAAATATCAAGGTAACAGTAGATCTTTTATTACTGTACAGCAAATCTAGTTCAATTAAATTGTTTTAAAAACTTTCCCCAGGCATGCATTAAATAAAATGCTTAAAGTTGATTTTTTATCAGAGGTGAAAAATACGCGTATGAATGAATACTCTGAAAAACGAATGGACACACAAACATATACATACACACAGTAAGAGAACAACATCTGGTCAAGTTCATTTTTGTACAATATGCATGTTGTTGACACAAAAATTTCATCTATAAAATTATATACTTATAAAAAAGACACAAAAATAGTAATTAACAGAGGAACAACAACTGTAATATAACATAGAAATCAATAATTTTAATGAGACAACACAGTTTAATAATCTAAAAGTAATAATGATTATAATGTTTATAACCGAACATTCATGCATTGTAGATAGATAAGGAGGAGAGTATGAGCAATGAAAGGAAAAAGGAAGATTTCAGAATAGAAATAAACATGCAACATAAGTTGGTCAAGAACAACAACAACAACAACAATAGAATGATTAAATGTTCATACGAGTAAAATGAAATGAACATAAGCATGAGATATGAAGAGGTATACAACACTTTTTTATATGATTAATGTATCAGGCATAAAACAGTACATACAGAGAGAGAAAAAAAGGAATAAAAAAAGATGTGTGTGAAAATTCATACGGACAGATTAACAGCCACTTGCGATACTTACACCAGCAGTGGATTCTGGCATCTAAATAAAACGGGAAAAAAAAGAATGTACATAGTTTTATTGTTATTAAAAAGGATTGGTAGCATTTTATTACATTTAACTGATAAATATGCGCTGTTGTCAATATGAGATAAATAGTGTTAGATGCATTTCAATATTCTACAAACTTTTAAATAATATCATTAAGTTGAATCGGGGGTAGATTTGAAAAGTTGCTCTTCTATAATTATCTTACGGAGAATTATTGTTTGTATTTTTACTCTATAAAAATTAAATACTTGGATATTATTTTATTTACATGTTTTCATTAACTGCCAATATAAGATTTACCAGCCCTAAATCATAGTTAATAGATAGATGCCCCCATTACTACGGTTTATCATTACATTGTAGGCTAGTAATAAATGTACGTAAGTCCAAGTTTTGAGTCGACTTTGCCTTAGAAGCAGCTCGTTGGCCCATTGAAGTGTTAAGGTCTCAGTCGCTTGTTCATTGGTCCTGCAAGCGATAAGCGGACGAGATTATATATATATATATATATATATATATATATATATATATATAATTTGCAAATGTTACAATCACATGGACCTTCGCCAGAAAAAAGTAACCTATTATTTTTGAATTTACAACACGTACAAAAATTCGTTTATTAGTGAAGGTTATAGCTCAGATAATCGTGAAGGTAATAATTAATGCTTTATTAAGCTTAGTATGGCATTCAAAAGAGTCTAGTACAAGATAGCATATTTTTACGTATTGTTAAGTGATTAAAATATTTAAGACAGACTATGATATTAACTAAACTCTATTGATATGAGTTATTTTACTAGAAAAAAGTAATAAACTTAAGCCAAGACTGATAATCAAACTTCGTCTGTACAAATAACATCATTTGAACATTTTTACTGAAATAATCTAGAGATAAGAATTAGAAATTATTTGATGATTTTTTAGTTAGTTGGCTCATTTATCACTGCATATACACGGAGTATAGAAATCTACAGAATGTGTTCAACGAGAACACTCAGATGTACTCAAAATATAACACAGAAGTATGGTGGCTGATAGATGATGGTAATAGAGAAGAGAACTCGCGTACTGTTATGGAAAATGTTATAGTACACTATGACAATGAAGCAATGTGAGTGCGATTTACAGAAAAAGTCAAACTACCTGAAGCTGTAAAATTTGAGCTCTACTTCCTCCAGCCTCTTGAATGATTGGAACTGCTATGCCACCTGGTTGAGAGACGACTTGAACTAAAGGAAGGGTATTTCCGTCAGCAAGAATAGCACCAGCTTGTCCGGCAGATACAGCGTCGGTATTAACAGTCTGTTGTGAATGTTGGTTGAATATTTGAATAAAATCAATATTTTAATTGTTTATTACAACTGGAATTGTTTGTAAGGTGTATAAACAATATGTACTATAACATGAAAAAGAACTTGGAGGCTAATATAAAACCAATGATATAATTGTAAACTGGATATTATCGTATATTAGTGGTTTGGTGTTTGTAATATAAGTCTAAGCCATCGATGGATACAGTTCAGTCGATTTATTTGTTTCACAACTCTACAAATGAAATCGTTTACTACAAAACACAGATCAACAGTAAAATGATTATAAGAACGAATAGATAAAAAAGGCGAACAACAATTACGACTTCATGAACTGGTGCCATGTTTCGGTTTGGCCGTTCTTACCATTCTTTCAGCATACTCCAACAGCAGACAACACCGCTCGTCAAGGTAGGCATGTGTAACATATATCCTAGCTACATCAGCTGATGAAGATTCATTAGATCATTAAACGATTTCCCATCTTCCTTTACTTAATACCCAAACTACTATCCCACGTATATTAACTACAGTAACAAACATAAGGCCTTTCAGATAGATTTTTATTTTATTGTCGAATGAGGGACCTCAGAAATTCATATCCTCCAATTGCTTATGACACCTAATAATACTGACTTTGTGTCTAAAGATTTCATTCCATTACTCAGTAGCCTGATTTTTGGCTATTTGGAGACTTACATCATCAATTCAAATTTTGTAGGCAGTCTCTATGTTGGGCGCATGATGTCGTAGGACCTTACCCATCTATTAGGATTCACTTGATTACTTTTTATACGGTTAAAACCTAAGTCATCCAAATTATAAATCTCTGAGAACTAGGTCTTTGAATGAACAAAAATGCCTATTACTATACGATGATATACTTTATCTCGGGTTTTTGTCACAATCACTTTCCATCCAATCATATCTAAGTGGTTGATGTCAAGCATAAAGGCATGTTTATCTAATACATAGACGGTACCAGTGCATCAGCTAAATGAAATTCACCACTGTACATTAACTTCATTGACTGAAAGCATTCGACAGCGTGGACAAGATGACACTATGAAGGCTTTTCGAAGATAGTCAACATCATACGAAATTCTTGTGATGGACGGAACTGCAAAATCGTGCATGGAGGACAGCTCACAGACTTGTTTTAATTGAAAACCGGTGTCGGGCGACCTGCTTGTCGACACCATCAGCAACAACCTACTATGGAAGAGGATAAACCAGATTCCAGCTGATGACGAAATCAGGAAGAGGTGTTAGAGGTGGATAGGACACACTGTAGAAATCACGCAAATGTGTCACAAGACAAGCTCTCTCTTGGAATCCTCAAGGACAAGGGAAAAGAGGAAGGCTAAGAAACACATTACGCCGAGAAATAGAGAAAGATATGAGAAGAATGAACAAAAAATTGGACAGAAATGGAAAAGGAGGGTCAGACATGAAAAGAATGAACAGTAGTTGGATAGCACTGGAAAATAAGACTCAGGACAGAGTAGGTTGGAGAATTCTGGTTGGCAGCATATGTTCCATTGGGGATAACAGGCGTAGTTAGGTTAATGTACTACTGTATCACGTACTCAAGTTGTTTACACAAGTCTGAATCGATCGTTACTGTCCTCTTTAGACATTAAACATTTATGTAAATTTAGTGCGTTTAATTGTTGGTTATCTGATTATTTTTTCGGGAATAAAAATTTTTAATAATTACTATTTAGATAAGCGGTCTGTTATCCCATGAACTGTATAAGAAATACATTTGATTATCCCATTGTTTGTGTTTTGACTGAATTTTAATGTCTTAGTTGGCATATGTGCCTTCAGTGTGGATTGATTCGATATAGTTACTGTCACAAGTATTTATAGGAGATAATAAATATGACTATCCGTGTGATACAGGGACCGCATTTCATTTTATTCGGGATTCGTCAGCCTGATGTACCTGCATCCTAGAGTTAACGATCACGTTGAGATTTGAACACGCAATCTTTCACTTTAAAAGCCAACCCATTATCCACTCTTCTGATTACCCTAAGCAACGATGCAAGCATGTTCGGGATGCGGTTCTCACCCTTGAAATGCAAAATGTTGCTTCAAAATTGGGTTTCATCGGTACCTGAACTAGTGAAAAGGAGTGAAACAGTCGAGCGTGTTGACCGCTTCACTTATCTCGGGAGTCTCAGTAGTGCCGATGGCCTGGAGACTGACGAAATCTCAGCTCGGATACAGAAAGCTCGATTGGCTTTTCCCAATTTGCGTCATATATGGCGTAGGTGAGATATCCGTTTGCTAACCAAAGGACGAGTGTACTGCACAGTAGTTCGCCTGGTCTTACTTTATGGCTGTGAAACATGGCCAGTCAGAGTAGAAGATATTCGTAGGTTACTGGTTTTCGATCATTGATCGAGTATCATGAGACTGCTGAGTAAGCAATGCTGCCATTAGGAAACAGGTACTGGGTAAGGATGACAGGTCAATAGATGAAGTAATGAAACTTCATCAGTTGAGGTGGTTGGGACGTGTTACGTATGCCTAACCACCGACTGCCTCGACGAGCTATGTTTTGTGGTGTAGCAGTAGGCTGGACGAAAGCTAGTGGTAGCCAAACCAAAACATGGCACAAATTCATGAAGTCACTGACAAGTGGACTGAGTCATGTCGGTAGGTGTCGACTAGCTTGGTTGAGGTCCGCGAGGGATAATAATCAATGGTTAGAGACTCTGAGTGATATGGCTCAAAACCGTTTGCAATGACGCAGGTGTTCTATGAAATTCTAACCTTCTGAATTCCTCATCGCCTCTATCTTTCTCTTTATAAATTTACTTCACTGGATTATACTTCTCGAATAATATCTTCGAACCCTAATCTCTCTAATTACTAGTAATACTTTTACTACCTCTGCTACTATGGGATTTTAAGTGACAATTATATATATATGTGCTAATGTGGTATAGTAACTTGAGCTGCTGTACTTACGTGCAAAGTTCTACGTTGCTGTTGATGATGATGACTTAGTTACTGAGTTCAGATAGCCACAGATATAACTTCTACTTAAATTTGTTACAGTTTGGCTAATCTCGCTGACAATATTTTGCAGGTGTACATCCCAAACAGAATGAAACTCGCATCAAGGATTTTATTGGAAGCAACATTTCACCTATTCTGTAAAAGTTGATTTTTGTTTACTATTAACCAATTCGTGCTGCATAACTATTACCTAGATTGATACAAGAGAATTCTGAAGTATCTTAAATAACGGAGTGGCTGTTGCAAAGAAAAATTTCTACGAGAACATCTATTAGAAGACAATGACCTTCATTACAATAAAAGCCTCCAGTTAAATAATCATAATAAAGTATCGGAGGAATGATCTCATTACCTAATTCAAGGCGAACACCAATTTTAGGCAGTTTCCTATTGATAGTGTGATTTGGCGAAATCTTCCAATGAAGTTTAGAAAATATCACTTACCAGGAAAAATATAACCATTAATACGTGAACGTGATGTGTTATAAAAGAATATTTTCAGAATGTATAACACTATATCTACTTATACAAAACAAAATCTAAACAATGTGCTTAATGTGACCTTTGTTTTGACGTCGAAAATTTTGGAGATGATTTAAGCAGATCAATTTCCAAGCCGCAATTTTGGGTATTTACAAACAAGAATTCTATATTCAGTGTTACGTTATTATTTACTTGAATTGTAAATAATTATCGGACCTATAAACCTTGATTCACTTACCTGGAAATGTTGAGGAAGGACTTGTATCTGAAACGGCTGACCAGCTGATGCTCCAGCTGCACCAACCGGAAGTTGAAGAACGTATTGCAAGGGAGCTGCAGTGGTAGCCACTGTGGTAGCGTTGGGTGCTGAGGCGATTACAGTTGACCCAGAATTAGCTGAAGACTGAGCGACAGCTATACCACTGCCAGACGAGATCGTTGTAAAATGAACAGCTGTAGGTTGATTTTGTTGGACTAATGTTTGACATGGAATGCCCGAATTAACGGACGTTGCTCCGGCAAGGGCTGCAGATGCCAGAGCGACAGTTACTGTTTGTGGTTGGGTTGAAGATCCCGTAACATCGTTAGACAAACCGGAAACAACCACCTGGCCAGAGTTTTGTCCTAGAGATAATGAATGAGTATCATTCGTATTTGCAAGAAAATTGTTTCTATGTGATGGATTTTCTGACTTAATATTCATTGAATTCCCATTAGCGTTTGAAGTTGACGTTGTTTGTGTTGGCTTTAATCAATAAAAATAGTGTAACATCAAGGTTTATATAATAATTAAATGTAATGTAGTGTAGAGTGATATATTAAAGATGAAATGAACTAATAGTACAAATTTAATATAGCTGTACAGTGTGTTTTAATGATTTAATTTGCGACATTCGATCTTACAATGACTGAAATAATAAATAGTGTAAAAACTAGGTGAACATTTGTACCACAAACACTGTTGATCAAAAAAATAAAAATTTCCGTAGATTTTAGCTGTACATTATTTTTTTAAGGAGACGAAAAACATCCTAGCACGAAAGAGATGTTGCTAAAATCATTGAATGCGTCTTTAGTAAATATTAGTGGTAAATTGCTTGAACAAGACTCCTAGACTTGACAATCATAATAATAATGTTTGTCTCAAGTACTAAGGACTTACCTATACCTGAATATATGATCATATCTTTAAGAGTTATAAGCTGACCTCGAATTTAGCATAATAATTACTGGTAATCACATGGAAGAAAATGAATTTCTTCTGTTTTATATAAAGAGATGAATATTTTTGTTAATTATTCAGAGAACTAGGTTATGTAATTTTACTAGTTCAAACAACTGCAATCAGGCAGTTTTTAGTTTTAATTTATCTACAATGGCTAACAAAATATGAGTGTATGTAAAAAAGTGGCTGAACTAATCTATATTTTTCTAAATGACGTTACTGTCCAAATATGCAAACTCGAAGCTGTTTCATAGTTAAATGATATTTAAGAGAATGACCAGTTAGAAGACAAGAAGTTATTATTAGGAAAAAAGCGACGAATTTAATAATTCCTAGAAATTGTGAATTTTTCAAGTAAGATGATGTAATAAACAATTATACTGAAACAACTCAAATAAAAATTTACCCGACGATGTCCTCTTGCTTCTTCACGAGGTACAATATCAATAAGAAAGTCAAATTGATCTGTGTCTCCATCACTGACTGCCATTGCTATATCATTTCTCTGAAGGGTACGCCGACGATTACGTTCTGTGTGAATCCATGCCCTTAACGTTAGCTCTCGTATAAAAAGTTCAGCTGCTTTAGCAAACAATATCGGTGCTTCAGCACTTATCATCTTATGAGTAAAAAGTACAAGGATAAGCAGGAAACAGTGAATATTTAAAAAAAATTTCTGAAACCAAATTGTAATAATTTATCGAGTACTGGGGCCGTTAAGAAAAACCTAATCTTTTTTCATTGTGAATTTATAGAAGTTGAATGTCATCACTATGAATAATAGAGATGGCCTACTAAGATTAGAATTAATATTAAATCTCTGATTATTTAAGATAAAAAAAATATTACATACTCAACTAACTAGAATACTTTAATTAGAAAAGCATTTACAGAGTTATATGGACTCTTAAATATTTCAGCCATGACGCAGAAACCATTATATACAAAAGTGTAAAAGATCTTAGTGATAGTTTACATTTTGCAAATGAAGTTTTGTGATACAAAATGACTCTTGATTGACAAGACGAATTTAGACTTATTTAGAATAGACCTTTATTTTAAAAGAGGTAAAAGATTACTTGCAAACAAACAGACAAGGTAGACTTATATAACCAGAAACTGCTGAATGATGTGGAAGGTTATGTGAACTGTAACAATTTGAACAACGATAAGCAATTAATGTACGAAAGGTTCAATCTATAAGTACAAGATTTAAGAGTTTCGCTTCAGATATCATCTGTGTGACGTCAGTGGCTTGAAACAAAACCATATCTCTGCAGATGTGTTAAGGAAATGAACACTAATTTAAGTCAGTCGGCCAGTCAGTTACAATGTAGAACTTCGTACGTACGTTCATAAGTTCAGGTTGTCATACCGCATTAACACAATGATATGCTTGCAGCTACTACAAGTTCACCTTACTCGGTAATCAGAACTAAGACCAATGATTCAGCGACGCGGTAGGCTACTCTAATCCGATCGTCTTGATAAGGCGTAGAGAAATGTATTCCACAGGCACCCAGAAAGTAAGAGATCCACAAGCACACAACTCAAGCTTAATTATACAATGATAAAACGCACTTGGTAGGAGCCACAAAATAGCATACTAAAATAACCCATCAACGAATGAGTCAAGGGTTTCCCGAGTGGGAAAGGCGAGCTGAAGGTCAAATAAACGTCATTGGCGCGAAAACATAAAATTCAAAATCTCAGAATAAAATTGCAAAATTAGGACCTTTCCCAAGCGAGTTCTTGGAATCTAACTTCGCCAACACAAACACGCAACTGTCAGATCAGATCCCATAGTGGTAGAGACAGTAAAAGTATTACTGGTAATGGAGAAGATCAGTATTGGAAGATATTATTCAAGAAGTACAATTCAGTGAAATAGATTTGAAAGGGGAAAAATAAAGGCAATGATATACTAAGAAGATCAGAATTTGAAAGAACAGAGTGGATGAAGCTGTGCCCTTGTAAACGATTTTGAGACATGTCGTTCAAGGTCTCTAAACATCCGTTACTATAGTCTCGCGGACCCCGACCGGGTAGTCTACATCTACCAACATGACTCAGTCCACTTGTCAGTGACTTCAGGGATCTGTACCATGTATTGGTTTGGCCACCCCTAGCTTTCTTCCAACTTACTCTTACACTGCAAAACATCGCTTGTCGAGTGAATTTATACTAATTATAGGCAGTTCAACCCGTAAATCGGGACATCACACTAAGATCGAAAATGTGATGAATTTGTAATGAGAAGTGATTATTAAGGTAATGAGGCTGCATGTAGCCACTGATAACCTGGTAAAACAAATCTATTTTCGTTTTACTTTTTAACTCTCGTTTGTTTGTTCAAATACTAATTATTTCTTTATGTTCATTTAGTAAGCATAAGAGAGAACTGGAAAGGAAGGCACAAGTCAGAGTAAGTTGGAAAATGCAGGTCGGCGGCCTATGCTCGATTAGATGTAACAGATGTAAATCAGTCAGTACGCATAAATTCTCGTATAATAAGCACTGAAGTAGTTTGCGCTGCAAAAATGAAGAGATATTGTTCTTGGGAAATAAATCAGTCAGTCAGTTGCAACGTAGAACTTCGTAAGTATGTACATCAGTTCATGTTCCCATACCACATTAGCACAGAGACGCAAATGTCAAATCAAATCCCATAGTGATAGAGATAGTAGAGTTATTAATGGTAATGAAGAAGACTAGGGTTCGAAGATATTATTGAAGAAGTATAATTCAGTGAGATAAGGTTAGAAAGACAAAGGCAGAGGAGCTGACGAATCCAGAAGATTAGGATTTGAGAGAGCTCAACGAATGGATGCACTTGCGCCATTGCAAACGATTTTGAGCCATGTCGTTCAAGGTCTCTAACCATTGGTGATTTTCGTCTCGCGGACCCCAACCAGGTAGTCTACATCTACCAACGTGAATCAGTCCACTTGTCAGTGACTTGATGGATTTCTGCCATGTTTTGGTCTAGCTACCACTAGCTTTCTTCCAACCTACTCCTACACCACAAAACATAGCTCGTCGAGGCAGTCGGTGGTTAGCCATACGTAACACATGTCCCAACCACCTCAACTAATGAAGTTTCAATACCTCATCTATCGATCTGCCATCCTTACCTAGCACCCGTTTCCTAACGACAGCATTGCTTACTCGGTTGTCCAACGGTATACGAGCAATGCTTCGAAGATACCTATGATCGAAAACCAGTAACCTACGAATATCTTCAACTCTCACTGGCCATGTTTCACAGCCATATAGGAGAACGGAGCGAACTGCTGCACAGTACACTCGTCCTTTGATTAGAGAACGGATATCACGCCTACGACATAAGTGACGCAGGTTGGCAAAAGCCAATCGAGCATTCTGTATCCGTGCTGAGATTTCGTCAGTCACCAGGCCATCGGCACTGATGAGACTCCCAAGATAAGTGAAGCGGTCTACACGCTCGACTACTTCACTCCCTATCACTAGTTCAGGTGCCGATTCAACCCAGTCTTGAAGCAACATTTTGCATTTCGAGGGGGAAAACCGCATCCCGGACATGCTCGCATTGTTGCTTACGGTAGTCAGAAGACTGCATTTTGTCAGCGTCTTCACCGAATAGAACTACGTCATCGGCATATTCTAGATCAGTAAGCGACTTTCCTGGTAGAAGGTCAACCCATGAAAAATCTGACGAGCTTAATGTTAACTCTAAGATGTCTACGACAAAGGTAAACAAGAATGAAGAGAGTGGACAGCCCTGACGGACACCACTTGATGTCGAGAATTCCGGTGACAGTTCGCCATATGCTCTCACTCGACCTGTAGTGTTCGAGTAGAGCGCTTGTATACGGTTAATGTACTTCTTTGGTACACCTTTCAATGACAGACACTGCCACAGAACCTCATGATCCATTGAGTCAAATGCCGCTGTTAGGTCCAGGAAAACAACTATTGTCGGACGTCTAAAAGTGTCTATGTTCCAGGACCTGTCGTAGTGTGAAGATGTGGTCTATACAGCCACGTCCAGGTCGAAAACCAGCCTGGTTTTCTCTAGTCTGCTCTTCACGACCTCTAGTTAGACGTCTAAGTATAATCGAGGCTAACAATTTAGAAACTATATTAGTCAGACTTATTCCCCTGTGACTGTCACAAGAGGACTTTTTTCCTTTCTTGTAGATTGGGACAATTAGAGAGTGAGACCAGTGAGATGGGATTACCTCCAGTTCCCAGATTCTACCTAAGATCTCGGTCAGTCTGAATGTTAAAACTAGACCACTATCCTTCAACATCTCACGGATAAGCCTATCAGGACCTGCTGCTCTACCTCCCTTTAGATTTCCTATAGCTTTCTCAACTTTATGAAGACTAGGAGAACTTAAATTGATTTGCCATTCAGGATGACTGGGGATCGTGGGCAACCGAAGTGTGGCTGAAGACCAGTTGAGCTGGTCCCTAGTGTTCTGCCCATCGGTCGTCTCCTGGATTGAGAATGGATAATAAGACCATCCTTTTCCGAAATAGTCTCATTCACATTAGGGTTCCTAATATTGGTTTCTTTGATAAGCCGGAAAAGTTGTCTACTGTTGCCTATCGCGGCTGCCTTTTCCATCGCTTTTGCTTTCGCCACCCACCACTGTTCACGGTCGTTACATAGGATTTTTATCAGCCTGCGCCTAAGCTGACTTCGTTCTTCATCATTTTCAGAGTCAGGTGGGATGCGTTTTCAAGCATCCATCAGTTCGGTGGATGCGACTGAAATCCACGGCTTCATCCTGGCCTTATGGTTTACCTTGCTAGCGGATATCACTGCTGTTTCCACAGCCTTTTTGATATCATTCAAACCTGCCTCCAGATGGAAATCACTGGCATGGTCGCCTAACTGTTTTTCTAGTTCCTCCTGAAATATTTTCTTAGTTTGATTATCATTAAGTAAAGCCCTAAGAGGCTTCCTCACGGTGTCTTTCCTACGTCCAGTAAGCCTCAAACAAATACGCGCTCGCACTAGGGCATGATCTGAATCTAAACATGTGCCCCAGAACGAGCGGCAGTCCTCTATCGAACCCCTCCATCGGTGGCTGATGGCGATATGATCTAGTTGCGTCCCATTTAGTCGGACGGCGCACAAGCAACTATCTACAGGGATCCAATCGAGAAGCGCTAGTTCTGCCCTACGACTTAATGCTATACCTACACCAGCGAGGCTTCTGAAAGCAGCATCAGGGCTACCGGATACACGAAGGGTAAATCGAGTTGCTTCTTTATCTTGACATGGTGAGGTCAAGTCAATGATGCTACTCGGATCCTGTATGCGCGTTTCCGAGACGCAGCACACATCGATTGAGTGAGATTCTAAAGTCCTAGCCAATGTAGCCTGTTGCCCTATTTGACATAATGTCCGTAAATTAAATGCTCCAACATGTAGTCTAGAGCGGGTTTTCAGGAGACCAGAAATGAAGTTCCGTGAACTCGCATCGTTTGCATTAGCTGTGCAGTGTGATAAAGGAATGTGAGAAGAGTTATTCGTGGAGACCAATTTGGTCAAAATCAAAACACGCAGAGAAGAACAGTAAGTAATGTAAAATACAGTTCAGTTAAAAGTGCCACCCAGAAAAAAAGAATTTAGCGAAGGAATATAGCAAGGAAATGAATGACTTCTATTCTGAATCATATCCGACGTCTTAAACTGCTCAGTCACATGAACATGACCACAACAAGGGAGTCCCAACAGCGCCAGAAGCCCTTATAGGATTAGTGCCGGTCTCAAGCCCAAATAAGTAAGGAGGGTTGGGGATAAGTTTGAATTATTTTTCAAGTTAGCGTTTTTTAGCAAGTTTTTTTTACTACGGGATGGGCATGTAGATGCTACATCGACGTAGTGGTGAGGTTTGCCCATCAAGACGACCCAATTGAGCTATATTGGCTGGAATATATGTTTCCTAGGTCCTACCATGCCCAGGTAGGACTAAAATGAACAACTCAAAGTCTGAGGGTTGCGACAGCAGCAAGATGTTTTCCCTCGCACAACCGGCACCTGCAGCGATGCTACCTTCTTACAAGGCAGGAAGGGTTAGAAAAGATTGACCTTAAGAATGTCACACATTACCTTACCTCACGGATTTCCATCTCCGGCGGTAAGGCCTTGTAAAAAGAACGGAGCTAACACTATAAAAGCGTCTCATAAAAAGGCTGTGGATGGCCAAACTCAAGCAGTTGTCCCTTGGACTCTGCGGTCACGCACCCAGGTCTCCAAGACCAATACTAATCTACCTTCATTTTCAGGTTCCTCAAGAAACACCCTTCCATGGTGTGGGCAGCCGGGAAGTGACATCCGCCGACATATTTGTAACGACACACGAGACCAAATTGGTCACAATCAAATCCTTTCTACACCCCCTAATATCTCTCTTATCTTCATGACCAACCCTTCTCATATCCCTTTATCGCCCCGCACCGCTAATGCAAACGATTCGAGTTGACTAAACGTTATTCCTGGTCCACTGAAACCCCGTACTAAATTACATATTGGAGCTTTTAATGTCCAAACCTTGTGCCAAATAGGGCAATAGGCTTCCTTAGCAAGGACTTTGGAATCCCGTGCCATTGATGTATGCTGCATCTCCGAAACGCACCAAAAGGATCCTAATAGAATCAATAATTTGATTTCCTCTCTTCCAGATAGAGAATCAACTCGGTTCACGCTTCGTGTATCTGGAAGCCCTGCTGCCGCTTCTCGTGGCCTCGCTGGTGTAGGTATAGCAGTGAGTCATCGAGCAGGACTAGCTCTCCTAGACTGGATCCCGTTAGACAGTCGCTTATACACTGACCGACTAAACGGGACAGTGAGGACTCGCCGTTGCCTCTTCGTCGTATCTGCCTATGCCCCCAATAACTGTAGTTCAGATGAGTTTCACAGAAAGCTTTTAGAACTCCTTCAGAAAGTTAGGTGCTCTGATATAGTAGTAGTGGCTGGTGACTTCAATGCTCTAGTAGGTAGACTAACTGAAAAGGGAAGACACCTGGATGGATCTTACGGTTACGCAACTCAAAGAACTGATAATAGCGACCGTCTGCTACAGCTATGCTGAGATAACCGCCTATATCTAGCAAACACTAACTAAGCATAAGGAAAAACATCTTTTGACCTGGCGACCCCCAAAGTCGTCTCAATGCTGGATCCAACTAGATCACATCGCTGCATGTCATCGGTCGAGAGGCTCAATCGAAGACTGCCGCTTACTCTGGAGCACTTGTTTAGATCCAGATCGTGCTTCGGTGAGAGCCCGTATTTATTTGCGACTTACTGGACGTAGGAAAGAAACACAAGGATACCTCTTAGGGCTCTACTTAATGATAATAAAGCTAAGAATATATTTCAGGAGCAACTAGAAGAACAGTTGGGCAGCCATGTAGTAAGTGATGCCCACCCTGAGGCAGCTTGGAATGATATCTGCTAGTAAGGTTAGAGAGAAACAGTGGACTTCAGAGGCATCTGCCGAACTGACAGATGCTCGGAAGCTCATCCCGCCTGGCTCTGAGCATGACGAAGAGTGAATTAACCTTATCCAAGCTCGAAAACTAATAGTAGAATTAGAGCTTATGGAAAACTGTCACTAGCACTGATTAGTTCAAGTGGTGTCCCCCATTCTTGTTTAAGTTTATCACAAACATGCTCTTAGAAATAACATTGTCTTCGTCTGACTGTTGAGGGGTGGACCTTCTATCAAGAGACTCGCATGTTGACATAGTTTTACTTGGTGAAGACACTGACAAAATGCAGTCTCCTGACTTCCCTAAATAACAATGCAAGCATGCTTGGGATTCCGTTTTCCCCGTCGAAATGCAAAATATTGCTGCAGGATTGGTTTGCATCGACACTTGAACTAGTGAAAGGGAGTGAAGCAGTTGAGTGTGTTGACTGAATGACATGGCTCAAAATGGTTTTCAACGACACAGATGTAACCATTTTCTTTGTCTTCTCTCAAATTCTAATCTTCTGAATTCCTCAAGATCTTTGTAGACTTACTTCACTGGATTATGAATCTCGAATAAGTTCTTCGAACCCTAGTTTTTGAATAATGTGGCAATCATAGGAACTTTCCGTATTACCCTATCGTCGAGATCGCGAACTGATTAGTTCGTTTACTCCTTTGTTTTAATTTAGAACATACATTCCTTAACTGAGTTCTTTTATAGCATCCCTAATCTTCTCCATTACTGATAATACTTTTACTATCGCTATAACTCTTGGATTTGAACTAACAGTTGCGTCTCTGTGCTGATGTGGTATGGCAACCTGAACTGATGTACTTACGTACAAAGTTCTGCGTTGTATCTGTGTCTGTGGATCCGTTTGAAGTCACTAATACATTTGCAAAAGAGAACCACGATATCAGGGTTCTAGTGAATATCATAAACAATGTTTGGTTGTTTATTGTTCGTTAGCTGGTCGCTCATAACCTCTTCTGGAATTTTTCAGTAGTATATGATTTCGGAAGTTGGAGAATACACCCTTTTTTTAGTCTAAACTCAACAAGAACTTTGACGATAAAACTATTAAGTACGATTAGGGAAATCCAACAGGCGGTTAGTATGTTTTGATTTTTGTCAGTTTTGACAAGAAACTATTGTGTGCACAGATAATAAGTGCCTCATTATTACTGATAATTTGTTTTGGTACTATCACCCCAGGCAATGAGATGTAGGGGTTCTAGCCTGAGTTATTTAGGATACTTGATTTGTAGGAATCAAGGGAATGTTTAGACACAAGAGATCAAAGTCACAGATAACAACAAACATGCATATGATGTCATATATATGTGCTGACGATAAATTGAAGCTCAACTAACACCTATTTGCCAAAGCTTCTTCGTCTTAATTCTTCGAGTACCTGATTGACAATATTTAGGGCTTACAGAAAGCGTTTTGAAGTTACACTGAAGTAATTTAATAACACGCGGCTACAGGACTTACCATACATTTAATATCATCATCTAACTTCATAATCTTTTTAATACGAGCCAATGGTAGGTCCTGGGTTTTGAAAGCGGCATGATCACATTTCAGGCCATCAATTTCAACACGTATAAGATCCCAGAATGATAACATTTGAGACTGACAATCTGTCAGTGGATCACTGGAGTAATCCATCTACGAGAAAGGTACCTGATTTTATAATAAGGGAATTGAAATTGAAAATGAACGCACGGTAATAACAAAGTAGATTATATAAATTAAACTAACTACGGGTTAGATTAAAAGGCGACACATAACTGCTTTTAGCGATGGTTTGATGACAAGATGTGACAGCTAGTTTTGTCCGTCAAAAAGTAGCCACCTAGATTGGTGTCGCTTGTATTAAAACTTGAGTATGAAGACTTAGTAGTTTAGTGCAACAATATAATTTTATTGTAAGATATATTTTTACCTTCCCGGATTTAGTTTGAACACTGGCGGCTGTCACCTAAGTGCACGAACTGAAATGCGAATGGGTTGAATGTAAAGTGCTTCAGATAGTAAATCGAAGATCGGTATATCATAAGTTATGACCGGGATGTTGTTTTGAGTTTTGCAGGTGAAGAGGAACGAGAAGCTTATGACACAAACGTGGGAAATTAAAGAATATAATAGGACAGAATAATAACGGTGCCTGAACTTATTTAGGAATGGTTATGTGAGATTCGACAGACTTTCAGTTGAACCCGAAGTAGGGCTGAGTTAAGACAACGAAATATTTAAATAAATTTTGGGAATATTTGTTATTCAACACAACAGTAGAATGTGTAAGTGATTTGATACGCAAACAGTAATGAAGCTAGAGATGTAACAACCTTCAGATTAAATACAAATATACTCGCTAACAAACATACAAATATCAATGGAAAATATGCTTAACCCTACACAATATGCGTATACATAAAGGGGGGAAATTGACCAGCTAAATAAAAACGAATCACTATCGATCCTAGATAGCTTGCGAAGTTCAGATTTACCAATAAGAATGTAAAACTGAATTCGTACATTGAGAATTGGCAGGAACTATGTATGACTAATCTACACCTAAAATGAATAAAAATACGTAGCAGATAAGATCAAGTAGAAAGCATTGAGGCTCTTTGACTTTGTTGGTGATAATGCACTCCAGGTACTGCCTTGGTGTAAATGCGACACATAAGTTTAGACAGAAGGATGAAAACGATGAAAGCTACATATTTTGCATTACTTTTAAAAACAGTTACATAAACTCAATGAGTGTAGAAAGTTAAATCACCAATCAAAACCCACCGGGTTAGAACTCAAAATGGCCGCTGAAAATATCAAACGTGTCCTCTAGGTTCACTATAACCGCCAAGGTTGACAGTAATATTTATTAATAATTCGTCCTTATAAAACAGATATATTAACATTTAGTATGATACAGTGTACGAGACAATGTCAATCGAAAAGCTTTATACGACCAACTGGGGACTATCAGTAGCAGTTTTATCCTGGTCTTAAATACATACTTGACATGTAGATCGTATATCCATTCGTTAGATAGAAAATCTGTTTCTATTCATCCGAAAGAAACACGGTCCGAAAATTTTCACTGAAAGGATACAACCATAGTCGTCTAGTAGCTTGTTTGATTCGTACTTCTGGTATTCACAGCTGCAAAGTATTTCAGAGTTATTCCGCATCCAGAGGACTACAACATAAGGCATTTATAACAAAATGCCTTTTAATAGCAACAAGTTTAAGTATTTGGTAATTATTAACAAACCGTGTTATCCGGAGAGCTTCATTGACTCACTTTATTGTCATTTTAATTGGTTCTTTGAACATTCTCACTAAAGAGACGCTAAAAAACAAGTAACGAATAATTGTATATTATTTGAATTAAAATTCGGTTGAAAATTCCACCCAGAAAGGGTACCTGGTGAGAGATTAACGCAAGGAAGTAAATGAACTCTATTCTGGATCATATCTGATGTCTCAAGCTACTGAGGCATATGAACAATAGTACCCCAACGAGGTAATCGCAGCTTCGCCAGCACCCTTTCTAGAGTATCTGCGGGTCCCAAGACTAAATAAGGGAGTGGGTTGGGATGAGTTAAACGACCACATACCGTATTGTATTGAGAAAACGCTGATCAGAAAAAATGATACAACTTGTTCAAACTCTACCCTGGGAGTTGGACTGTCCTCATTTTTGTCAGTTGTCACGACTCATGATGAAAGCTGAACTTGTTCGCAAAGTATGAGGCCAATGCCACTTTTGATAACAAAACAAAAATCAATATAGGTACATGAAATGTTCTCACTATATGACAGACCGAAATAAACTTTCAAGTTGTTATGGAAACGAAAAGACAACCTACCAGACGCAGGCTGAGTAATGAAGTTTAGTTTCACGACAGATGCTCCTGTACACCAACTGTCAGGAAAAAATATCTCACGTACAAAGGAGTTGTAGTGATTCTGTTCAAAAGGGGCACATGCAGGACGGGAATCTCATGCATCAAGGTCCATCAAATCATTCAGAAAGCAAATAAACAGGGGATTAGAGTGAATGGAATCCATTTCTACTTAGTCAGCGAAGATAACAAGGGTCCATTTTATGAGAAGTTGAAGTAGCGTAATACTCGAGAAATGACTTAATCATTCTGGTAGGTGACCTGAACGACAAGTCTGGGATGGATAAAATCGGAGGTGAAAACATCAGGAGATGACATGGACTGGGAGGAAGGAATGGAAATAGAAGGAAGTTCGCAAATCCATGTGGCTCCAACAAAATGGTTATAGGCGGTTCCATATTACCATACAAACGCATGCGCTGAGCTACATGGATTTCACCGGATCACATTATATAGAACAAAACCAACCTTATTTGCATCTACAAGTAGTTCGGAAAGACCATGAAGGACGTTAGACCAAAGGAGGAATCTGATATATCTTCAGACCACCAACTGTTCATCGTAAAGGTAAAAGTGAAACCAAAGACAACTTTGCATACAGCATTATAGAAGTTTTTCTGCCTTTTCTTGAGATGCCTGAAAACCCAAGAAGTTTTAAAGCATTAAGTTCCAGTATCATTATGAGTGGATAAGATGCAAGAAAGGAAGAACAGAAGGATAGCATCAATATCAGCTGAGCGAGAGCGGAGAGAGCCAATGCACTGATTCAATACACAAATGCAAACAAGCAGGTGAAGAGGGGCATTAAAGCTGGGAAACGAAATATGTGGAAGATATAGCAGCGATAGCAGAAAAAGGAGCTAGAGAAGTTAACCTGAGACAGCTGTAAGATCAAGCAACAAGGCTAGCTGAATAAAGGTAAAGCAGAAGGACCAGAGAGGGAACAAGAAAGGAAGAGTAATCACTGACACTTAAGAATAGCGAAACAGGTTAGCAGAGCTCTTAGAAGAACTCTTCAATAGACCAGCCCCAATGATCTCACCCAACATCGTAGCATCACTTATAGACCTTCCGATCGATTTTGACTCACCAACAATTGAAGGATTCAGCACGACCATCAGACAATTCAGCAATAACAGGGCAGCAGGGCAAGACAACATTCCACATGACACGTGGAAAGTAGACATCATTAACTGCAGAGATGTTTCTCTCTTGATTAAGACTTGGGAGAAAGAACAGGTACTATCAGACTGGAAAGAAGGACACCATGTGAAGATAGCAAAGAAAGGAGATCTTAGCATGTTTGCGAACTACAGAAAGTTGCTCACTCTACTCTCTATACCAGGACAGATATGAAAAGAATGATTAACAGTTCTGCAGAACTGGAAAGGAAGACACAGTGCAGAGTTGGTATGGGAATGCTGGTCGGTCACCTATGCTCCTCGAAAGGTAATGGGTGTTAGTTATTTTGTATGTTAAATATACAAATAATTCAAGTGAGTCTCGTGACTCTTTAGCAAATTTGCTCGTGCCTGATTAACGGTAAAATACCCAGCATATTCTTCAATAACCGTCCGTGAATGTGTCAATGTAATCGTCAGTATATAGAATAATTTTGGTGCGATTGTCGCAACGAAGTCACTCGCTAGCTCAGTTAACGTGTGTTATTCTATCCAGTCTGCCGAAAACTGTTATAGTGATACGTGTATTATGTTTCTCAAACCGTTCGTAGTATCACAGTGTTAACCTACCGTCATATCGATCAGAATCATTTAGTGGAGATGGAGCCAGGATTGACTATGATCACCACTAAATACTAATAACGAGCCCGTCACAGAGTAGGAGGATTATTCCATAGTAAAGGATATATTTGATGACGACTTCATAGTGTCGAAAGGATACCGAAATCGAGCCAGAAAAGTGAGGCCAAATCGCAGACTCAGTGGAGACGAAAATGGCAGCAACACAAACAGAAAGTTTGTGCGTACAAAACGTAATGGACAAAAAGTACAGTTAAACAATCACTGGTACACTTGGTCACAATAATAAATGTTTCTGTTGAATCAATCGCGTTCTCTCCATAAAAGTGGATCCATTACAAACAGATGATCTCGAAAAATGAAAACCCTCATACTTATCCGCATGTCTACCGTCTGACAAGGCCTTTGCTGTAATGACTGACTAACGCAGTGTGTATGTCTTATTTCACTTTTTCCGGTAAAATCGGGTACGTAAGTCAACAGTCAAGTTACTTCTTAGCCTTACCTTAGCGCACCTTGCTTCACGAGTCAGGAAAAGATTGAGATGAATAGTTACGTCTCCCATTCCTAAAGATTTAGCAGTATTATTCATACCTTTGTCGGACTTGTTTGACCGAAGATTGGATCCCCGTACTAGATAACTAGAGCAGTTAAAACACAGGGTGTTGGCCGTTCACTTAATAATTCAAGCATCAATCGGAATCTAACCAGGGGTGTGTATTGTTTGCCTCATAGTGATTGACACGTAGAACTAAGCGACTTTTGACCTAATGTAAGCGGAATCGAATATTGTTCGGTCAAGATTTAAAAGGTAATTTAGCCAAGTACTTTAACCTTTAGTTTGAAAACTGACACCGTACACCTAAATGTTGTACTTAGGGTGAAAGCTTAATAATGATAGAGATTTAACAATATCTTTTGTTTGTTTATCTTACAAAGAAGTTGAACTATTTTTCCTTCAGTCGATGATTTTTATTGTTTAAACCAATTATAAATGTAAATTATACTACAGTCCCTTATACAAATTGCTAATTGCGGATGTAAATACAGTCTCATGGGAATGTTATGAAAACAGCTAATATAGGATGTTTCCTTGGTTCCTTATTCTTGTTTTTAATGTTTTAACTCGAGGGGTTTTTCTGATAAATCCTTGGCATGGTTGTCCTCAGGACGAAATTCAGGACACAAGTGAGCAGTTATTTTTAGATAGTAGTTATGTGGTAGATTGCCCTGATGGATGGTTTGATTACGAAGCTAATTGTTACTCGTTCTTTGTGCAAGTCCCATCGAATTATATGACAGCTAGGAAAAACTGTGAGGTAAATTCACAAACACATTCATATCAATTTTTCTAGACACACGGTGGATCGTTACTGCGTATCGACACATTGAAAGAGCATCAGTTTATAGCTGACAGACTCAACGACATTGCCGTCAATCGATCGTAGGCCTTATTTTTCTATTGATCTCCATTGAAAATCTAGTTTACGTTGGTACACAGCTGGTGTCATGCGTCCGGACTCATTTGGTGAATTTATGTGGGAGGGTCATCCATTAATTTACCAGAGTGTTAGGTCGGAATTACTATCTATCTGGCTTGATACTCTGCCCAAACCTTCCGAACGTCCAACATTTCCAAAAGACCGTACTCGTCTTGTTTATGGTACTGATAGAACTCGCTGGGGATGGTATCTAGACACACCAACTGCATTTAGAGGACATATCTGTCGCGCTCCTATCGCAAATGCCAACCAGCTTCTTCCTATCTCAAAATCCCTAGCATATGGAAGTGATTTTCCAAATAAAATGGCTAGAGGTCCTTGTTTCATTGTTCATCCTAAAGATGTATTGTAAGATTCAAATGTTTTAGAGAAATTTGTTCTAGATATGTTCATCAAATGAGCACCGAAAAGTACGCAGAGTTGCGTTGTGAAGCAAATGGCAACCCTCAACCTACTTACAGATGGTATTATGTTAATACCGAAATGAGGACGAATAGTACTGGTGATACAATAACCGTATTACATCGGACACTTATTGACGCAGTATCTGAACCTTCTGGCCGCATTTCTATTAGTGCTGGATCATTAGTTATTCACAATCCTGATACCTTAACCGACTCACAAATGTTTCAGTGTGAAGCTAAGAATATATATGGATCTGTTCTCAGCCGGACTGCAAGGATTATTTTTGGCCAGCTTGAAACAGCTCCTAAGCAACCGCGAAATGAGAGAATCGTTATGTCGCATCAAAGCGAAACTTTGCCATGTGAACCCCCTGCTCATTCTCCTCCAGATAGTAAGTTATCTAACGTAACTCAACAACATTTAGTTTGTATTAATGCATCTATGACAGTTTCAGTAGTATAAACCTTATCAATCCCCACATAGCTTGGTGATTAGCTAATCGTCACTGATATTTTTAGCTTTTATACTGTAGTTCAGAGAGCTAAATATTGATAATTTCTCCACTTACTCATCCATTCTTGCTAAAGACAGTCTTCATTATAGCAACAAAATATTAATAGTTTCGTTTAAGTCCTGTAACCTAGTTACACCTATCAACTGAGTCGACATACATACACTAGAATGACTGTGAAATTAAGGCTGTTTAAGATTAACCTTAATTTCCAGTGGTAAGCAGTAATTAAATATAATGTTATTATTCTATATGTAAGGGATGTAGTGCCATAATTTAAAGTGCTGTATGCTATATTGGAAGATTAATGGTTGCTAACTGTCTGACTGGAATTCTGTTGAATATCTTTATTTCAGTTCAACACTTTAATTAGACCTATTATAATTTTATTTGTCACCACTTTATTGAGTGAATCATTTTTAATTTTGTAACAGCTTTTAAATAATAATACATTCTCACCTGTTGTTTTATTGTACGCTATTATAAAACTCCTGGGTTTGTGTTAAACTCTGAAAGAAAATTACTGAATGATTTGCGTTAGCAAATCGTACATGAAAGGCAGTCTTCTATCCCTAGTGGGAAGAGTCGGTTTATATAGAAAATGAAACTGGCTGAATGAAGGTTGATATCAATAGCAAGGGCTATCTTGAAATTATTAGAAGCAACAAAATATACGAAATTAACTTTCTCATGTACGTGGGTGAATCGTGTTATACCAGATATAGACTAAAGAAAATAAAAATTAGACAAACAATTTACAGAACATTGGTGTGTATAATTTATTATTATAATTATTAATAAACTAGACTACCATATAAACACATTTTATTCAACGCAAGCCTTCTATTGACCCATAAGTTACCAACATACTATTTAATTTTCCTGATTTGCTGACAGTTTATTGTTTACTGCCTCTCCTTATTCACAGCCACGGCCTGGTGTGTGACAAAATCTCGGCACAGATACAGAAGTCCCCGGGTGGCGTAGGTGAGATATCCATCTGCTAGCCAAAGGACGAGTCTACTGTGCAGATGTTCTCCCCTTCCTGATTTACGGGTGTGAAATATGGCCAGCAGTAGTAGAGGATATTCATAGGTTATTATTATTCGATCATAGGTCTCTTAGAACCATTCCTCGTAGATACTGGGACCACCGAGTTAGCGCTGCTGTTAGGATACGGGTACTAGGTAAGGATGGCATATTAATTGATGAAGTAGTGAATTTTCATCAGTTGAGGTGATTGGGATATATGCTACGTATGCTTAACCACTGACTGCCTAGATGAGCCATGTTTTGTGATGTAGTGTTGGTTGGAAGAAAACTAGGGGTGGCCAAAACATGGCACAAAACCGTGAAGTCACTGACAAGTGAACTGAACCATATTAGTAGGTGCAGACTGCCTGGTTGAGGTACGCGAGGCAATTGTTACTGACGGTGAAAGACTGAATGACATGGCTCAAAATGGTTTTCGACGACACAGATGTATCCATTGTATGTCTTTTCTTAAATTCTAATCTCCTGAATTCTTCATGATCTTTTTAAATTTATTTCACTAGATTACGCATCTGGAATAATTGCTTCGAACCTTAATCTTCCTCATTACCGCTAATAATTCTACCACATCCGGGGTGGCAATTGTATTTCTGTGCTAATGTGGTATGGCAACGTAATCTGATGTACATACGTACGGAGTTCGACGTTGTAGCGAACTTACTGACGCTTCGGTTGGGTCGGGTTTGTATTGGGCCGTCCTTTGAGCACAGAGTAGCAAGTCTTTCATCTTTGTCCTATATTGTTTGCACGATTGTCATCCGCCTATTGGCTACTGTAAAGCCACAATAAAATGTTTTGCTGACATTAGTATTTAAATTTTTCAAAGTTTGAATTACGAACTAATCTTAGCTCTAATACCGTTAAATACTTGGGAGCACTACACGGCCGTTTGGTCTTAGTGGGTTACTCCTTTCTAGTGTGCACCCACGACCTCTCACGCTAGAATCAATCCCAGGACTTCGTCTCATGTGTGGAAGTCTAACCTCTAGACCACTGGGTTGTAATTTAGCAGTGTTAATATCTAACTTCAATCAATCCATGATCTTGAGCAATCGTTCATTCATTTCTGGCGACTCATAACTGTTCCGTGCGCAACACAGGTTTTCCTTATAAAAGTGAAGCAAATGGAATATATTTCCTAAAGCATGCAACGTTCTCAGTCGTATATTAATTACTGATCCGCAATAATGATTCATTTGAAGAGGCATCTTTTAGGGATAGTATTCATATCGACAGAAATACAGAAGGTGCCAAAAGAAGTAGACTAATATGTTGGTTTCAATGATTAAAAAGATGATTACTCTACGATTCATCATGTTTTAGTACCACTGACTTCATTTTTTGCTTTAATAAGATAATACTATATAATTCGATATTTTTAAACATCTGTGTAGATCTGTACTAAAATTTTTGGGCACTACTTATAATAAAGATACTAACGCATGAAATCTACTTATTGTTGGTTTTTCAAGGTTTGCTGTATACTGTGTACATGAACAAGAACGGTGAACTGGAGCCAGTTTTACCAGAATATCGTAGAAATTTATTTATTTCTCAGGCAAAAGGTCTTATAGGCTTTTCTGAGGTTACAGTGTTGGTAAGTATTGTTTTATTATATGTATGGATTGAGTGTTCAAACTGATAAAAAAATTGTTTAAAAGTTATAATATACTTGTTTTGCATAAATAACTAGTTGATTATATTCCAATGCATTTTGAAGCATCTTTGAAGGTTACAGTAACCGGTGTCAAAGGAAAATAAAACAAACGTACTAGTTTCAGTTGCTGGTCAATAACCTTGATATTATTTTTAAGTCAAAAACATTTTACTCAACTGCAGCGATTTAATACATTAAATTTTTGCCATATATACTAGAATCTTAGTGCTGTACGACCTGTTATGTCTGTTAAATTATTTTAATTGACTAATAACTAAAAGCTTTAAATACTTACTTAAACCTGTTACCCCCAACGGAGCATAGGCTGCCGACCAGTATCCTCCAACCTACTCTGTCTCATGGGCTTCTCTTTCCAGTTCTGTTCAATTTTTGTTCATTCTTTTCATATCTTTCTCTATTTCTCGGCGTAATGTGTCCTTTGGCCTTCCTCTTTTCCTTTTACCTTAAGGGTTCCAAGTGAGGGCTTGTCTTGTGAGGCAGCTGGGTGCTTTCCGCAGTGAGTCTTATCCACTTCCTCCTGATTTCCTCCCCCACTGGAATCTGGTTTGTCCTCTCCCATAGTAGGTTGTTGCTTATGGTGTCTGGCCAACGAATCCGAAGCATTTTGCGTAGACAATTGTCAATGAATATTTGTATCTTCTTCTGGATGATGATGGCTTTCTTAGTTCTCGAAGTTTCCTCCCCATACAGTAGAACTGTCAGGATTTTCTATACAAATGTCAAGACATACAATTTTAATCATGTTACTCAAATTAAATTTTCGATCGTATTGTATGTGGATCGATTTGACCCTAAACAAATGTAGTTTAGAAAAACTTGAACAATGAAATTTAAATAAAACCTATAGAATAAGATTAAATGTATCTACTTCGTGATGCATACAACCTGGGTACATAATTGCTTTATGGAAAACAAATGCAGTTTGATACAAACCTATCAAAATCCTATTTTATTAAAAAACACTGAAATTTATGTCATTTAGGGTACTGATATTTACTGAACAATTTTGGCGGCTATTTAAACAAAAAATACATAAAAATGAGACATATTTTGCTTCAAATCTCTACCTACTATTTCTAACTGCTTTTTATTTTACATAAAATTAGATTCTTTGTGTAATATTTATTGGTTAAAAGTTTGAAGTTGGTAACTTTGACTTATATTTCTGTTAACAGGACAGCGGGGTTTACGTTTGTATGATAACAATGCAATTTGATGGTCATCGTGTGTATGATTCCCCAAAACTTCCGGATATGCCTTTCACTGTACGTTATAGTAATCAACCGAGGCAAGATCCGAGGATATATGATGATTTTCCTGCAGTTTGGCCAACAAATCCTCAACGTGGTCAACTTGTTCGCTTAGAGTGTTTTGCTGCCGGTTACAGCCAACTAGATGGTCTTATATACTCATGGCGAAGAGTAAGTTTCTATTAAGTATGCCTTGAGGATACCCAAAAAATTCAAGTTTTGTTTTTATTGTTTATCTCCAGTGCTTTTTCATTAACGTACAAACTATTATTGATCGATTAGTAAATCTTGGAATTTTTTATTGCGTTTTCGTGATATACCTTTTGCCGGCACTTAAGAACTGCGTTGTATTCCTACTAAATTCTATGGTCTAGTTTTTTCAATATTTTCTTACCTCATAATTGTTTTAAAAAATAATGATTAATCAAAAAACTATTTTTAATTTTAGGCTCAAAAGTTACTTGAAGTCAATTTATTTGTAGTGTTTTACACCTTAGGAATATTGTTAAGAAGTGTTAAGTAGTAATTTACAGCAGTGTTTAGAAATCGTTCACTTAGAATTCATTTTTTGTATTCTTGAGCCAATCTTGTATTTATTATGGTGAATGCTACTTCATATGAGCTTAGATTAGTATGTACAAAGAAGAGGAAGCTTATCAAGTTTTTCATAAGATAATTATTTCAACTAAATTTATGCTTTGGATATTTGGTCTCGAGCCTTTCTTTGTAAACTGTTACACTTTCCTAAACCAAAATTCATCTTAAATTATATATTTTATAATCTACTTCTTCATATCAATCAGTAAGTATTTGTAGAAATCAAAACCTAGGCATATTCATTAATCTGACATATCATGAATATTCTTATAGTGAACAAATCATATTCATTGTATTGTGCAATATATATTTTTAATTGTTGTCTTCTGTGATCTTGTCAACAAGTTACAGCTTATTTATATTTGTTATACTACTCCACTTTTTTATGCTGCTTATTTCACAGTGTTCTTCCAGTTATTAGTGATGTCCTCCTGGACTTCTACTTCTTTTATTTGATATCTTTCTTGTTCCTTGATTTGAATTGTGGTGTAAGCGATTTCTTTTCTTCTTATCTGTTACTTCAAATATTTTTTTAATTAGAGTTTCAAGTTTTGCTAGCAACTGTAACAATACCTATTTTTTGTTTATTACAAGACAAAAACTTTCGAAAAACTTTTAAACTCTTTAAAATCAGAACAATGAATACGTAATAATTGAACTATCATTGTTTACAATTAGTTCTTTGTCAAGCTCTAGTTACATAATAAACAATAATATTTATTTGCATTCATACAAACGATGAAATGGATGATCAAGATGTTTTATAAGTCAGTTATAACAATGTCTTATATCCTAATTCATATGGAAGGAAATTTTTTCTTCATGTTTTGAAATCAAATAACTTTATTTAACTGTACCTAAATGGCCCTTAAATTCCTTGTAATGAGAGTGGATAATATTTTCTCATTGATTAGTATTATGATTGATTACTATCAGAAGCTTTATTGGATATGATGTGTTTAGTACAATATAAAATTCTCAGCATATGCTTTGTTTTATTGTTCTGCTCTCATTATTTATTTCCAGTTAGATGGTGCACCTCTTCGAACGGATAGTTTAAAAGACTATAATCGTGTAATCGAACTACCAAATGTACAACCGGAAGATCAAGGTGAATATGAATGTAATGTGAGTTATTAGATTTTCTTACTAATTGGCCTCACATAAAATCAATACTATTTCAATCTCCATTAATTCTGTTTGTGTTTTTTGGTTTGAATCTCCGAAACTTGTTAAACTCATTTTTTTGCATTTTACATGATGTTACTTACTAATATTCAGTAGTTAGTGCATTGTCACAACTGTTTGTGTGGGTAGATAGTGATGCTCCCCTCTTTGTTATATGAGATTTCGAACTATTTACATTTACTACTTATTAAAGTAATTTTATCTTTTTATCATTTTTAACAGTTAAGTTAATTTCTTGTATATTCATTAAACATTTATCTATTTGTAACAATTAACTCATTCGGTATTTAAATTTCGATTGTTGGCAGGTATTATTGACATACCTTCAGGCTGTTATGTACTGTATCATGTCTTTGTAAACAAACCCTGTATAACAATTAGAGGGAGCTATTCTCCTTTGAATGCACACTGACATAATGAATATCTTAGACACGTCACGAACAGCAATTCATAAATGCATTACTTATAAATACCATAAATAATAGCATCGTATTTAAGACAAATCTCGTGTTTTTATTTCGAGATTTCCGCGCGTCACTTATCCGTTTATCTAGAAGTTTTTTGTCACGTTCAAAAGACTATGTTGAGGTTTATCTTGCGTAAGAAATTCACTACATACATATGGTATTTAACTATAACGTGTTTTTAACATTGAAAATTAATTTACAATTGTCATTCCCTATTTGTAATTACTAAAGAATAAGTAAATAGTTACATTGCATAACCCTAGTAAATTAATTTAATTTTAAAACTAAATTACATTAAATGATCACTGTATCAATATTTTTATTATTTCTAATTTTATTATAAATTAGGTTGAAGATTCCCTGGGAAAGATGGCTAGACCTAAATCGGTAAATTTGAAAATCACAGCCAAACCATATTTTACAACACCTTTACAAAATACTGTCGTCGATATAGATTCTGATGTATTTTTAACATGTGAAGCATCCGGTATTCCAAATCCTACACATGAATGGTATAGAAATGATATAACAGTGAGTCAGTTAATTGCAACTGGTAAACTCAATCCAGCTCAATATAGCATAATACGTGATGGTCCAACACGTTCCACTTTACGTATTCAAAAAGTAAATTTTTTTTTGAAGAAAATTTAAAATTCACTACAAAAATGTAACTTTTTGTTTTGTTTATTGTGCTGATGTAGAAAAGAAATATTTCCCTGAATAACAGCTACAGGTTGAACATGATAAGTTAATTATTTAATCTTTAAGTTTATCATGAAGGGAAATTATTGTATATGTACTTGTGGTTTGTGAGGTCGATTATTTAGCTCTGAGATAATTTTGTAATTGGTTGTAAAAATTCCTCATAAATCTGAATTATCAATGCTAAAAGCTCTCATTGGATAAATGTCAGTAAGATAGAATAACTTATTCGAAAAACATATTCGTTTTCGATGAGAAACTAATAAACTTATTACACATTTGAAATCATTAATCAATCATCATTGTTAGACCACCATTAGAAACCTGGAAGCACTGGACGGCCGTTTCGTCCTAGTATGGGACTCCTCAGCAGTGCGCATCCACGACTCCTGCTCCTCGCAGTTAGACATTAACACCGTTGGATGCCGACCCAGTGGTCCGATGGTAAGGCGTTCGCCTACAGTGCCAAAGGTCCCCGGTTCGAATCCTGCGAGGAGCAGGAGTCGTGGATGCGCACGGCTGAGGAGTCCCATACTAGGACGAAACGGTCGTCCAGTGCTTCCAGGTTTCTAATGGTGGTCTAACAATGATGATTGATTAATGATTTCAAATGTGTAAAAACGCAAACCTCCAAAACTGTGCCCCAATATAATAAACTTATGTATGAAATCTTTGAAAAAATAAATGTGATTAAAATTCTATTCAGAGGAAAATGATTTAAAATTCTCTCTTTTATTGGTTGTTGATCAACTTAAGAAATTAGAATCTAGCCATGAAGTGAACTTATTCTAATGAAATAAGAATCTACAATGTAGTGAATACCAGTGGGGATAAACTGATCACTAAAAAAAATTTCCATTCTACTTATTTTCACTTCATTCTCTTAATGAAGGTGGTTTAGTGAAGATAAATAAATATTTCCAAGTAATTTTCATCATGAATGATTATCAATCATTGAGCATAAAAAACCCTAATGCTCATCATGATTTCGATTTCATTTGACATTGTTACTACTAATAACTGTTAAAGAATTGTAAATTAAAATTTAAATGACTGTTCACTGGTCAGTTGATATCAGGTTGTGTGATGTGAATTAATTTCACAATTATTTCGTTGATTTCAATCAATTCATGAGTTGTATTGTAATGATTATTAAGATAATCAGCAGATTGTTTTACATATGTTAGTATATATTGAATGATATGTTTAGTATGATCAAAAATCGTCCCAGTTTATAAATATCAGATAAGAATTGTGTTGTATAGTATTAGTATTATTAGTCTTCAGCTATGCATGTCAATTATTCAAAGTTTCGACTACAACATATGATTGTGAATCATTGAAATGTTTACTAACTAGATGATTTTAACAGAACAGTGAGAAGACGTAATTGATCTGAAAAATGTGATGTATTTGCGCCATACATTTCGAACAATCTGGTCACACATATTTACTTGTCAAGGCATTTTATATGAAGATGAATAAAAGGTCAATTAAATAAAAGTTCAAATAAACATAGGGTGATAACTGTAAATAAAGGAGGAAGAAAATTAACGTAATATGAAAATAATAAGAAGGGACGAATTTTGAGGTTTATGGAGGCCTTGGCTATTAGAAAGTTAAAACCCCCCTTATGTGTGCAGAAACAATTTGTCATAACCTTGAATTTACCTTGGTAATCTTTAAGCCTAGGGTAATATGACAATTTTGCTACCCCTTCTCATTCTTTTCAAATTACGTTGATTTTCTTTCTCATTTATTTACAATTATCACCCTATGTCTATTTGGACTTTTATTTAATTGACCTTTTTATTCATCTTCATATATGTGTGTCCAGATTGTTCGAATTGTATAGCGCAAATACATCACATTTTTCAGATCAATTACGTCTTCTTACTGTTCTATCAAAATTTATAAAAGGGACTAATTGTTTTAAATGATTTTAGTATGTCATATTTGTTGACTGATCTTAGAAACCTTTATTTCTCAAGAGAGTATATTCAGAATATTGTAATATATATATTTGCAATTACAAACGGTGAAAATTAGACAAGTGCTCATTATGATGCTTAGACGAAGGAAATGTGGTCAGTTCATCATAGCGAAACAAACATTCGTTACATTGAATGTTTATTGTCATAGATATGCATCAGATTATTTTCAAATTTAAATAATTTTAAAAGACAATCTGACTAAATACTATTTAGATTAACCAATATGATAAACCGGTAGTAATGAACTTACGAAAACTTACTAAACTTGAGCAGCGAAAAATATGAATCTAGATGATTCTTACTCATAAGTAATATGATTAAATAGTAGCACAAATACTCTATAGCCATTAAGAAGTTGGTCTCATTCTATTTCTATTTATCACTAATAATTGACAGGAACTGTGACTTGTTTAACATTTGTGTTAAAAAAATTGACCTTGGAAAATACCTCACTGTCAGTAAAGTGGTAGTTGTTCGATTGAAACACCAAAACATTTAACAAATAATGCAACGGTACTGTTCGAATGGGCATCAGAATTTCAAGTGTCGTTTTATTTTCTCTAAAAAATTTTTAATCACAGATTATGAATAGTAATAAACAGGAGTTTTCAGCTTTTATATTAATAATCAATATTTTTTGTTTTAATGAATATTATAAAAACTTATCCCATTCTCAGTTTAACTGTAACGTAATTCTGCAGGATATGCGGAACAGATATTTTCGAATGGCTGTTTTCTAAACGAATGTATGAGCTGTGAGGACAGAAGTTCATTTAACGATGATTAGACGAAACAAAATAATTTTATCATACTGATACTTGTAGTGGTCTCGTAAACTAAAAAAAAACACAATAATTAATGATTTAAAATGATTGTGCTGTAACGTTTTGTAAAAAAAGTAACCACAAAATATGAATAGAACAGTGTAAACTATATCGTTCATCATTTTTTATGTTATTTCACGATTTCAGGTTAAACTTTCAGATTCTGGTATGTTTACTTGTTTAGCATGGAATAGTTTAGGCAGTGAAGCTTCATCTGCTGAAGTACGTGTATTAGAATTAGCACCAACATTCCGTAAACATCCTGTTATGCCTAATGAAGGTATGGTTGGAAGCACTGCGGTTATGGAATGTCAACCTGAGGGAGCTCCTGCAATGACTGTAGAATGGCTTCATGATGGAACTGTACTAACTACTAGTGACAGTTGGTTGGATCCAGAAACTGGAGCTGCGAATGTATGTTTTTACCAGTTTACACGTTCTTTTCGAAAATTTTATTTCCCTCACTAGTAATAAAATAAAATTAAAACCTGAAGCATCTATGTTGATATATTTCAGCTGTGATACTTCAGATAATTATGTTTAAGCAATTACTTAAATGACACTCAGGTTTTAATAGCTTTTATTTAATAAAGTCAATATTTTAAATTTAAAATCAGTAGTATATAGAAATTGATTACTATTTGCCTACACTACATAAAACTAGTACTAGCATTGACATTACCATACTAGTTAATCCAGAGTCTTAGGATTTTCGACACTGAAGAGTAAGACAATTAATTCAATATATTCACATTATCTTAGTAGATGAGTTAATAATACTTTTATTAGACCTTTATATTGACCGAATTTCTTTCCAACATGTTAATGTTGTTTAAGTGTTAGGGTATTCATCAAATATCCTAAGAGAATTATTTTTGTAAGTCTAATTCGATTGGTCACTTCCTATTATTGGTCTTCCTAACTATCAATATAACATACTTCAAATGTTGTTTCCTATTCGACCTAACTGTATAAATAGGCATTATCTGTAACGTTTTATGATCCGGATCCTTAGTCCGGGATCCTTGTTATTCTCTTCTGGACTCGGACCTCATATTTTCTGGATGTTTGTAGAATACATTTTCTACTTCATACCAAGACTTTTTCTTACACTTAATGGGGGTTCGGGACGCTCGGATTGGAGTAGCCTGTCGTGTCGTCGGATCATTGATCCTCGCTCTAGTTTACTGACAAAGGTGAACTCGTAATAGTTCAAGCATATCGAATTGACGTGGTGACGTAGGTTCATAAGAAATAGTGATTTAACTTTTCTCACAACATAGTGTGTTGTATTTTAAGATTTATTGATTACAGGAAATCGGCAGAGAGCAATAAATTCGCTATTGAAGTATGTCTGAATTAATGATTTCTTAAATTTGTCAATTACTTCGACGTTTGACGATTTAATATAATATAATCAAGGTACTAAATTATTTAGTAATATTGGAAGTAGGCAAGTAAATCAGCGAATTCATACTGGATTTTGATAAATTAAAAGCTTTGTTTAATGTGAGTAGTGTGCGCAACAAAGTAGTACTTAAGTTTTCCAGTCTTAATTAATATTGATATTTAGTCATATAATTTATTGCATGAGCTGTTATTCAATATAGAAAGTTCGTCGTAAAAGTATCAAAAGACTTAGAAAAAAAGTACAAATTTTAATTTAAAATTTCATTTCTCAATGAATAAATATTAAAATACAAAAATCATAATTATGAAATGGAAAATCGAAAGGATTATTTTTTCTGTAATTTAGAAATAATTCCCAGCCATCAAATGCTTTTAATTATTTTTTGAATGAAAAAGAATTTTTCCATTCAATGCTGAGTATATGCATTTTTACTGATTTAATTGTCGTCATTCAAAAGTTTATATTTTACTAACTGAGATTGAAATGAATAATTATGGATAAAGTTTACCAATTGTAAAATATCATTCTTCCTCTTCTTTTGATGATGCTGTTATTCAGAAGGACAATCAAAGCTTTCCAACTAAAACATCCATTATCATCCATTTGAGCTACACACATTTTCTCCATCATCTCAATTTAATTCATCTATTTTTAGGAATTAGAATCAATGAAAAACTCAGATCATCATTGATGTCCAACTGGAAAATAGTCTTATTACCTTGTGCATTCAAAAAGTCTTTTTTAAGTTAGAAAGAATTGTTATTCAATTCTATAGGTGATATACTTGAAGGTTAAACTAAATTTATTTTTCTTTCTAAGAAAAAACATGTTGTTATTTAGTTGAGGTGAACATATATTATTCTTTGAAAGATAATTTATTTCAAAGATTGAGTTTAGTTAGATAATCACTGAAAAATGTTAATTATTGAACAAATTTTTTGTTGTGTAGTGTAAATTAATAACTTTACAAGGTTATTAGACCCAAAGATTCTTAAGTGAGTTACAGTAGATCAAATTTTTTAACTCTAATCAAACTTGTACTATGAAACAACACACAACCTATTGTATATTAGCACAAACAAATATATTAATATCAATTAAAATATGAACTCTGTTTTAATTTTTTTTCTTCACAGTGTAGAAGTAAATACTGTCAACTTCCTAGTAAAAATTTATTAATTGTTGATCTAGTCGAGTCAGATGCTGGACAATATACTTGTATTGCAAAAAATACTTTAGGTCAAGCAGAATCAAGTGCTTTGTTGACAATAATTCCACGTTTATACATGAGTTTAACACCGATTTTACGTGTTGTCTATCAAAATTCCACTGTACTTCTTCCTTGTCGTGTTCAAAGTTCATCATATTTAGATGTGAATTATGCTTGGCATTTTGAGGTAGGTATAGTGAAGTGTTTTGATTTTTGAATAGATTTTTTATTAAATTATATTTTGTCAACATTATCCGGTTGTAGTATACGCTCCATGTGCTTAAAATGTATACCTAGAAATTTATCAATCTCATTACATTTTATGTTAGTAACTTCATGGAAATGCTTAAAGAATAACTTTTAAATTCAAATATAATTATTATAAAGAGTTTGAATTATCTCGCTGTTGATATTCATGACCGAAATTTTTATTAGTCCCTGTCGGGATTTGTACACTGTGAGAATTACTCTAATATAGCCGCCATCTTGTTACACCTTTTGAAAAATAGATGGATTGTCACTAGCACTGGAATCTTGGACTCAGGTTTCCTCCTATTCGGGACTCGTCAGCTGGATGTACCTTCAACTCAATGTTGACGTTTACACAGGTACCCAAAATCCTACCTTCCCGTATTTGTTCACTAGGCTAATAGTCCTCCTCGATTCAGTAGCTCAGTGGAAAAAAATTTTCAGCATTTGAAGCGATTGGTTCTCGTCTGAATCTTGACATATTCATCAACATTGGGATGTAGACTTTACCTAATTGAAAATTCCCAATTACAGTGGGACAAGCCTCTTGGATTCCTTCGTTGGTTACGATTCATCTATTGCATGTTCAGTTCTGAATTAATTTCTGTACAAGGTTGTCAGACGTTGTAACAGTTCCGTTTATACTTTATATAAAGTATGAAATAGAATGTTGATTTTTTTTCAGTTTATACAAAAAAACTGAAGACAATTTTTCCATTATAATCTTTTAGAACATAGATGTCGACTGTTTGATAGAGAGCAATGACACTGAATTATCTTGATATAAATTGATAGGTGACTGACTAACAGTGAATAGTAACAATTGATAATGATAACTATATTGATTCTTTTCATTCGTAACACATGAATTAAGTAAAGTCCAGCGATCGACTATAATATTGGTTCACATTTTTCTATGCTATGCCAGGATACCGATATACCTTCTACATAGTGGTCATGACGTTGAAGTCTTTAAATCTTTCAAAATTATCAATAAACAAAGAAATTCAAAATTGTAACACACTGTTGAAGCTGTTGCATAAAAAAAGATTTAAACGAAATTTATGTATTCAAAAAGAAACTAATAGATTTTGTTTTGTTCTGATGACCTAAATTTATATATGTAACAGTGTCTTTTTCGTTTCCATTAACTTTGTTAAAATTTCCATTATCTTTACTGTGTGTTTTATTTTATCAGAATATTCATTTATTTACTAGGGCGTAAAACTTAAATTTGATAGATTAGATTTAGATGCTAGACGATATGAACTTGCTCAGCTTTACAGACCGTATGGACATTATTTTGGAACATTGAAAATAGTTAATATTCAGTTTGAAAATTCTGGGAATTATACATGTGCAGCGGAAACTCCCTTAAATTCACAATTATCAAGTGGTATTATTCGAGTAGCAGGACCTCCTGGACCTTGTGGCGGTATGAAATCTGTAGTTAAAATTAGTTTTAATGCAAAATTATTTAATTTTATTACAATTTATATTTTGGTTTCCTTTTATCATTTAAATATATCATGTAATATACTTAATTTCATTAAAGATTGTTATATATACGTGACTATGATATATCTGATTGAATTTCTCGTAAATCGCATATATATATATATATATATATATATATATATATATATATATATATATATATTGCCAAGAAGTTATGATATAATTTTTATCGTCATATCACACTACTTTATGTACACATGTCAGTTTTAATACGAAATTATGCAGTTTATTGATTAGAGACAACAAATTCTGCTTAAAAATACTCGTTTTCACCATTGTTTTATTACTGTTATCCCATGTACTCCTATATACTGATTGATAGCAAACTTGTTCATATTTTCTTTATATTAATTAATTTAGGTGTTGTAGTTGATCCTCATGTTGGAGTAGATCGAGTAAATGTCAGTTGGGCTGCTGGTGCAACACATTTGTCTCAAATATTATATTTTCAAATTGAAGCCAATGCAATGTATGATCCACCTAATCAATGGACAATTATGGCTTCTAATGTTAGTATATCTAGTACAAAACTGCTGAAACCATCAGGTAAATTTTATTTTACATATATATAAATATATATATATATGCACTTAAATCGTTATAGGTAGCTAGAAAAAAAAAACTCTAGAGACATAGATTTTACTGGACACTTTCAGTCTTGAGTATAATGATGCTCCTTGTAGGACTCGAGCCTACATTACCTAGCATTTTAGTCTGAGAGGTTGGAGTTGAAATATTCCGACTGTTACTGGTCTACCGTAACAATGAATGATCACTACCTAATATTCTTTTTGTACAGTTTCTTTAGTACCGGTTGAATTTTGTCATTATATGTACAAACAAAAGTATAACAAAACTTTACAGAAAATACAAATACATACAGATTAGAGTTTATTATCTTCCTATTTGTTTTGTGTATTCAAAATCGAATAAATCCCAGTTAATTTGTGCTTTTTTTTTGGTTTGCAAAAAACCTCATTCATGTACCAGAAAGTTATGAAATGAATTATTCATTAGAGAAATAGCAAATTGTTTATCAAAGTCAATACATTGAAGTCGAATCTTCTGGTAGATTTTGAAAACACAGAAGATAATAATTTTACCGATTTTTAGCAGATTAGAAAAAAATCTGTTGAATATTTAAAATTCAACGAGATAAAAGAAGCCATTCAGTTTCAATTTTCACGTAATTTAATACTTTCCGAAGAAAAAATTTTTTTATTTATTAATCTATTAGTATGTTTATATTGTAGTGATCGATATTCAATTTCATTAAATATTATTTTTATTAAGTCAAAAAAGTAGACAACAAAACAGAGCAAATGAGAATATATTATGTCTCCTCTAAACTTTGTCATTCTTATTTTCGCATTACGGGGTTGTGAAGATTGTTAAGTTACACATTTTTGAAACCATGAATCGATCAATGTTAGACCACTATTAGAAACCTGGAAGCACTGGACGGCCGTTTCGTCCTGGTATGGGACTCCTCCGTGAATTGATCAAATTAGACATTAACACCGTTAGATACTACCGGCTCAGTGGTCCGATGGTTAGGCGTTCGCCTACAATACCGGAGGTACTGGGTTCGAATCTTGCGGGGTGCAGGAGTCGTGGATGCGCACGGCTGAGGAGTCCCATACCAGGACGAAACGGCCGTCCAGTGCTTCCAGGTTTCTAATAGTGGTCTAACATTGATCGATTCATGGTTTCAAAAATTCTTATTTTTGTTTTATTCTTGAGAAGAAACAAATTACATGATTTGAAAAAAAAATACAATTGATCATAGTAATTTGAGTAATAACTGTATCACGATTTTTTATTTATTTAAATATTTTTATGTGAAAATTGCAAACTTTTGTTTCATGCATACCATGATAGATTTTGACAAATAGGTTTGATGATTCATTTTAATTCAATGATTTATTCTCTACTGTGTACTGATCATTGTTTAAACATTATTAATTTCAAAGGAATGAATGTTTGTTTAACCAGTCTATGAGAAGTTTTGTGTACCTGTGTTTCATTTAAAACAAATATGAAATTTATAATTTGTCGGTGACGTTTTGAGCTAAAATTACTGCTGAAGAGATCTTTTCACTCGGTTTTCTGGATAATACTATTTTTAGTAAAAAAAACTTTCTGGAAATCCTTACGGTAAAAAATCAATCATTACCAGTACTTGTTAGTTTCTCATGAATCCTTTCTGAAAATTTATGTGACAACCGCAAAATAGGTTTACTACGTAGTTAACTGGCATTTGTTATGAAAAACCAAGGGAGTAGCTGTCTTATCCTAGTTTGGGATTCAGCTGTGTCAACCTTAAACATTATCAGGAATCGACCTCAGGATATTCGGTACGTCGCTGAGCACTTAACCTTCAAACCATGACATTGCACAATCATCTTCTAGTGTTAGTGGAGGATCACTGTCTCATTCCAGACATGATCGGTTCTTTGATGAAATTTCGGGGATTTAACCCTTGAAATTTGTTACTAGCGTGAACATAATTATTATTACTGTAAGTGATAGGTGCTGCAGTAGAGTTCCATCCAAGGATGAAATCGATATTCAGCGTTTCCTGATTTGAAATGGATGTCGATGCACAATCCATGATGTAAATCATAAACTATCTTGATCAATATTAGATTTATTAAGATAGTAAATGTAACAGTGGTACTTTTAATGTCTGATGCTACACACCTAGAATACACAATCATCTACTTTTTGCTGTATCAAGCCACGATTATTCACTATCATTCTAGTCTTGTGGATTACTTTCTGACCTACCCAGGTTTATTTTACATACATCGTTTTCAATATAATTAATGTTTACGCTATCCATAAAGATGTGTGCTTGTGTATGTGTCTGTCTGCTTGTATTTTTCAAGTATTAGATAATTCATACTCAGTTAGGTTCAATAGACTGTTAACTTCTTTTCCAAGCTCCGTCAGTTCGATTTTACCTCATGATTTATCTGTTACATGGTGCATATGAAATACATGTCTCAGACACACTTCGTATCTGATTTTTTGAACTACCGCTTCACAAAAGGTCTAGCTGCTGTTTACAGTTTGCAAAATTAATTGAACACGTATATTTTATAGTTACCAGCGATGGAAATTGACCAATAGGATTGTAGGCTTCTGATTTGAACTTTTCGCTAAAAACACAATTTTTAGTACAATTACAGGTTTCTCTACTGAAATCTGATTATTATCATTACTTGAAATTGTCTCAAATCAACTTGTTGAACCATTGATCATTCCGTTTTAATGAAAAAAAACAGATGAGGATTCTATCAAAGAAGTTTAACCTGTAACTTTTTCAAGTTTTGTTTTTTTGAACTTAGTAGTGTAATAATTAGTGAAATGTTTATTTGCTATATTATTTTTCACAGAACGTCGTATGACTGTCGTTCGTAATTTAGCTGCTAATATGGCCTATAGAATACGTGTACGTGCAGGAAATGCTTTAGGTTTAGGTGGACCTAGTCCACCAAGTTTATCTTTTACTACTTTGCCAACTGCACCAACTTTAATACCACAAAATGTAACCGGTGGCGGAGGTAAACACGGAACATTAGTCTTTAAATGGATACCATTGAGTCGTGTCAATGAAAATGGACCAAATTTTCACTATAGAGCTCATATTAAAGCTAAAGAAAATGCAGAATATTCTGTTCATGATTTATGGACAGCCAAAATGTCAGATGATGGAAAATTCATGCAGTACACATTGACACTTGGTGATAATCTATATTACAAACCATATGATGTAATGATACAAGCTGTCAATAGTGAGGTAATGTTTGAATCCAATTATATAAATGATTTTAATTCTAAGACAACAATATATATATATATATATATATATATATATATATATATATATATATATATATATATATATACGGTATGGTGTAAAAGTAAAAACATTTTGTAAACACTTTTATACCAGTTCTAAAACAAACATCACTGCAATTTACTGCCTATCTTATAAATATCTAAACTGAGTAGTCATCAAATAAGTTGTTTTTTTTATTAACCGACCGAACATTTAGGCTGTAATGTCTGTAGCAGCATGTTGAGCCCACATGGTTTGTCCCAGCCGAGTTATTCACACGTCTTTCGACCGTGTCAATCATTCGCTCATAATCTTGGTTGTTTTTACTTGATTGCGTAGTGCATTGGTTGCTTCGCTTGTCATATGTCTAAGTTATATTTGTCCGTATATAAATATCTCACCATATGGAGTTGGCTCATTCTCCTTTTTTTGCCTCACTTCACTTCGGTTCGCTCTTAAGATTCTCTTTAGTATCTGTTTGCCTAAATGAATGCATGAAATAAATTCATCCAAAATAAATCGTATTTGGCTTTTAATAACTGCCGTCACATACACACAAGACTCGCTTAAGAATAATATGAAGAGATGAAATGGAAGATTTATTTTATAACATACTTAACTGTTCGTCTAAAATTGAGTCGAATTTCGGGCCATCAAAAGGTGATTACATCATCAATAGTCATACATCCAGAATGAAATAATTCTTTTTATTATCTTTTAACTAAAGATTCTCATACAAATTTATTGTAATTGTCATCTGAATTTAGATATTCTATGTTTAAACATCGGGATTGTAATAGGTTTCAAATTGTGAAATTCAAGATGATCGATACAGTCTGTTCTTTGAATAGACTATCATAAATATACTGGTTTAATGCATTTTACACAAAAATGTCACTGATAAAGAAATATCTACCAATAAATTATTTGATTTTTTTTCACTATTAACAAAATGACTAATTGTTTGACAGGTAGGATATTTCCCATAACAAGTACTTATCTTCTAAGTTCATTTGGTTCCTTTTATGATTTATTAAAGATATTCTATATTTTCTTACTTTTCTAATATTTGTCTATATTTTCTTGAACATTAGGGTGCTGGTCCTTTAAGTGAGCCAGTGACAGTTATGTCTGCTACTCGTGTACCAACAAATGCACCAAGTGGTGTAACTGCTGGCGCATTTAATTGTTCAGCTATTCGTGTTTGGTGGCATCCACCTCTGCCATCAGAAGGTGAAGGTCCGACTTGGGGTTATCGAATTTTGTATTGGCCACGTATATCTGATTGTCGTTCACTTGAATCAGATCGTGCCAGGCATCAACTTGGTCAACGTCAAACAGTTCATGGAGATGTGACCGAAGGTTTAATAATTGGATTAGATGCCGATACCTATTATTGTATTGCTGTTCAAGTAATCCATTTCAAAATTTTACTGTTTTACTTTATGTATCCTTCGAATTATGTGTAGTATTTTGATCAAAGAAAAGTTTGATAATTCTGAATAATTGATAAAGTATGCAGTTTATATCATGAATTATCATGAATTTCAATATATTATATATTATACTTCTGACAATTTGGTTCTATAAAGATTAGTACAAAGACTATGTAGAAACCCATCAAACGTTTTATTATTTATGTTAAAACTTAAAAATCTACAAATCAGCCATTAAATCCAAGTCAACATTTACACTAATAGTTACAGAAGTTTATTTCAATATCTATGAACAAACTCATATACCAAACATTGAACAGATTTATTATGTAAAGACTAGAGTCAGTATTCTCTATCCTAAACTTATTTAAGGGTCTTCAGGTTAGAATGATAAATCGTCGATTAGTCTCATTTTGTTTATGAATTCAGATGATCTGAGTTATTCAAATCACAAAGGTGTATTATTGCTACTTTTGACATTAATCTAGTTAGATTAGTGTTCATCAGTTTCTTCACCTCTACATGTACTAGAATCTTGAATGAATACACTAAGTAAGTGTAACTAATCAAGTTTGTAGTTGATTTTTACGTAACGGTCTTTGATTTGTTAGTGAATAAATGTTATATAATTTGAATGAGTTTAAGATTACTAGGAAATAGTTGTCTGTTATATTTTGAGATTGAATGGTTGGTTAATTCACGGTAGCTAAGTCATTTATGTAACTCATTTAGTTGGAGGTAATTTTGATCATTGGTGCAAGCAAAATAAAAGGAGTAGTGAACTTGAAAATTTGGATCATTGATGACTAATTAAGAAATCTAAATATTCACTATTTGAACCCATGCATAATGATGCAAACTTCTGAAATAGGATAAAATAACTATTCATAACTATTCATACTTCCTCAATTTGAAGATTAATTTCAATTGTATATAAATTCAATAAAAATAGAGGGAAAAAATTACTATCATAACCATTATTTAGATTGATTAAAACTTATTTTTACCGTTGAAGTTAGACTCATGATGAATTCATTCACATATTTTCAAACATTTTGAAAATGCTTTTTTCCAAATCAAATTAAAAGATATTTAACAGTGCTGGAGATGGTCCTGAATCCAGTTTCACAGAACAGACAACATTTAAGACAGCTCCACGTGAATTTCCTACTATGGTTACTTTGAATGCAACTGGTATACCAAATACTATACGTGTTTCATGGGTTGGAATTCAAGCTAGACCGAATGAAGAATCGGTGGAAGGTTATTGTATTCGTTATTGGCCAACTGGTTCGCAATTTAAACGAACTTTCAAAGATATTGATGTCGGACTTAAAACTTTTGGTTTTGTTAGTGATCTAAAAACTGATGTCAGGTATAATTTACGTGTATATGGTTATAGTCGTGGAGGCGTTGGTACTATGAGTTCACCAGTAAACCAATTTCAAATTATTACTAAAGAAAAATGTATTCCTGGGGCAACATGGGGTAAGAAGGAAATTAAATTATTTTAACAAACGTAATTTTCAATGAATTTATTAGAGAACAGAAGTGGCTTGCTTGTATATAATTTCTATTTATTGAGTAATTTCGAAGTATAATAATCATTCATACTAATATCAATTCCTTTCAGTTAAATGATATACTTCAAAATATCATTGATCGATATTGAATTTTGATGCGATACATTGACTAGCATGTGGTAAAATAGGTTGATAAACTAAGCAAAAACCTTCAGTTTTTAATTTGTTAAAGAACTTGATGAAAGAAGTTTTTAACCTAGAAAACTAATGACAAATGATTAAATGGTTGAAGAATAATAACAACTAACCTTCACTACTGTAAATATATATTTCATTACCATACACTTAATAAATTAATTCTCTGTTCAGCATTACTCTTAAAATAACTTCAAATTTTTTATTTCTGAATAAATGAACTGTTCGAATTCCATTGAAAAGATGATATAGTTTAAATAATTGTTGTAATGATATAGTATTTCATGAAAAATTAACGTTAGGAGATGATCGTTTTTACAATACTACAATCAAGATATAATGTAAATTTCATACTACAAGATGCATAAATATTCTGTCAAATGGTTTTTTCATTAGCCATGATAGATGTTCATGGATATATATATATATATATATATATATATATATATATATATATATATAGATTATGAACGCCCTTAAGAACTTCACAAGCATTTAGCCATCCGTCAAAATAAGTACATTGTTCATTATGAAAGAAACTTTTATATATTTCATTAAGTTTGACCACTTTGCATGATTAGTGACTTTAATTTTATTCATTATGATCTGAGTTATCAATGTTTGATTATCTTAATGAGCTTATCTATCGATTGAAATAAATCAATAAATAACTATTTATCTCTTTGTTTATTTGTATTTCTACTTTACAGATGGTCCCGATTTTCGGTATAATTTCATATGTAATGGTCATACGATTAAGATATCTTTTGGCCTTACAATAACGCTGATAATTTTATGCATAACTTTTAAATATTCTCTATAGTATTTATTCATTTGTTCCAATGTAAATTTTTTTTATATATACTCATCTAGAAGAAAGGCTGTCTGTAAATCAAACACAATAATAATAATAATAATAATGAACAATGTATCATTCTTTATCATTAAATAACTGTCACGATTGTTACTTTGTATCATCGAATAGTGTTCAACAAAAGGTTGTACATTTTTATGAAAAAAAAGAAAACGTGATGATTTCAAACTTATTTTCATGACATTTTAATGGCACTGCTTTTGTTTGGATTGTGTTATGCAATAATAAAACAACAGATTTAGATCTTTCAGTTATGTTTGTTTCGTATTTTACACAGGAAAATACGAAATGAATTCCAGAAGAGTAAGTTTTTTAGGGTACGTTGCCTAGCACTTGTATAAAACAGTCACCTCATATTTCTAGATAGAGTTCCGAAAAGTACTTTGGTGAGAAGTAATATTCATGAGAGGCTCAATATTTAACTATCCACAAAGTGCGATGGTGAACATTTTTATTTTTACGGGTTTCCGGGTATAATGAATTCACTGAATCTGGAGCATAGTTGTTAGTAATTTCGATTTAGTCTTCAGGTTTCATCGTTCTTCGATTTGATATGTTGTTTTGAAGACCTTAAAATTGAAGGTTTGTTGTTTCTGTTATAAAACCAGGAATATCTTTACCTTCACTATCTCATATTCTCTCTCGATTATCGATAATGAAAGTTATAGCACATACGATGAGCCATGATCATATTTTTGCTTATTCCTCTGTACTAACATAATGATAAAACAGTTTCTCAACGCAAGTACCAGAATGCAAATGGCTTATAGAATGATAACACATAGAACAGTGTAGTGGGTCTATGTAGGGTATGAAGGCTTAGTTTGAGAAAGCATTTGATTTTTAACATAAATGTGGAATATAATGCAGACACAAAGCGCAGAATATTCTCAGTGGGTGATTGATCATTATATGACGAAGAGGTCTTGGCGCCAAAGTACGAAATGACGTCGTAAACATAGGGTCTCTGATTTTACTGGTGGGCTTTGGCATGAAACGGCGTCTCTCGAGTAGCGTTAGTAATGAAGACACTATGTGCCATAAAGAATATCCCATTCATCGGTTTCTGTATTCGATCATTTCTGAACTCATCTTGCTGGAAGCCCACCCGCCTCTGTCGGTTATATTATGATACAGCAAACTAGGAATTATACTTAGAACACATTCAATTTCTCTGTTCTTGCTTTTAAGGTAAATTAAGGATAACGGTTGAAATAAATAGGGTTAGAATGGTAACTGTAATGTCCTATTTTGAGTTCTATTCATTCAATATTCTTTCTCAAGAGATCTTGGTCACATCTTTCTACATAACTCCAAAACTTATGCTTCAAGCTCTCTGTGAAAGGTGAAAGTAGTAGACTTGGGTATAACAGATAATACGGAATCGTGATACCGAAATATCTGATCAGTACATGGTATTTTAATGATGTTGCAGATCTCCAACTTATATTATGTGTCACGATAAGTTTCATTCAAGTTGGGTGAAGATGGTGTTACATTCTGGCTAATGTTGATGTTAAAACTTACAGCAAAGGAGAAGAAATGAAAGTGAACAACATTGTCTGTTATCACTCTTCACTGAGAATGAGTCTGTGAGCTGTCCTCTATGCACGATCTTGCACTGTAGTCCTTCATAAGAATTCCGTATGATGTTAACTATCTTCTCAGGCACGCCGTAGTGTCGAAGAAGCCTCCATACAGTCATCCTGCTGATACTGCATATTAATGGGTTCATTTCAACAGATTGTTTCACGATGATTTTCAGTGTCGTGATTCGGTTGATATACGGTCGATGTGTAGTGAGTGAGTCAAGATATCAGATGGACTATGCTCACCACTAAATGTTCCATAATATCCCGTCGTCATTAGAATCAAAATAAATCCATGGTTGAGTATTTTGTTGAAGGAGAACTTTGGCATTACACGGGGAGCAGGGCATTTAGTAAACTGGCAGCAACGCGAAGAGAACGTTGCGCGCAAGAAGTAGAAGTGTTTTTGGTACAGTTAAACAAAACAAGTACAATAATGTTTATTTTCCACAAATCGTATTTTCTTGGTAGAAGTGTTACACTGCAGCAGCTTCCGCCTAGAAAGGGTTTGCACTTTCGAAACGTAGCGACTGCGTTGTCACCGATAGTCTTCTACGTTGAACTGTGCCAGTAGTAACGTGCCAGGTTTGCTGCCCGAGCTGACATGCCAAGTTTATCTATCGGATTGGCATGCCACACAAGCGTGGCTCGTATCCAGAGTCTGAAGATTGCATTCGTACGGGTCCGGACCAGATTAAGCTGCAGACGTACGACGGAACCAGATTCAGCGAAGGAGCCAGAAACGATGATAACGAACAGTGCGAAACCAGATATATTCGTAACCAGAACATCGACTGAGTGCATTGACAAGAGCGTGGGTGATCAGGCCAGCTTTCGCCAATGTTGACTGAAGTCGACAGTACCAACAGGGCAATTGTCGGAGTCGTAGGCTCAGGATAAAAAAATAAAGGAAGAAGAGAAAGGAGTGGCATACATGTATTACGAGGATAGTGTCCTATCGGTTATTCGTTGTTGATTGGGATATTGGTCGCGAAAGCGTACAGGTAGGCGTACGCGGCGACTGGAACGCGAGACGGTAGTCTCGTGCGTACCTCGTGAGCCTGCAATCTCATCCGAAGTCAGGGGCGGCGTGGTCTGCTGATCTGGACGTGAGACCGTAGTCTCATCCGTAGATAGGGCAGATGACGTGTGCTGTTGACTGGGACGTGAGAAGGAGGTCTCTGATGCATCTAACGTGGGATCAGAAGAAAAAATAAGGATCCCGCTAGTGAGTTGGACGAGTGAAGCATTAAATCTCGATTTACCAGGTAGCGCACTGTCATTTACGTGTACTGGTATGAGACGATCAATGTTGACTGTGTCCATCATCCTTGAAGGTCTTTTCGTGACGAGAGATCACGTGAAAAGATCCTTCGTAAGGTTGTTGAGTACCGAATCTACTGGCAAGAAAACTTGCGGACAGGTAAATAACTCTCGAGGGAGAGCGACCTGTCAATGTTATATCCGAGTTCACACCGGAGACAGTATTCGCATCTACGCAGATAGTCGTTGGACGTTATCTGATATACCTAGAATCGCTGCTCCGTGGTTTGAAAAAATTCATCAGGCAGATGAAATGTCGTGCCGTATACAAGTTAGGAGGCGGAACATTGGATGTCTGCTGTTTCTGCTCCGTAATCGCCATGTCGTCTCCAACAAATGCCATCTATCTGCTAACCGAGTGAAGAGAGGAGTCTTAAGGACTGTGAGAAAGACGGAGTAATACATATAGAAAGTAAACTGTCAAACTCACGCTTAGCGAAAACTAAGTTGTCCAGTGCCAGTTGGCGAGGTTTTTCCGTGACTGGGTGTCTGCAGGTAACGATCTGGCTTACCACATAATTATTCACCAGTTGAATCTCCTCGGTTTCGTTACTTTGAGGAATTTATCAAATATAGCATGAAACTAATAATAATTCAAAATAAATATGTTGGTGATTCGGCACATATCTGTTTGCTCGTTAAAAACCATGGATTTGATACTCGACGAAGTATCGATTAACGCAGCCTACGTGAATCGAATAGCAGTTCATAGTGCTGTTAGGAATCGATACCGAGTACGGCTATGGGAACATCAGCAGGGATGAACGTCCATAGATACGGTCGTCGATCATTCAGGTTGATCGTTAGCTGTCGTGTACCGTAGGTATGAATGACAGAGCCATTCGCAGTGCGTGGTCGAAGCATCGTAGCTTATGATCTACTGCTATCAAACGATACGACAGAAACTTAGGCACCTGTTGCCACCAAGTATCTAGCGTTAGTGCAAAAATCGTGCATGTAAAATAAACCAACAACTTGATCTGACGGGAAGGAGACAGGTGAGAATGCAATGACCTGGACGTCGGAGGCTGTAATTATAGCTATCCGCCATTCCGAAAAGTTATTGCAAGTATAATATGTATTAAAGGACATTAATAATAACATTGCAACATTTTAAAAATGGTGATAGTTGAATAATAGGCTGATTGTAATTGACTTCTTTGAATAAAATCGTCAGCCCACCAATTTTAGTGTTGATGCAGTCGTGATTGACTATGATCACCAATAAATACTAATTACAAGCCCATCACAGGGAAAATAAATAATTCAACGGCAATTTCGTGCTGTCAAAAGAACAGCGCAATGGAGTCAGGAAAGTGAGGCGAATCTACGGAGTTGGTAGAGCAAAAACTGTCAGCAACACAAACGAAACTCTCGCGCATAAAAAGTACTTTTAGACAAACAGTGGTACAGTTGGTTATAGTAATAAATGTTTCTATCAAAGCAATCACGTTCTCTTCATATAAGTGGTTTAATTACAGATCTTCCACTCATCAGCATTGCCAGATTTTTAACCCTCTTCGTTTCCATATCCTTACGCTGTACATGCCTCTGGTTTTCAGCTGAGGTGCTGGTTTACACCACGAGACGTTTAACTGCTGTGAAAAAAGACGTTCCTACTTCCAGGGCGTGGTTTATATGTTTATAGGGTGCTTCTTCTGGTTAGCACTTTGAACAATGTTTTTTACTTGGTGGGGTCGCTAACCTCATGCTCAACCGTTATCTATTAACTTGGCGGGGTTTAGGCAGTAACAGTCTAATTGCCGCTTGTGGAGTTAACATCAGTATTAGTTAAGCTTTAACTCCTTTCAAAAGATTTATAAAGGACTCCTATAAAGTTGTGAATAAAAAATAGACATGTACGTTTACAGAGTTGTAGTGTCTATACGTGAAGAAAAGCAGATGAAAGTGTACTCCACAATATATGAGTAGATAAATTCGGCTTTCGAATCGCAAGCAAACTCTGTGTGAGTAAATCACTGACATTCTATATTTGTTTAAAGAACGAAAAAATCTCAGTGATTTAATAAAATTGGCACCTAGAAAATGAAGTCAGAAAATGAGACCCGCAATTTTGTTACCTGGTTGGACTTTGGGAATGAGAAATTAAAAGGTAAAAACACGAAGCATATAAGATACGAGAGTTTCGCAAAAGGGCCAGGTCTGGCTTTTATTTAGGACAAATTAAGTCGCTTGCAAGCAAGTTACACCTGAAAACATTAAAATTAGTCAGTGATCATTTGGTCTATAGAATAAGGCAAACAGCGGATTTCGAAAGTGTGCAACGGAGTCACTCATATTAAGTCAGTCTTGCTTCCGCTTAAGAACCCTAACTGAAACAAACTGGATCCGGAACATATGTCTGTGATGATCTCTTCCTTTTTGAAACTTAGGTATATACGAGCACCAACGGAACAATGAAAAGACCTTATGCTTAAGGTAGAAAAACTATTTCCAAGCCCTTCAGCGTGATGCTGGAGAGCGTTGCAACGAACTGGAAGTGGTCTACAAAAATGGAGAGGTTCAAAAATAAAACTGTCTCAGAAAACCGTAATATCATTTCCACTTCTGAAACACTGCTATCGTCATAATGCGAGATTCGTACTCTGAAGGGTCGACAGATTAAACTGTACTGGTGATGGGTATATCCTACATAACAGAAGCACCTTATCCATACCAGCTGTTGAGACTGTGGCACATGACTCAAAACAAATGAACTGGTGCACTACTGGTTGCAAAGAAATGTATCGGACATTGAACTAGTTGTAGTAAATCGATGTCCAGATTGGGCAGCAGCTGACTTCTTCTAAACTAAGCTAAACTCCTGGACGAATGGGTTTTAGAGCCTTATAGTAAGGGACCTTAACGCCTTCCCGAACATATTGACCAATCACAAAACTTTAGAAAACCACATTTGTGTTTGGTTCATCGCAGGACACTATAGATTATCACATAAGTTGCTACCAATGAGTGTATGACTCTAAGGATATGTCTGTGATGGCTTTTCAAACCGTCACCAAGGTTGGGAAAGTCGAAAAACACTTTTATTAGCGTTCAGGAGCTTCGCTTGACCGCCTGTCTTGATGGTTCACACACATGAGGGTGTAACCATAATACCAATTTACTTAGTAGATTGCAAGATGTTCGGGGTAGACCAGCTATTCAGTACATCTATGATATTTACAATATGATCACAGAGCCACTGTTGTAATAGATGATTCAAAATATATTAATGAGATACGGGAAAAGAAATGGAGCGATAAGATATTATGATTTTTGTATGTGCATATCATCACTGAGCTGGCTTCGATGCGTAGGTTGGATACGAAATGGTGATGTCTGCGTTGTTCTGATACACTGATTCATTCATCGAATACCCTGAGTTTGGGAGCTTCTTTTTAGACGTAGCTATGCAGATTGAGTTCTGTTAGACGTCGGAGACCCTAGGGCACACCGTTTTAGAGGCTCGTGTCTGTGCGACGGTGACAATAATAATCCACATTCGTTTTCTCGGATGGATTTATTTCATGCGTTCATTTAAACCGACAGACATGAAAATGAAAGGCATACAAGCAAGTGAAAAGTATTGGAGAAGGTGAGTGAGCGGGAACGGGACATTGGATTCTAAACATGATTATCACAGGAAAAATTTCTGAATTGGAAGTGGGAAATCAGGACAAAGCAGGAGCCATCACGAATTAATACAGCATAGTTTTCACTTGGTAGCCTCGTCTAATTGAACTGCCAGACCCTTTTGAATAACCGCAAAACCAGTAAGTCACTTTGGACTTTGATGTTACTTTTTGTTGATGGTGTAAAAGTTCAGCCAAAAATCACGGGGAAATAGTGTGTTAATGTACTGCAAGTATAACCTGACTTTCTGGTTAGCTGGTGCGAAATATGACTGTTACTCATCACTGCGCCTAAACGTGTTTACATACACATGGGGGATACCATGACAAATGAGCACAGCGTTAAGGAAGAATAGGCGCTTGTCGTCCAGTCAAATCACGGTCTTTAGGTAAAACCGCAGTTCAATACCATGCTGTTCTAGCCAAGGAGTTCAAAACACAGTGGGCATTGGTAAAGACATGAGATACGAGTATTTCTACTGCAGTATACATAAACTTGGAGAAATCCAGACTTCAGAACTGCGTGCAGGTTGAGAGTCACTGTTCAGAATGTAACCTAGAAAAAAAATAAATAAGGAGGTTAATCACGCGATTCTACGTGATGAGGTGTTCTGTATTAGAATCAAAGTGTATTTTTTACCTGATTTCTCTCCCACTTTTCTTTCCAGAAGATCAGGATATTCGCAAGGACATCATATGAGTGCAGAATCAGAGGAAGAACGTTGTACCGATGAGAAACAAATTTTCATACTGAGACATCAGCACACTGAACCCGTCACACGAATACTTAGTTTTCGTACCATATGGTGAACCTTCGAAAAGAAGACCAGAATTGTTCAGAGACCTGGTAGATAAGGATTAGGTCATACCATAGGTCTCCTATTCGCAACACATAAATCTGAATCTGAAGTCGGAATATGAATGTCGGTGGAACAGCGAATCAAAAATATCGTTTAATAAAAACATGAATTTACAGTGAAATTCAAAAATTTCAATTTTTACTGGTCACTGCATTTTCTGATTATATGTATAGTTTTGTTTTTTTGAATCAGATACATCTGTTTAGTTTAGACGCATTTGTTAAAAGCCTGCGGCGACCTTGAGTTGGAGGGTTTTGTCATATTATTGAATAAATGACACTGGAAAAAGAAGATAATTTTCAGAATTACCCTCATTCAATTGAGCGTCGTGGAGCGTTACGTCAGAAGAATGTTATTGAGATCAAGGGTCATAAATTTGTTGCTAAATTTTTCAAGCAATTCACGTTTTGTGGACACTGCAAAGATTTTATATGGTATTAGTTTTATGTATTTTTTTATTTTTCAGGGGTCTTGGTAAGCAAGGAGTCCAGTGTCAAATATGCTGCTTCGCTGCTCACAAGAGGTGTTATCAATATGTAGCATTTAAGTGTCCTGGTGCTGATTTAGGACCTGAATGTGATGTAATTTTCTTTTGCTTTTGTCTAATTATTTCAGTCTAAAAGATGTCATAAGTTTAAACCACACACTTATTCGAGTCCGACATTTTGTGACCATTGTGGTTCATTACTCTACGGACTTGTTCAGCAAGGTCTAAAATGTCAAAGTATGTTGCTTTCCCTTTGCATTATTTTTTACCAGACTGTGGTATGAATGTACACAAAAGATGTGAAACGAACGTTCCACACCTTTGTGGCGTAGATAACACGGAGAGACGAGGACGAATATATCTCAAGATTAGCTGGCACGAAGAAAGATTTGTTGTTGAAGGTGAGTTTAAGCTCTAATTCTTAACGTTAATCGATTAAAAAATGGTTGAGTCGGTTTCTTGTTCTGTTGAGCAACTAAACTTTTCCACGTATATATCTCCGGAATCGATTCGCATTAAATTTGACTTTCATTTTTTATTTTTATTATTATTTCTATTGTTAGTATCATTTCGAGATTGGAATAGCAGCATTCTATATTTTACGTTTCGTAATAATCAGTAGTTACTCGTTTACAGGAGTAAAAGTCTATTTCAAAGTAGTGTTTCAGGTTTTTGTCTTGGATGAGAGTGATTATCGTCCTTATATATCGTCCTATAAAATACCCTGGTTCAGCCAGCAGTGTTGAAAATCCGCTCCATCTTGAAATGCTCTCGTGGCCACGCATACACAGAAGCCCTACTCGCTGCCATCTCGAAGATGGAGGGCTGTTAACGAAATCAAGAGGACGAAACGTGAGTGTCCAGTGCTGAAACTCGGTTTGCTGGGATAGAGGATGCAGATAGGAGAGATAGAAAACCCTGAATGCGTATAAATGGTGTACATGGGTTTCGATATCCTGAGGAACGAATAGTTTGTAAACCTATTATTTATCAGTGGCTACTATGGTACTACACATCTTGACGTTGATCTACTCTCTTGTGAATTAGACCTCCTCTCTAAAGGCTCGAGGAACGGCTCCGCAAGAGAAACAATTGCCCAGATTTGAACATCCGGTCAGTATTCCAGGGTACTCACCAGTTCAGTAATTTGTATGGTTCCTAAATATTTTGGGGCCGCATTTGTACCAATGTTTATGTGCTTAAATATATAGTAAATAAATTTATGCATCTGTAGATTCGTCAGCAATTAACCATACGCTCTCAGATTCAGATGGAACCTCGAGTTAAATAGTGAAACAGGCACTCGAACTGGATTCTTTCTGATAGCTGCTTGTGCTTTTCTCAAGTGATTGATGCAATCATAGCTTGGAGGAAAGAATACATCTCGTTGCCTCTTCAAGTCACACTCCCAGTGAATGTAGTCTGGGTGAGATAAAAGACGTTTCCTGTTGAAATCATTCGAAAACCTTTCGGACTTATTGATTCACTGACTTATTGGCTAATTATTCTAGTAAAATATCCCACATAAAACCATTTTACTAATTGAATTTATCACGCTTGATTAGCTGATAAACTCTACTTTACTAGCTCTGCCCACCAAATTTTTCATTCGATCATTGCTTTTTAGTCAAAGAAGGTGGAAATCTTATTCCAATGGATCCAAATGGTCTTGCTGATCCTTATGTCAAAATCAAATTTGGACCAACCGATGAACTTGGACGCAAGTACAGAACAAAAACAATAAAGTCTACCCTCAATCCTGTATGGGATGAAAAGTTTACTATGTAAGTCATAAACCATTCAGCTTTTTCCGTAAAAAGTTAAGTGCTTGATTTCATATATAATTACATTTCTGGGTGTTTTGCTTCCTACGGGTACTGAAGCATGAATTTTTCATCTTTCTAACAATATTTTGGTTTATTCAAATTTGAGGAAAACTGATATTAAAATTTAAGCCTTATTAATTAGATATATCTATTTCATTGGTACTCGGTCTGATAGTGATCAAAAGTCTGGGTTAGTTAACCATGAAGTACGTATATATTATCCAACATATTCTAATTTTTCCAAGTTTGTTTCATAAATTAACCACTGTCTATTATCGGTTATCTCATAATATAGTGATCTACATCCAGATGATGAATCAAAGCGATTGCACTTTGAAGTTTGGGACTGGGATCGTACATCACGTGACGATTTCATGGGTGCTTTATCATTTGGAGTTACGGAATTGATTAAAAAGCCTATTGACGGTTGGTTTAAACTGCTCAGTCAAGAAGAAGGTGAATACTACTCAATACCTTGTACAACAGAAAGTAATACTCCACCCTATGCAGAGATATCATCTGAATATGAGGTATGCTCATCCATAATTTATTCAGTTTATAAATATTGTATTGCCATAATACAAGATATTAAATAAGTTACCCAATTTCACAACTAAGTAGGATTGACTCTTAGTGGAGGCCTCAATGAGTTTTATTTATTCGAAGTGAAATCCAAGTGATAAACAATAACGTGTGAAATCCATAACTACGAACACAAGCAATAATTTTAATGGTAGCTAATGCACTTCTGATTAAGAAATTTATCTGATGTATAGTTAGAATTTCCGATAAATCTAAAAGAATCTTTTTTTCTTAGCTAAAGTAGGCAGTTAAAACAAAGTAGTGCGTGGTAAGACTAGAGCAAGATCCCTTCGCACTTAAATTGCATCATATCAATTGCATAAACTTCATTACTTTATAAATCTTTGTAAGATGATAAAATAATCAACCATATATCAGTACACAAGTACAATAAAAACAGTCCAACGGTCAGGAATTATATTAACGATTAATGATGAAAGAATATGTATATGTATAATTATGACCAGAAAGGAGGAAATGATAAAACAATCAGTAGGCTTTTAGGTAATATTGTTTGCAGATGTGAAATGAGTTTAGTTAATGGTTGATTTATGCGCCAGACTCATTAATAAATTTTTTTCTGTCGGTGTTCTAACATTCAAAAAATAATTAATTAGAATGTTTTTGTTTCAATGAAAAACACTGGTTACATGTTGGCCTTCAGCTAACTAGTGTTTTTTTTAATTTAAACAAAAAATTCAAATCTCTACTACTACGGGATTTGAATTGACAATTGTGTCCCTGTTCTAATGTGGTATGGCAACTTGAACTGATGTACATACATACGAAGTCCTACGTTGTAACTGACTGACCAATGAAAATATCTTGGATCTAAATGATTTTCTTTATTATTGTTCATCAGCACTATCGATCCAGATCCTGGATAAATATCTTTATACTCCTGTAATTTAGAGATGCTTCATCTAACTGTCAACTTATAAATGTTATTGCTAAACTCTTTAAATTGTTAACATTTGTTAGTGGGACTATAGTATGTGTATAATTTGCTATGTAAATAAGCAGTACTAATTTAATTACCAACACTGAGTAATCTTACAACCGGTTGCATAGTGTGGTTCCAGAACTGTGTATTAATTCAGTGGTAAGTTGTTAAACTAAAATTTAAACCATCTTAAACTAATTTTTATATGTCATAATATGGATGTCAGATTTTGGTAACCATTGTGTATCATCGAATGATATCATTGGTAAAAGATGTACAGACTGTTGGTGCGCGTACTGCTTTTCTTTCATAGTGAAGCTTAGAAATATTAACCGAATTGTTTAACTTAAAATAAAATAAAAAAATATACAACTGATTCGTCATTCAAGGTTTTATTTAAACAACCCAAGTAACAATAATTTAAAAGAAATAAACTATTTATACCTAAGTTTACCTGAGCAGAATTGACCATAGATAAAATTCAGTTGTAAATTTCTAGATCGTGGGAAAATATATTAATCATAGTATCATTTCTTAATCGATTGATTTGAATGTATAAACTTTGGTACCAAAAGGCAACAAAGTACATATGCGTCACACTAGTATTTGGCACTGTGCATGAACTAGGATACTTCCCGCATGCCCTAATTCAAACAATTAGCTTTCTAAACGGTCACCCTCCAAGCATTAGACCTAGGTGTCTAATCTACAAGACAGTGGACCAAGGTTCTAATATGCGATCTCATGGAGACCTGTGACCAACACTAGGTTCACACACCATTTGTTCCCTCAGGATACCGGAGTTAGTGTTCGCCATTAATTCGTAATCGAAGTTTTCTATCTCCTCTATGTACGCACTCGTAACTGTCGGTTGTATATTGGCATTTGGGTGCTGTACATTGTCTTATCGAACATAACTAGTCATCTGGTATCTGATATGCTTATTATGCAGATATTGTTTGTCAACCTAGTTTACTTAGGAAATGTTGCTACATCTGTATATATTCATTTGTCAGTCAGGTAAAGTGCCGTTTACCCGGTACATCAGCTCAACGAGATGAATTCCGAAATTTATAGATAGCAATATTAATGCCACTAAAAAGATTATAGTTAGGGATATAGTTTGAGAAGAAAGAACTATTATACAGAATAGAAGAAATAACATACATCAAATGGAAGTCGAAGAAAAAATGTATCTGATACACTGCGATTAATTAATTGTCAGCAATGTCATTCAATGTTTTCGATTATTGGTTACAATAATCGTACAGACTCCCATGTACTTGTATTGAAATTTCTGAAAGCTATTTAAATACAAATATAAATAGCTTTTATTGTCCATTTTTAAAGTAAATGATTTAGTTTACCTATATTAATAAAAAGGGAAATAATTATACTTGGCGATATATATATATATATATATATATATATATATATATATAATGTTTATATTGATAAGTTCATTAGTGAAAGAAACAGAGTTGATTGTTGAGTTTATTGTTATCAGTTATTATTCTTTCGTGTTTTTTTTATATCTACGTTAACTTCATCTGATTTTGATTATTTTTGATATGAAAAGAATAGTTATTATAGTATCGTTTCAATGACTTAATTTCCTGTGGGAGAAAACAAAGAATTATATATTTCTATTTATTTATTCAATAAACAGATAAATGCATTTATTTGTTGAAAATAAAACAGTGGAATTAGGTCATTGTTTTTTGAATGTTGAATTGATACAGATTGTAAAAAAACATTTGACATGAGAATTCAATGGCATAAAAGTGATTTCTTATCTATTCTATTCAATTGACTTATTATTTTTGTGATTGATACACTCTGATTAACATGTTTGCATTGTGTATGATAATTTCGTATATACACACAAAAAAACATTGTTTCTTTGGACGTAATTTTTATCGACCACAAACATAAAACATTGATAACAATGATAATGTATCACCATGGTATGCTTTGTATATTGGTTGAATATATATCTATTTCATTGTGTTATTCGATCTATTCTTTCTACTTTGAAACTATATGTAGTAAAATTTGAAACAACTTGTTTCTATGCATTTCATTTGAATATTCTTAGTCAGCTGATACTATGATGAACAAAGACGGCAGATCAGCTAGGATAAGCAATTTTTCAAAGAAGATACAATTTACTAGCTGAAAAGTGTACACCAGTTGCAAAACTAGCCTATTCTTAGGCGTATTATATTTCTTAAAACACCGCAATCACGCCACAAATCTGTTTCCAACCACTTCTAGCTTTTGGCCGTAACTTCAGGATGACTCTGCTGCATATTCGCAGCTTGCTACTTATAAGTTCATTTGTCAGTAGTACACACCACAATGTCATCCAACAGTTTTAATTCAATAGTTCAAAAATATCATGTTTGACGTGACATCTAAAGATCGTGCTTTGGATTCTGTATGATTTGTGTATGGAGAGTTATTCTTATTGATTTTAAACTAACATGGCTTAGGAGTTAAGTATGTGGTTACGTTTTTCTTAAACCAAATCATAATTTGGACAGATTGTGTATCATCCTACATTTATGACCCTAAACCAGAGTCACGAACCTAATTTTTGTTATCAAGTTATATTCAAGTTTAAGGAAAAATCATTATTCAATTTTGTGATGTAAAAATATTCATTCGAAATTGAAATAATAGAACTCTAAGTGATATTGCCCCCGAATGCCCTAGTACGGGCGACAGTAGTGAGAGTCTTCTTCCTCTCTCTCTCATAAGGTCACGTATACATATTCACCACCACCATCATTACCACCGCGGAATTCCTACTCACTACCTTCTTGTAGATGGAGTTTTGTTTACAAACTTGAGAGTATGAAATGCAAATGTTCGGTAATAAAACCCGCTTTGCCGGTACAAACGATCTACATATAGGAGATGTAAAATCTTGATTCCAGATTAATGGTGCACATGAACTCCGGTATCCTGAGGGAACAAATTGTATGTGGACCTAGTGTTGGTCGCCGGTTTCCATGAGATCGCATATCGTGACGTTGGTCCACCGTCATGTACTTCTAATGCTTGGAAGGTGACCTCTTGAAAAATTAACTGCTTGAATTTGGGCACTCATAAAGTACCTTAGTTTACATACAGTGTCAAATACTTGTGTTGTGCATATGTATTTTGGTACCTCGTCGTACAAAAGTTCGTGTTTGTATTTATATAAACCGGAGTAATATTGCATAAGCGAATACCCAAACTTTTAAAAGTTTGATTGGTCAGATTAACAAAGTATTTCACTTTTCCTTCAAATATTCTCAGTACAAACAGTCAAGTGTGAAAAAAAATGTTTACTGTATACTATTATAATTCTATTGGTTTTTTCACTCTTGGTTAATTATTTATAACGAAATTTGTATTACCTGGATTTCGATTCATTTACTTCCTTTTCTTTTTATCCAGTAGTCTTTTGAGTTGTCATATGAATTAGCTTATTCTATGGTCTAGTGAATTAAGAGTTAGATTTCTATCAAATTATTTGTTGCATGCATACTTCATAATTTAATTGTTTTCTATTTCTCAGAATACACAAAATAAAATATTTAGTTAAAGGGAGTTTTTGGTAGATTATTTTTTAAAGATTCATCCTATAATCATTTCATTTAATATACATTTACTGATCAGTATTCAGTGCTTCATTTAATTCACAGAAGTACCATTTCACTGAGCATGTAGCTTTATAAGTAACCAAACTACTGAATAGATAATCATATTCTTTTATTCAAACAAACTGTATTTAAGAAATCAATTCATACCTGTCCACTAAATTATTAATACACTACTCACATAAATAATAGTAAAATAAAATATAATGGTAAATTGTTATTGTTATTTTTTTAAAATTTCATTTTTTGTTATATCTACATAAAGTAATTCTGTTTGTTAGGATTCTGACCTATTATTTATCAGGTCTATGTTTCTATATAAACTCTATATCTACCTTTAGCATGTTTATGATTTAGAAATATTTTTTTTCCGAATGAACTTGCTTGGTGATTCATACTTGTCTGACTGCAATACATTTAAGATTGTAGAGTGAGATAGATAGTCGATGACTGGAGTGTCTTGTATAAATGTTCTAGTTTTTCTTTGGAATTTATGCTTATAAATTTTTCCAACCGACTAGCTTATTTCATTTACTTAAGATCTTCCACTACTTACCTTTAGTACATTTTAAGGGATTCTCATCATTTGTAAAAAAACTATTCAATCGAAATATTAACACTATGGTTTACTTTCCAGTTTGTATACTTTTCAGTCTGTAAAGTCTATTCATAACGTGTTACATTGTCCAATATTTGTTATTCGATATTCAAACTTTTAAAATTCAGCTTTTGTTGTATTTGTAGAAAGTTAGTTATCATCAGTACTTTAGCAGTAGACTAGTAAATAATGCCAGGGTTTGTTTTGCAAATATAAAGTCTACCATAAAGACTTCACTTATTCTATCGAATAAACACTGAATAGTTACTAATGTTATGCTGCTTCCTTAGTCTGTTATTGTTATTCGAATTAGAGCGGTCAAGTTTCAGTATGCATACTAGTCACATTTCTTTCACATAAATGGTAAGATGTCTGAGGTATAGCATTGAAACATACGTAGAGTATTAGTCCCCTCAAGATGCCTGATAAACCTTGTTGACTATTATCATTTATGATCGGACCTAAATTTCGGGCTTTCTACCAACCTTTCCAAACTCTGACTGACACCTATTCGTTCATTTACCATAAACTTACACCAATAATGTCAAAATGTAGTTCACAAACAGTGTTATTAATTTTCTTCAAACCCATAGAATCATGGAAACAATAGCCTGTCTATTCTAATGTGTATTACATACATAAAATCACACAAGAGATTTGAGTTATTGTTTTCAATGATTAATGAGCCGATTTGTGTGATTTTCTCTTTTTTTCAAGTTTAACTAACTAGTTTCAATATGAAGTTCCCGTCTAACTGTGTCCTAGGTTTCGTTTTTGTTTCTCTTCTCCATTTTACGTTTTGAAAAGCAAGTCAATTACGCTATGATATAGGCATAACATTTTATGTACCATTTAAAAGGAGAAAAACCAATAATAGTACAATGAATGCAAGTAAATGGAGGAATAATAGAGAGATAGAGAGAGAGAGAGAGAGAGAGAGAAAGAGAATGGGTAAGAAAGAACAAATTTACATAAAGTCAATACTGAAGGTCACGTAAAGCTGTACTCGTTCACATGTTTAAGAATAATTTCTATCTTGAACTAAACAGTTGTTTCATTTGAGTTCTCAATTTTTCTTTTTCGGTTAAATTATGTTATCTTGCCTGAAGTTGAACTCACAATACTAATGAATGCTGAAATTCAATTGATATGTCAAAAGTTTTCTAGTTTCTTTTTTCTTTTTGTCTTTGTATTTGTATGTTGAACTAACTAAATTCAATTGACCGATTAACCTGATAAAGAAAATTTTTTTCAAAGATAAAAGTGATGATATGTATTTCTAATCTGATGATAAAACTATTATCCAATTGGAAAATCACTTATTTATCTTGTAAAGTATAATCTACTATTTAACAAATTAGTATAAATTGAAATGTATACAATAACTATGTTATCATAACATTGTGATACTATAGATGATAAATAATAAAATGAAGATATTTTTTATATTGTTAAAACAATGTATATCTATTATCTTAAAAAAATTAGGTAATCATGATAATGGTTCTCGTTTTTATTGAAATAGTTCTATGTTCATTTAGTGTTACTGATAAATTAAGATTAAAATATTTTGTTATAGAATGTATTATAGTATTTTTTTCCATGTCATTAATGGACTTATGATTGCTTACTTTTCAAAAATACTTTTAAACCGTTTAATTTACTAGATTCCATATTTAATCGGTGGCTTTCATTCCACTCAGGCGTTTTATGAATGTCATAGGTGTTGGTTGATAGTAGTTTTGAGTTCCAGATATTCTTTAATTGCAGAAATGCTGCCCTTGCTCTGCCGATCCGCGCTTTCATGTCTGCATCAGATCCACCTCGCTCGTCAAATGATGATGCCCAAATATGTAACGGTTTTTGCATCTTCCAAAGCTACTCCATCAAGTGTGATCCGGTTGGTGCATGTTGTGTTGTATCGGAGAATCTTGCTTTTTTCCTTGTGTATGTTGAAACCTGTTGCTGCTACACTGGTCATCTTCTCTTGCATTTGTTGTTTCGTGTGCAATAGAAGGCCCAGATCGTCCAGCTGCATCCGGGCTGTCCAGTATATCCCGTGCTTCCACCAGATGTTGACGTCTTCATGATCCAGTCGATCACCAGCAGAAAGAGAAAGGGTGAGAGTGAGCAACCTTGTCTAGCACCGGTCGTCACCTCGAACGAGTCTGTCAGCTGTCCTCCGTGCACGATTTTGCAGTCTGATTCATCGTAAGAATTCTATATGATGTTAACTATCTTCTCAGGCACGCCGTAGTGTTGAAGAAGCCTCCTGTCCATGCTATCAAATGCTTTCTCGTATTGAATGAAGTTGATGTAGAGTGGTGGATTCCTTCAAATTGATTGTTCCGAAATGATCCGTAACGTTGCGATTTGGTCGGCACACGGACGATCCTTACGGAATCCAGTCCACATCGTTCCATAATGTCTTCATATCCAATGTTGTCCATTCCTACCTTGGCATTTAGGTCCCATCAGAATGGCCAAGTCCTTTGTTAGACATTTCCCAATGAATGACTGAAGCCTCTCGTAGAATTTATCTCTAGCGTCTTCATCGTTATCGTTGGTAGATGCATAGCATTAGAGGATGTTCATTGTAATGCCCTCTTTCTTTGTTTGTAAGGATGCTTTGATGATGCTGGGTCTATGAGATTCCCATCCTACAAATGCTTTTTGTGTTTGTTCGGACATCATCAATGCAACTTCCTGTATGTGGAGAACATTTTCTTGTTCATGGCCGGAGTATAACAATAGATCTTCTTAATCTAGTCTTTGTTGTCCGACATACGTCTAGTGTGTGTCACTGATCCAAAGCACCTCCAGGTTGTATCTTTTCATTTCTGCAGCAACTTGAATGACTCTCCATGTATCTATATAAATGGCTGTTATGGTTGTGAGAAGGGACATCGGCCTCGTGACTTCCGAAGGAATTCGGCTTTTATCATGAGACGTCATAACTCTTCTGAAGACCTTCTAACTCCCTGTGCAAAGTTAAAATGCTTTGAATTATTTTTACTGGTTAGCGTGTTTTTAGCGAGCTAGTTTTCTACGGGACGGTGTCGCCAACCCCATGCCCAATCCTCCTCATTTATCTGAGCCTGGGACTGGCAGTAGCTCTAGAAGAAGGATTAGTTCTTTGCACAGCAGGTGGTTAGTGTTAGTGATGATCTCTCTTCTTGATTCAGTAGTAAAAAATATAAAACACTGGTTAGTTTAGAACTCCTGGACATTGAGTACGCAATATCTCATTAGTGACCAAACGTTCAGCAATGACGTTTTGTGGTGAACATATTGAATTTACTCCACTAAATTATCATCCGATAGTTCCCATTTTCAATCTCAGTCTTCAGTTCACTCAGGTTTAGATAGCTTTCTGTTGCTTACTGGTCAGTCTATGATGTAAACGATAAGATTATAAATTATAGATGACCTTTGATTGATACTAGTGTCTGTTAACAACTTCAACCACTCGCTAGCATCCAAATATGATTATCAATTACTATGAATAATTTTGATGAGGAGTTAGGATTCGAAAAACTAATAATAAAACCTTTGATCATGAACTGACATCGAGTTTAATATCAAAATATTGTTAATCCATGTGAGTAAATGAATTTCGCACAAATTCGATTGCTTCATTTGTCAGTTACAGTTCTATCGATGCGACTATAATAATCTCCAAAAAATTTATTGTCGATATAATAATTGATGATTTTTATTATTAACTATTTATTGTAGTCACAATTCAAAGGAGATATTTCTAATGATGATAATGAAAATCTACAAAATTGTCCGACAAAATTACGTGATGTAGTCAGAGCAACAGATTTCAAATTTATCAAAGTGTTGGGTAAAGGAAGTTTCGGAAAGGTAATTATTTTTACTATCATAATTATTCTTACGGTTTTTAATCTTAATAAAAGTACTGGTGATATTAATTTTTTTTTTAATGTGCTTTATTGTCATCTGCTGTACTTTGAAGTTTATATTCACATAAACGGAAGCCTTAATGCATTTCAGTGAAAAATGACAGATTATTGCAGCAAGTTTCGACGCAGATATTTTGGAGTGAAGGTGATATTTATACCAGCTAGTTACTGAAACCAAGTCACATAGAAGTTTTTAACTGATGTATAAAATTTCGTGAGTTGACAATTAATGGTCTTGTGATTAAAGCTATGTACTTTAAACTATTAAGCTGAAAATTTGATCCTCGGTCGAACTATTTCATAATGAGTAGCTGAACAGTATCATTAGTCATTACATTGCATTTATTTAAATAAAAGCAATATCTTCGTTCAGTGTATTGTATTTGTGAAAAACCTTCTTCCTAAACAATTTTCGAATTAAAACACCTCAAACAATCTAGCATACCTGTGTATCAGTAGTCTCTGCAGCAGTAGGTCTCAACATACATAAAGGGAAAAGACACGATCCTCCGATACAACGCAACATGCCCCAACCAAGTCACACTTGACGAAGAAGCTCTGGAAGATGTAGAAACCTTTACATATCTGGGTAGCATTATTGATGAGCGAGGTGGATCTGATACAGAGGTGAAGGCACGGATTGGCCGAGCAAGGGCAGCATTTCCATGATTGAAAACATCTGGAATTCAAAACAAACACCAACTTCAGAATTTTCGATACAACTATCAAGACAGTTCTACTGTATGGAGCGGAAACTTGGAGAACTACAAAAGCCATCATCCAGATTATACAAGTGTTTATTAATAGTTGTCTACACAAAATACTTCGGATTCGTTGGCCAGACACCATCAGCAACAACAAACCAGATTCGAATGGAGGAGGAAATCAGGAAGAAGCGCTGAAGGTGGTAGATAGGATACACATTACAGAAAGCACCCAACTGCATCACAAGACAAGCTATCACTTGAAATCCTCAGGGCCAAGGGGAAAGAGGTAGACCAAAGAATACACTGCACCAAGAACTGGAGACAGACATGTAAGGCATGAACCTTAATTGGATAGAACTAGAAAGGAAGGCCTACGACAGAGTAGGTTTTAGAGTGCTGTTCAGTGGCCTTATGATCCATTGAACATAACAGGATTAAATAAGTAGGTAAGTAAGTAAACCGTGTAACACGACATATCTATCCCCAAAATTAAAGATTTATTTCTATATCAAGCTGACCGTGCCCATAAACTAGCATGGATTCTCTAATTATTATTTTCAGAATATATTACTATTATGATATTTATCATATAAAACCGGTTTTAATTTTTAAACATTAAAATCGAATTCAAAATTACAAATAACATAAATCTTTTATATATGTTTGGTTTATATGAGTCAATATTTTTTACCTCATTACATGACGGTTGTTTATTTTCTGCAATGAAATGTTAATGTTAATGATAATAATAAGCTATTCAGTGTGCCACTATTCTTTACGAATCTTTAATCTTGGTTAACATGAATATTCCTCTACTGTGTTTAATTGTTAAATTAGAAAATTTCGAATTAATTTCCCGATATCACAAAGTTAAGCAATATATATATATATATCACTAAAACAGTATAATATCCTTGCTTTATTATTACTTTTAAATTAAATAAATCATTAATTTGTTATCGTTCGGTCATGAAAAAACATGTTTTCGTTTCATTGTGATTAAACTAATTTAAAGAAGAATTTTCATGACCACAGATTTAAAATAAATAACTGGAAAATCATGATAATAAACTATGTTATTATCAGTTGCTTCGTTTTCGAAACTGAACAGTACACCCAAATAGTTTTGTATCATTGATCTGTCATTTTTTTCTATCAGTATCATGACAGTTAACTTCAAGTTGTATATTGACTATATATAATCATTACGTATCAGCCCTTTCGAGTGTCCTCAAATACCTTGGTATGGTCGACGGTAGGGAGGGTCCATTCTCCCATTATAAATGCTCTCGTTTGGACACGTATACATAACCACTACCATGAACGTTCTATCCATTGTTTTCTCGTAACGGTAGGGGTTTTACGATATTGAGAAGCCGAAAAGTGATTTTCCGGTGCTATAACTAGGTTCACCAGTATAGATGATCCATATCGGGGTGGGGGTGAAAAACCTTGATTTCTAATTTTTGGTTTCAGTATCCTGAGGAAATGAAAATAATTTAAACAAATACTGTTGTTTTAATTGAGTTCCTCTTTTTGTAGCTCTTCTTTAATACAATTTATCTTTCTCAATTACAAATCAATAATTGTTTTCTTATTAAATTACTCTTCCTATGCAAAATGTTTTTTTTTCCTATTGCTTTGATAATCTAATCTCTAACTATTTTGATTTCAGTTGTATCGTATACTATATTCATTATACTTAACTAATAAATCGATATTTCTCATGTGAAGATATTAAGTAGGTAGAGAGATAATTCACTACATTTGTTTGTGCTTTTTTTTTATTTCTGTAGGTAATGTTAGCTGAACGTAAAGATACAGATGAACTTTATGCTGTGAAAATTTTGAAGAAAGATGTTGTCTTACAAGATGATGATGTAGAATGTGCAATGATTGAACGTCGAGTATTAGCGTTACAACGTAAACCACCATTTCTTGTACAATTACATTCTACATTTCAAACTATGGTATGCTTCATTTTTATATACATATGTATTATATTCATAGATACTGACTGTGTTTATTGTTGAAGTTTTATTGAAAAGTCCTTTTTTTTTATAAGAATGTGAAGCGACATCTAAATGGTTAAATTACTTGACTTTTAAAGTATACTTCATTTCTATTAAGTTCACAGAACCAATTAATATTACATTGTAGCACTGAAAAAGTAATTCACAAACATCTCAACAAATCATATTATATTATTGTCACGTTTAATTCCGTCACATTATTCTATGAACGAGCAATATTGTTTTCAATTTGAATTTCGTCATGCTTTAATATAAAGCACTATATATATATGGATATGGATATATGAAAAATATTTGAACCAATTAAGAAGGCAATTTTGAGTCAATGATAATAATGAAATAAATTAAATGACTAAAGATTATGAGTATTATTTATAATTTATTAATACGATAACAAATCTACCAGTCGTATCAATCTTTCAACTTAGTGGGGTCGGTCAAAACTCTAGAAAATACACAACAGATTGAAAACACGTAATAAAAAGTATATAAATAGATAATGAAGGATATATACAAAAGATAATGACATGAAATAAACGGAAAGGGGATATGGAAAGTGTAGTGTATCCTACTCGCAGTGCGGTCCCAAAGTAGTATGCAGTGGAGTGTCGCCTAGAAGTTATTAACTACCTCCGAGAAGAGTGTCGGATAGAAATGCATGATGCGATCAAAGTATTTTGAAGACCAGAAGACACATGAAAGAAAGTAGCCAGTAGTCCGCTTGTTTTACAAATAGAAGTCTAAAGATAATGTGTGCATATTTTGTTAGTAAAGAGTGTCTTCCTTGAATAAACTACTAGTTCATCTGATTTCAGTATCTTTGTTCATGACTCTAGTACATCCACAATCACACCAACAATATACATAGATAGTTATAATGATTAGTTATATAGACATGAATTTGAAATACTATTGTATATCAGTTTTATTATTCTCGATTCTTGAATACTTATTAGTGTAGAACAAAATATGTTCTATGAATGTAAAATTTTGCACTAATAAAACAAACTAATCCTGGTTATTGCTTGCTTGAATTTCATTGGATTTCACGCAGTAATAGTTTATCACTAATGTTCAATAGTTTCATTCATAAAATTTCCATACTTCTGCTGACATTTCCTGATTATAACTGCTGCATTGTATGTTAGTATTTTCAAAATGCGACACTTGTTTCTCTGAATAGAAGATGAGAGACAAACGATATAGAGTATATGATGTCAAGTAAACATCAAACAATCATCTGAAAATTACAATCAAACGATCACTTGATAATCATTAAGCCTATTAAAGGATCAGATATTTTAATTTTAAACAATCGATATATGAATATTATGGGCCCTCTCACCAGTGTGCTTCCAAGAGACCACTGGGAATTCCACTGCGGCTCTTCAAGTCTTTCAACACGTGTTCAACATTTAGAAAACTGAAGGAGAATCTATGGTTTATATTTTTAACTCCAGTCAATTCATGGTATTGCACAAATATCTGCCAATACCATTCATTGGTTAATAGCTATCTCACAAACAACATAGTTGAATTTCACTGGCCACAGTTACTTAAGGCTATGCAATAATCATAATGTTTGATCTGCGTTAGGGTCACAGATGTACACTACTAAGGAATCTTATACTAGGATGAATTAGTTGCTCTGTGTTTCTTATTTTTCAATGGTTGGTCTAATCATTATAAGTCTATGTTGTGGACTATTTCCACAAATGTACGCAGGGATCAATCATTCGACTAACAGTCCTTCATGTTGTCTGCTTATCATATTAAAAAATTACTCAAAAATGTTGAGTTTCAATAAACCACAATCGTTCATGTTATAGTTAGTTCTTTTCAGTTGTAATTCTTATACAAAATTCAATGGTTATTTTGTTATGGATAATTTCTTTTGATAAATTTAAATCATCTTGTAACAAAAATGTAAGAATTATTGACCATGATCAACGAAACCAAAAAAGGCCGACAATAATAATAATAATAACCAGAAACATAAGAACAACTACAAAATTCATATCCGTTACTATTGGTTTCTTGGTGAACTGTTTCACATCGGCGGAAGTTTTATATTGTGTGTTTCTACTCCGGTCATTTATGTTGTTGTTGTTGTTGCTTGCGGAACAAAAAAAATATAATCATACTAATCAATTTCTAACTACCCAAGAAAGTAGTGTGAAGTAATAAGGCACTGGGATTTGATCATTTTAAGTAGTGAAAGTTGGTTTTCTCTAATTTTCTGTTGTTATTGATTCACTTTGAGAAATAGTTGTCCGTTCGAATGCGAACATATAAAGCAGTAATTGAGTAATTGAATTAGCTAGTTAAATTAAGAATATGCATTCATTTAATAAGATTTGTTGAATTAAATTAGAAGAGCAAACTCAAGCATACATACACATACGAGAGCAATTTGTCCATGAAATACATGAAACATGAAGTAAAATGAAAAACAGCACCGCACACAATATACTGCTAATTACTTGTTTGTTAACATGAATAAACGGTAATTTGTTTATGAAAAAAAACTAAATGATTTTGAAAATAAGATAAAATATGTAATTCAGTCTATATATTTTGTCCGTTGCGGTGTTTGTTGATCACATTTTCTAATTTATTTAACAATAGTAGGATATGTCAGTATACGGTTGTGGAGATTGCTGAGCTTCATTGAAATCATGGACCGATCTGTGTCAGACCACCATTGGAGATCTAGAATCACTGAGTGGCCGTTTCTTTGTAGTATAGGATTCTTCAACAGTGTACATCCACGAGTTGAACCGCAGAGCCATCGGTTTCGCGTGCGAACATTGATTAGTTCATGCTTTCACTAAAATAATAGTAGTGTTTGATGAGGAGAGGGATGCCTTTTATTCCTTGAATTTATTCTTTTAACTCTCTTTTCAGGGTACTAATTATTGATAGGACTAAAATTTCTTTAGTGTTTTACACAAATTGCATTGACTGATTAATTTTTTGCCAAACGTTTTACTGATCATCTATAATTTGTGGTGAAAATGGTTAAGGAATATGACGAAATTCATAGCCTAATTAATTTCTACCTTGGCTAAATGAATGTTTTCGATTTATGTCTATACTTGAATAATTTATGAATTGGTTTATGTTTAAATGTCGACGATAGCTTAAATACCAACAGTACTGTCATTTACTTATGATAAGACCTTTTTTGTCAACCATAATATTCAGAAGTCGTTTCTAATCGATGGATTACGGCTACCAATGAAATTCAGTGTCCACTTTTTATCCTTTTTGGAACTCACCAGCTGGATGTACGTGCAATCTAGTGGTGTTTTTAACATTGAAACTCAGACTTAGTATCATTTACTCCAAATACAGAACGTGTCATCTACTGAGCTACAGATTTCAAATAGCCTTTATCGAAGTATTTGAAATAAATGATCCCTGTAGTTTATGATCAGCATTACAGATGAAGTTTTTAAATTTTTTCTTAAGTTCTGCAACACAGCTAAAGTATAAAGTGTGTCAGTCTTATCCAGTAATCATCCATGCAATTGCAGTCACAAATCAATCTTACTTAAACAACTATTGGAAACCTAGAGGCGCTCGACAACCGTTTCTTCCTAGTGTCGACCTTTGAACAATGTGTAATCGTAACTCCCTAGGGATCGAATCCAGTTAAACTATGTCGAATATAAAGAAGCTAACAACTAAAAACAAAGGACGGTTATGAATAGATTCGAGTTGAACTTATTCACCTTCGGAATTTGGCTCTATGGATTAGAGATTAAGTTTTCGAACAGGAGACCGGAAATCCTGTGTCATATTCCTAGTTATGCGATCACAAATACACAGTGTCACGGAATCCCACGTTACAATTAAACATTCATAAATTACTAGTAGGCTTCCAAAGGTTTTCAATCTTACATCAGCTCATGATTTAAATGAATCGCAACAATTACCACAACCCCATGATGATAATCCTTTGTTTATTAGTTATACCTATGGTCAAATAAATTCTTATTTAAACACCTAATTTTCCCAATAAGTGATTTCTTTTTAAATTGTGTATAATGCTGCTTACTGATATGGTTTTTCGAAATCTTCAATACCATCCTTTGCGTAGTGAAAATATATTAAGGAGAGAGAAAAAAGTACCATAAAACAATACTTCTACAGTGTATTATTAAAAAGTAATATTTAGATTAATTTATTCATTGTTTTTACGTAATCGCATCATCTCTGCTTTTTAATGTTTGTAATTATCATTTATTTTCGTATAAAACATGTTAGTTTAAAATTGTAGTTGTGATATAAACATGTACACTACATTAGTAATCAACTTGTTAGATAATATTGATCAGAATGTTCGTTTTTTTGCAATTATTAAATAACAGTTGTGTTTTTTTTTCATCGTTTCTTTAAAGGATCGATTATATTTTGTGATGGAATTTGTCAATGGTGGTGATCTAATGTTCAGAATACAAAAGGAAGGAAAATTCAAGGAACCTATTGCGGTGTAAGTTTTGTATATACACTTATACATGTTTATTTTTATTGATTTACTATTATCCAATTGAAATTATCACTTATGGAGATTTGTTTTATAATTCATATAGTTAAAGTGAAAATGTTTTGAGTCATTGAATAGATTAGAGTTTAGCGATGAATTGTGGTTAGTAGTGTAATTCAGGATGACACGTCAACTGGATTTACTTCCGCTCAATGTTTACATTTTTACTAGAACTCCTCTCTCTTTCCCGTTAAACGCTTCATTTGTTATCCATTGAAGTACTGACTTCATATAAAAAATAACTTTTTCAACTAGTGATGTGTTTAAGATGTTGCTCGAAAAGATTGAAATTATTTCAGTGTTTGATATTCAGGGCTGAATCTTGACCATTCTTTGTTAAGGCATTTACAACCTAAGCATTACTAATTATGTAAAACTATTTTGTATAGATGGATTGTTGCTGGAGATGTTTTTCAGGTCTCGGTCACCTAAACGTTAACTTTCTCTTCTAACTTTTTTCAAAGCTAGACGTTTTTGGTTTAGAATCGGTTGTATCCAGCCATACGCCTTTTAACTTTGTAAAAATATTTTTTTTATGGAATCAATGGCATCATGAGATATTTATTCACATAAGCATTTTTCATACCTTGTTGTAGTTAAAAAATAGTTATAAGCCTCTAAATGTTCTGGTACAGCCGAGAGTGGTGAGAGTCCGCTCGCTTTCTCTCTCGAAATACTCTCATTTGGCCACATATGCGTAACCACCACAACGGAAGTCCTACTCACTTGGACAAGCCATATGGGCTCAACATATTAGTACACGCTGTAGTCTATCTGATGAACATGGTTTGTGGCTGATGACTTCCTCAATGCTCAACTTTTCAAAATATATAATTTTCTTAAGTAATTATTCACTGCTTCTCTCATTTTTCATGTTAATTTATATATTCTTGATAAATTTCTGTTTAAGCAAGTTCAAACTATCCCACCTGTTTTCTACTGAGCACTTTAATCTGTTTGTTAGTCATTTTTAGTTTCTCCTCATTCAGTAGCGTCATTAATAGGTTTGTTTAGATATCATTGCTTCATTTCTTAAGACAGAGTTCTTTCTAGGTTTCACTTGTTAGTCACATCCGGTTATGGAGTAAAATGATTCATTTTAGTCGAACAGAAATTCCTTTCCTTGAGTTACTGTGTTCTACTTATTTAAAATTTTGCATTTTCTCATCAATCATTTTCATACTATTTTTCACCTTGACTTCTTTCCAAAATAATTATATCTCATATTGATTTGTGACTGTTTCATCCTCTTACTGATCACAGATTATTCAAATTAACAAAATGCACTTACTGATTTGTCTAGGCATTACTGATGCCTGTTTTTAATGCATGCTCAATGTCAAAAATATGTATACAAGTACTTCAATCTGTACTATATTTCTCCAAACCCATCAACCTCCTTCTATTGCCTTTTTCTGTTGAATTGTTATCACTCATTGACTTATTTATCTTTTCATGTTTTTCCTGATTATTTTGTGAAAATCTATTTTATAGATGAATATTCAAAGTCTTAGTAATTCAAGTTTTGATTGATTAATGAGACTCATATCTTTACGGTTTCGTTTATCCTACTTCGTTGATTATTATTATTATTAATTTCAACTAAGTAAAATTGAAAGGAACTAGACTAAAATAACATGATACGACACATTACTCTGTGATGATGAGAAAAAATTTTATCACTTTGCTTTTTAATTTGGAAAAGAAGATTTTTCAGCTAATTGAGTTTGATTATCAGTTGTTTATCATAAAAAAAACCTTGCTCTGAATTATCTACCTTAATTTCTTATTGAATGGTTAGAATTACATAATATCATATTACTAATCTCCTATCAATTGGCATAATTTTTTAATTTAACTTAAACAAGATGAAAAAACAATCGTAATTCGATACCATATCAAAATATATGATAATAATTATTATTATATTAAGGCTGTTTTATGTTTTTAACTTTTCTTCACTTTTCTCGCCACGCCTTTATTTTACTAATCGTTTTCTTTGTTGTCGTAAGCGCTATGATTTATGCATGTTCTTTTGTAGCTCTATTAATGAATGTTTATTAGGCACTACACAGATTTTATCTGTATAGTATATATCTATATATATTACGAAAGCTAAAATAATGAATGTTTGAGAATAAGGCGGATTCATTTATTTCACAAAGAGTCTTCAGCTGCTAAAGACACAGAAACAGTTAATCATTTATGTATAGGAGTCTTGTGGAAATTGTTAACTCTTCATCTTTCACATCAAGTAATGATCCTAGCTAGACAACCATTAAGAATCCGTAAGTGCTGAATAACTGTTTCGTCCTAGTTCACGACTTCTCATCAGCGACCATCAATCCCCAGTAACTGGAGCCTAATACAGTGATCTCAATATGTTCAGTGTTGAATGCCGATTTCAGTGGTCAAGGTGCCCAAAGTCCACTTCATGACCTAAATTCTCGGGTTCGATCGTTCGTTAGTACGCACATCCAAGAAGTCCTATACTAGGGTGGGACAGCTGTTAAATACTTCTTGGTCCACAATGGTTGTCTTATTTAGGTGAATAGGTGATGTGAAGCGTGAAAATTATTGATTTTTATCCAGTGTATTTAATTTAAACTCTATCAACAAAGATTACCTTTGATCAGTCGACATTACAAAATCACTTCAATTAATCAGAATTCAACTGACTTCGAAGTTCTTTCATTATATCGAAACTGTCAGTACTAAAAGATTGTTAATGAACTTATGCATCTAAAAAGAAATGATTCTTAACTCTGATGACTTCTATATTTCACTACTTTACTGCATAATATCTAACTTCCTGTTCTATGTTAGAAAAATTCCTTTCCTTCCTTTTTGCATCGTCTTTTTTGGGATTTATTCATTTTTTTCTGTAAATCTAAACATTTTTCATACCTTTCACTAAGTGACATTTAATACTGATTTACTTATTCTAAGATTTTGTTAAAAAATTTTATTCTGTAATTTCACACTATAAATATACAACAATTACAATATTCCATTAATACTTTCATATTTATTGATGTTATTCTAATTGACAATTTTTCAATATAAAAGAACCTCATAACATGAACCTATCATGCATGCTATCCTACTTGCCACATTAGTTTTTCTTGCATGATATGATTTATTATTCACCTTTTTATTGTTTAAATTTTTGATGTAAATTAAAATTCAATTTGGCTTTCTAAGTAATCTACAACTTTATTTTCATACGAACAATTTAATTCACTGTTTAGATTCATATCAATCAGAAAGCTATGAAAAAGAATGTTTGTGATATTATTATTGTATTATTGCTTTTATCAAAATCATGGATCGATCAATTTCACATCACCACCGGACGACTGTTGTGTTCTAGAATGGGGTTCATCAGCAGCACATTTCCACGACGATCGCACGTGTGAGTCAAACCCGAGGCCTACAATCTCACGTGTGAACTCTTTACCCCTGAATCACTGAGCTGGCATCCAAGGATGTTAATATCGGACTTCAATCAATTCACAGTTTCAGTGAAACCCATAATCGTATAGTGAAAATTGTCATAGGCTCACTTGTAACTAGCTTCGTGAGGGGCTCTCCGGAGTTTTAGCGAAAAGGTATGACTGATGGAATTCAACCGTTCGGGTTGTGAGACAGCTGTCCGCTGAACTCATTGGGTGATAGTCGCGCATTGTCGTGGATAGACACAAGTTTGTCATTAACAGCGCTAGATGCTGGCTAAGTGGTCTAGAGTTTGTGCGTTTTCGCGTAAGACTGATCCTGGGTTCGATTCTAGCGCAAATTTGCACTACAGGTTTCCTATGTTGTTCTAATATTGATCGATTCACAATCTCAATGAAAATCAACAGTCTCCACAACCCTATAATAACGATTATCATTTTTTCTACTTCAGGAAACGTTTCTGTTGCAGGATTTTCCTATTTTGCATATACCTAGTGCATTAGTATTCTATCATTTTTTAGTTACACATTATAGTCTAATTCTCAACCACTACTTGGATAAATTATTGCAAATAATAAAACAACTAAGAACGCTTGATAATTACATCACATTGCATCACATAATAACTAAAGACGAAAATTAAAATTTTTAAAACACAAGTCGAACGGGAAAAAAGTACTTAGTTCTTTGTCAAGTCTAAAATATTGATGGAAGAATAAAATCAAGACATAAGATATGATGTTTGATGATCGATCAGTTCTCGCGAAAACGGTAATCAGATGCAAAATGTAGATTGAAAGATAAGATTGTATAGTCAGTTAGTTATAAGAATTCATGATGTAAAAATAGTGTCACTTTGAAATTAACCAATTGAATATAAATGCTCAATGTTGTTATTCACTACCACTCGATGTTTTTTGAACTGTTTTACACTGATGACAATGTTAAACGGGCACGATATCAATGGGTTGTTGAGTTACACATATACTGTGTCTATATTTTCAATGGTTATATTGACATTCAAATTTATAAATATTTTATTCAACTTTACTCATGTACATATATTATCCTTATGTGTGGTATACATACCACTCAACAAAATGTCATAATGAATTTTATTTTACCCTCAATTTTTTTTCATTTATGTAAACAAAGAATTTAAGGTCACAGAACCATAAGTTAAAGTTAATTAGAATAATGAAAGAAATTTAAAAATAAGAAACTAAGTAAATTCGAAAATAATAAGATCATCACCTAATTGGAGGATGACATTTGTGCGAATAAGATTAGTTCATTTTTGTTTTAAAATTTTTTATTTTTAATGTTAAAAATATAAAATACTGAATGGTAATCTATAATGAAGAAAATGACACAAAACTCTATGTCGTTAGTATTTTAATTAAATTAATTCATGTTGATGGATGATTTCAAAAAAAAAACTAATGGGTAAAATGGATAAAGAATTTGAACTACAAAAAAACAAACATTGTATTATTCATTTCATAGTCATTTTTACTGATGATTGACTATATAGGAGAAGAAATTTCATTTATGGTTGATTTGAATTCAATCTTTTCTAGATTTATAAACTCTTAATTTTAGTGTTGATCATGTTTTTATTGTTGAGTACATCATATAACAATTTTTTAGATGAGTACAAGTTATAAAAACTTTAAGTTTATAATTCATAAATATTTGTACTTAGTTTTCGGCTTAATCGCCTCTATTCAACAGTCAGCTTTTTTCATGAACTAATGTTGTATCTTCGTTTAGCCACCCTGTAAGATTCTTCCAACTTATTGGGTGTAGCATCGATCAATATTGTGAAAAGATTGGTTTTCGGTTGGATATACATTTTAACGCCATCTTAATCGATGAACACTTACTACGTTATCAGCCTTACATCTAAATCAGGATTGTTTTACTGGTTGTTTCATGTGAACATTACTTACGATCAAGTATCTGTAATCTGTCAGTATCCTTTATTTATAAGGGCTACATTTCACGGTCCTAAAGTAATACAGAACGAATTCCTATGAAGTCCGCCTGCATCTTAGTTGGTGGATGGATTTCTCGCTTAATCTACATCTTCGAAAATGGTAAAAGCTAATCAAGGGTTTTAAATCTGTACCAAGAACTAGTGATACTTACCCTCCGGATAAATCAATAATCAATAAAATAAAGTTTAATTCCGTTAGTTAATGGTTGAAATTGAACTTCAACTGTCACAAGACAGATCTTTTCTGCACACCATATGAGTGTTTTTATATCTATTTTGTTGTGTATTTTGATTTCCCGTTGAATATTTTAGATTTTACGCTGCAGAAGTCGCCGTTGGTTTATTCTTTTTACATAATAAAGGAATTATTTATCGGTGAGTTAATAATTACGTATCACATATTCTTTGAAATGTTAATCCACTTGTAACTAGAATAAATATGAAAACATTGTTATGGACAGCATTGATGATTTTAGCATTTCAGATCAATTAGTTATTATCCTTCAATACGTCGAAGTGGCGTCTACTCACAACATTTTGACAATAAACTCGTGTATTTCCTTAAAAAACACATTCTCTAAGCTAAACTAATCATTATAAACATTTGAGTTCAGCTGGCAATCGTCTGGTGATAGAGAATAACTTGTTTATTTATTTGTTTGAGGCAATAAATCTAATTTATAGTATGCTAAAACTTGATACACAACATACAGCAATATGTTCAACCAATTATGTTAATTTCTAATGATAATAATTACCAGTTACTTTAGAAACTCGTTATATTTGTAAGATAATGAAACTTTCACCTCACTCACTGATGTTATTAATCTGACTAAGACACATAATATCAATGATTTTTCTGTTACTTAATACTGTCAACCGATAAAAATTCATGTCGATTCATGTTTACCAGTTGCATTATACTTAGGTATTTGTTTTAAGTCGCCGTTGAAATGACGTTTAATGGCCCAGAATCTGACTCTAATTTTCAACAAAAAATGAAATATGCTATTAGATAAATCTGTCATTTAATGTCCATTTATCATTCTTGGGAGAACCCTGTTTGTGCGATGACGAATAAATAAAGCTCAATACGATTTTTTTTGTATAAATTTATTCCATACATTCGATAAGCAAACAGACAATGGAATGAGGAGGGTCAAAGCGAAGATACTAGGTATTTATAGTCCGATAAAAAATAAGTTAAACACATGATAAGAAAGTAAGTAATGCACACATGCACTCAATTAAAAACAACCAAGATTTTAAAAACGAATCATTGACAAGGTCGAAAGTCTGGGACAAACTGTGTGAGCTTGACATATTAGTACACACTACAGACGATAGATGAAGCTGAAGAATTTCTAATTTGACAAAATATGAATCCTGTATTCAGTTATTATTAATCTTACAAATATATAGTAAGTAGACTTAGAATAATAACCAATATCGATAGCCATACTATTCATAAATCTATTTTTACTAACAGAATTAAATTAGATGATGAATGTTAGTAATATCAAAGTCTGTTCAATTTATGAGTGTTTAGTATTTGGGAGATTTGTACAGATTATATAAAATTTCTATAGTTCAATCTACGAATCTATTTTAGTCATTCCACGATTAGGAAACGTTGAAGCATTGAACATCCATTTCGTAATCGAAATTATGAACATTCTGCATCATTGACACGATAAATACTCTAAGCATAATCATGTTCACACCAGTGACCAACCAGTTCTAATTAGTTGTTTATGAGTCCTGTTTTCTATTTTTTTTTCGATATCACTTGTTTCGTTCGATTAGATTTAATTGAGAGAAAAAAATCTTTTTTTGTTACAGTGATTTAAAATTAGATAATTTACTACTCGATTCTGATGGACATGTTAAAATAGCAGATTTTGGAATGTGTAAAGATGGTATAATAGGTGATACAACAACTCATACATTTTGTGGTACACCAGATTATATTGCACCAGAAGTTAGTTGTGTTGTTTTGTTGTTTGTTTTTTCTTAAATTTTTGCCTTAAAGTTTTTTGTTTTGTTACATTGTCTTTAGACTATTTGATATAATATATTTGAATTGTTTAGTTAGCAGAAAAAAAAATATTACTTTCGGTATTTTATGATTTATTTATAAATTTCAGTCATGAGATTGCAAGGATTAGTCGCGAGGTGATGTCTCATGTGAATTGTACTAACTTGTTAATTATTCAGTAGTCAACTCAGTTTTGATCTGATAATCTTATTGTGATGTGTATCCAGAGTGATTAAAAATTAACTTGATCATAGACATATTTTTTATTACAGTAGTAAATATTCAGAAAGTTTTATAGATTATAGCTAAGAGTGAAATGCAGGAAGTGCGTTTCGTCATATTTGGGACTTGACAGCTGAATATACCTGCATCCCAGAGTTGATGATCAGTCAGGCACTCGAACCCGGTGCCGTTCTCTTCAAACGCTATCGTGTTATCCACTTAGCTAATACGTTCAACCGGTCAGTTACTTGTGCTAACAAAGACCAATCAAATTCCTGTTAAAATTTCAACTACGTGAGAATCCAAACCATTTCAAAATGAATTAAAGTTCAGAAAAGGTGTTAGCTTAATGCGTAAACAAAATATTTATTTTTCCTAGAATGCGAAATAATAGTTGTACACATAATCGACTTTTATTTTCGTTATGGCACTAGAATTAGTTAATAATAATGTTTACTACAAATAGAATATATATGGGAATGAGGATTTTATTTTCTGATTTTTTTTCCCTAATGATTATTCTGTTATGCGTGTTGTTTATTTTTTGAAAATAAATTATTTTGTTATAAATCTTTGTTTTCAGTGTTCAGATTATTTCTGTAGATAGAAGAGCAAAATCGATTGGAGTATGTTATAAAGAAATTCAGAGATTGTTGTTTCGTATTAGTTTGCATTGTTTCAACTAATTTATTGAAATAAGTTTGACCAATAAATTAACTCGAATAATATCAGGTGTATGATAACGATCATCACTCTCTACTTTCTCGAGTCATAGAAGTGTGTTTCTTATTGGAAACCGTGTTAAAAAAAACTGCCTAGGTTTAGTTGTGATAAAAATTTTCAACAGATCATTTATTGAGGTGAATTACTCATGATCTTTTAGTGACTGGTTTGGTTGTATTCGTTTCATACTTTTTAAACTTTACCATCGGTGCTGAAAACCTGTGGTTAAAAATGAAGTATTTCACTTCAATGAATGACTTTTCTCTGACATTTACTCTCTCTTGTGGGGAAGCAGTGTCGTTGTAAATTCTATTTGTTTTGAGGTAAAAATTTTGTTCTCACCACACCTCAACCGTGGCGACATTAGAAATTCACTTTTGAACTGTAAACGTTTGACGCTCGCTCCAGTCAATTTACCTGGGATAGCAGGACTCAAAAGATTAATTGTTCCAGATTGTATTACTCGATTACAACATCATGATCGGCATGGCTAACTACCACGTCAAGTTTGCAGCCTCGATTGATTTAGATTTGATACAGACAAAGTACTCACGATGTGTAACCTTGTCTATAGGATGGTAAAATTAAAACCAAGTTATGTATAGATTCAGTAATAGATTTTTCACATATGTTTGTAATTTAAGGTGTTTAAAAGCAAATAAACTTTTCATTAACAATCAATGTTGACTAGCGAAAATTGATTAAAGCTAAAATACTTAGCTCGGTATTCAAATATCATGGTCATATTTGTGAAACCTAAACGTTTTTGTTTAATCTTGGATAGAATTGTGTGGATATCCACTAATCAAAAGTCTTAAACTTGCACACATCAACTACTTATTGAGTTCCAGCAGGCTTCTTCAGACCGTAATGTTTTATGTTGAAAATAATGGAACTTACCTTCAAAATATTCCTGACTTATTTGGAGATAGTGTCGTTCCATTGAGATCATGAATCGATCAATGTTAGACCATCATTAGAAATCTGGAAGCACTAGACGACCGTTTCGTTGTAGTATGGGAATCGTCAGCAGTCCTCATCCACGACCTCCACACTCATGGATTGATTGAAGTTAGACATTAACACCGTCGATCTACAGGTCAAATGTTCGCACGCGCGACTGAAGGCCCCTGGTTCCAGTCCCAAATGCAGGTTTGTGGATGCGTAGTCTATGATTCCCATACTAGAACGAGACAGCCGTTCAGTACTTCCAGGTTTTGTTGTTTTAAATTTTATCAAATAAACTATACTTGTTTTAAAAAAAAGTATCGTTGTATGTCTACAATAAAGACTATCATAACAATATATGCCACCGCTACATTTGTAGCGACTACACACAATACGTTTTTAGAATTGTGAATAAAATCTAGTGCTTTTAGCTATTATGTAATTGAATTTTCACAAATGAAAAAAATATTGAAATTATTCTCTGATTTAGATACAACAACTTTAAATGGAACTATAGTTATTATCAGGATCATAATAATAATGTATTGATAAATTATTTCTCCTCTTTGACACGAAATTACGTGATGTATTTAGTTTCTTGAGCAGTTCTACAGGCAAAGAAAAATTTTCAAAATACTTCAATCAATCAGCGTTTTTTTTGAAACGTTAAAAAATGCATTCAACTAACTAAATCTGATTGGACAATTGTGAAATATCTCATGAATTCTAGCATTATTCTCGACGCTTATAGAATATCAAAGTGCTCTTATAATCGCATCTTAACCTTTGTTTTCGTCCCATTAACTCACAGACTATACCGTTTCTCAAATACTCCACTTGGTTGTCTTTCACACAAATAAGAAGTCGATATGCGAGACGTGTTGAATACAGGAAAATATAATTAAAAGAATTTGAATTCAATATTCCAAGAGCGCTGTTGCTCAAAGCTTTTTCGTTAGAGATTTATTATTGAACTTTTCTTCTTGTTAATCCATATAATAGCGAAATGTTTTTTTTTTTACTAGTAGACAAGTTCTTCATTTTTAAATAAATTTTCCCACCCTTTCATCACCATCGCCAATCTTACTATTTTTTTCTACTGTATTTTTTCATTTATCGAACTATGTCTTCTTTCGTGAATACATTTTCATGTCTTTTGATATGACGATATGATTAATTTCGGAGTAATTTTCATTAAGAATTCATCTCAGTTTAGAAACCAAAAAAGGAATTGTTGATCCATTTTTTTTCTCTCTGCTGTTTTCAAAACAGCCAATTATTGCTCTGTGAACGATTTTACAGAATATCAAACCCAGGTGCTTTTGGTTTTATTATCACACTCTTGACATATATATATATATATATATATATATATATATATATATATAGCTTGAATGTTTGTATGGTTCCCTGTTATAAAGTTTCTCACGTAGGATTAATATTTATTGTCTTTCATTTATGCTTGATAAATTACCGTTTGTTTACAACATATACTTTATTGATTATTGTCTTGTTTATTTTACTAACTTATAACTAGATACTTCTGTATAAACCTTATGGGAAATCAGTAGATTGGTGGTCCTATGGTGTTTTATTGTATGAAATGTTAGCTGGTCAGGTAAGAGATATTATTTTGGTGATTAGTTTAGAATATAGCATTATTAAACTTTTTTTTCATCAAACATTTACTGATTTTTCAATGTGGGAAAATAATCTACACTATGATTTTCATAGTCACATTGCAATGACCGCATTCAGTGTTCTTTCAAATTTTATATTTTTAATATCTTTCTATTTGTCTCTCTGACTTCTTAGAACATTTTCATCAATGATGAATAATTTTGAGATTTGGTTTTCACATGTTCAAAATCTTTCTTTTCCTTAGCTTTCTTGAAATTTAACTCTTGTACAATGTTTAGTGAAGTTTCTACACTGAAAACGTATAGACTGAGTAGATTTTTCTAAACGTAATTAATTTTATTTTTTATTTTTATGGCATTTTGGCGATAAAACCGCTAGTCAAAAAATTAGAAAATTATTTTATTCTTATTTTCAAATAATTGTTTTCTTTCAATATCTTTCACTCAACTTGAAATGATGCACAATGATAACTAGTATTATCATCATAGGATTTTTTTAAAAATCTGTATCTCATTAAGCGGTATTACTTAAAAGAAGATAGTCAGTTGTTGTGACTGAGGAGGGCGATACTCAACTAACTTTTCGATGCTGTAACTAGGAACATGAAAGCTTTGAACTGACTTTTCCATTAAGACTATCATCCACCTGTGTGACAGTGCGTTTCATCCACAGATATCTGATATAATCAAAATCTTTAACGCATTACCTGAGTGCGAATTCCTTTATAGGTTTAACTGCTCCCAATCCTGTTCAATTACGGTACAAATGTTCTTGTAACCGCCGCATATTCCTAAATCAAGTTCTTAGTAAGGGATATATATTTTTTAATGTGAATAATTTCAAAAAAGGATTATCTTTTCCAAATTACCAACGGTAGATTTGAATAAGTCCGTATGGAAATTATTACATAATGATCATAAAGCACTGTAAATCTTTTTTTTAAATGCATTTCAAATATGGTACTGATCACTTTGTATTTTAAAGATATCATAAATAAACACACACACACATATATATAAGATCAGAAACCATTTTGTTGTTACAAAAAGGCCGAAAAACAATCTAAAACATAAATATTCATCGTTCAATAGTTCAAATATAAATTTTTAGTTAATTCTCATGAACTGTTTTATTTTTGATGGATTTAATAAAGTTATATAATTCTGTGTTATCTTTTATACTTAGTGACCATTACTATGTTGATGAAAAAAATATCACTTAAGGAAATCCAAAATATTCCGTATATTGAGTGAAGCTCGTAATTAATTATTCATTGTGATGTATTTGTTTTGGTTCTTTTGGTCGTCTCATATTATTATTGTGTGTTTTCAGCCTGATCAGTTTTCTGATCTTCTGATGTTCCTAGTAAACGTTTTTGCAAATAAAAATTCGTATTGAGCGAGATAGATCACACAGTAATTTGCCTTTAGTCCAAAACATTTTCGCATAATTCCAACAATTTGTTTACATCTATGTGAACAGTGTCATAATCGTCGACTAGGAAAGCTTTCTGTCATTTACGCAAAGAAACCTGCTCATTAAACTCTTTAGGAAATCTCTTTCAACTGTATGCTATCAAACAATGTACCACAAAACTGGTTGCGGGATTTTAATGATCGCCAGTATGAACGATAGCGTAAATATCTCTTTTCTACTGACTGTTAGTTACAACCCAATCAATCGACTGATAATTTCTCTGATTTCAAAACCATGTTTTCACACAGGATGCATCAATTTTGCAAAAACTACAAATAGTATACTTTGTTGGTCAGTGCCAACCAAAATTCGAAATTTATATTCAGAGTTTTCTAATGATTGCGTTGATTTAGCCGATTTAAAACAAGTCCCATTGAAACTCTTCTCAATCAGTTTCCAATGTAAATTTCCTATCAAGTTGGTAAATATTTTTTTTAATGTTTAATTCTCATATTTTGTTTTGTATTTTCGTCAGAACTAATCCGATTATTACTAATATCATTATTTAAAATTAGCCTCCTTTTGAAGGTGAAGATGAAGAAGATTTATTTGCAAATATATTACAACATACTATTTCATATCCGAAAAGTTTATCCAAAGAATCTGTTTCCATTTGTAAAGCGGTAAATTTTTTATTTTTCATTTTTACTCTTGACTGTCATTAATCAAATCTTTAACAAGTATATATATTTATTTATACCACAGTATTCAAACATTATTGTTTGTGTGTATATTTAGCTTTGAGTCAAAACCCTGCAGATAAACTTTAGTACTACTGTGGTGCGCGTTACTTATAAGTAGTATATGACGTGAGTGTCAACGTAATGTCTGGCAGCAGAAGATGGGGGAAGATCAAGAAAGGAAGAGTGGGAAAACAATGGAATTTGTATGAAACGCATGAATAAGTGAAATGTCAGACAATGGGTTGATGATGGATTGATGATTCGCAAATTAACGGTTACGATATGGTTTTCCTATTTTACTGAGTAACTCTGTAATTTGCGACAAATACAATTCGGTTGCCCTCACCTGTGTTCTCCTTCACTACACTACTACCAATACTACTAATTTAGTTACTGAAGTGGCACCAAGTAGAGTGTTGTTGGAATCTCAAAGTCGAATAATTTTTTTTATCAAACTAGAGTTAATGTCAGTATGATTCACATGCTTTATTTATGTTTCGGTTCAATAACGTATATCCTACTTCGCATTATAATTTTTCAAAAACACGAAAAATTTTTTTTAGATCAAGCTAAACCTGTAATTATTTCCGCTTGTTCTTTTTTCTTTTTGGGAGGTTTTTTTTCAGTATAGCAAGAAAAAAAGTGTTAAGTTTATGTGTTCATTTATTAAAGATTAATTAGGCACAGTTTGTATTACAACTGATCTTATATAAACACTGAAAACTTGAAAGTATTTTAATAGTTGTTTCATGCAAGTATAGAACTGTTTGTTAGTGTGAATATTCATAATCTTACTGGGGATTGGACTTAGGACCTCTAGTTTTTTCTAAGGAGCGTATCCAATGGTCTACAAGTCAATTTTCTCAATATGTGATCAGGTCAATTCTTGACAAAACAGTGATTTTCAATCTAATAAGTGATAAATTATTTTCTGAACTGACTAAATACTTCGTAAATTTGGCGAATAATTTCCCTTATGAAAAAGTGATATATTGTTTTTTTTTCTTTCCACGTCTGTTTATTTGATAATTGTAGAGATATATCATGTTGAACATATTTGACAGTACAATGAATAAATATATATTATAAGTAGTGTTATTAGTTGGGTTCTTTCAGCCAATAAGTGATACACAGCAATATAAATCCTGGCACACATAGTTGTTTCGTTCATTGTCCAATCCTGATACTGATAATCAATCTCCCTGCATTAACACTCGTGAGATGAAATTATAAAGAGATATATCAAAGTAATATCAGTGAAAGTGCAGGAGATTATGAATAGACTATATAGTTGTAGAATAAAGAATGAATTCCTGAAATAAAAAGAAGTGTAAGGTAATTTTGGAATTCAAGAACTAAACTTAAAGAAGAGAGCGAATGAAGCTGCGTTATTTTGACCGATTCTGAGCTTAGTTGTTCAATGCCTCCAACTATTGTTTATGATAATCGCATGGACTCCAACCGAATAAGTATGCACCAACCTACATAGTCGAATTCGAAAATTTAAGGTTTATTAAACTGTAGCTGTATTTTGATTTGGCTCTTCCTATAATTGTTTCAACCAGCCCACCTCGTAGGTCAATATGGTTAGTGATTGGGAAAAAGTTCTGTTCAATTGATAGAATTTATTGTTTCGCTTAGCTCTGTATATCTGTATAAGAAATTAAGATATTCTTAACTGCATGTCATGTCCTCTGCTTGTGGATGAAATTATCATATTGTAGATTGATTTCGTTTCTGACTCGTGCATTTCTGACATGTATTGCTATTACATTGTAAATATTTTTGATTAGTATTCAATGGAATTTTACTGCTCGTTCACTATATTACATAGTGTTTTTCGTTTACATCAATGGTTAATACATAGAATATTTTGCAATAATAACAGTAAATACTACTTTTATTATTGTTATTTCTGTTATTATTTTACAGCTACTTACAAGAGATCCAATGAAAAGACTCGGATGCGGTTCAGATGGTGAAAAAGAGATCAAAGAACATTTGTTCTTTCGACGTATAGATTGGGATAAAATTGCTTCGCGTTTAGTCCAGCCTCCTTTCAGACCAGTTACTGTATGTACTACTTTTTTAATTTCGTTGAATCTATTTCTTATATAATCTTGACTGTGTTGTTGTAATGATCTTGATAACTGTTAAAAACTAAAAGTTCTCTGAATGGCTATTTCATTTTACTGCAAAGATATTTAACATCACATATTCATGAAAAGCTTTAAGATGACAATGTTAACACTTGATTGCGAAGACATGATCACTTGCAAAGTCAGTTGATTTATAATTGAGAAGATTACTTTCTAGAGTTGATTTGCTTTAAACCGTATTACATCATAAATGCCGCAAAATTATATATGGTGTATTGTTAGATTGCAATTTCATGATAGGAAAACAGTGCGGTCGCTTAATGTATAGTGTTGTGTGAATGTATTGTAAGGAAAACTCTAACCAAAGATGAAGCAGCTACTTGAAGATGGTTTTCGGATAACACTTACTCTTAAACTTCAACCCTGATATACTCATGTTTTGCAATGTCAACCTAATTGTTCCTAATGATAAGTATGTTTCACAGAGTTGATTTGTTCAGATTATTAATAATAACGGTTTGTACTTTCATGCCATAAAGTTGTCAAAAGTGATGCATAAAAGTGATCAGTCGGTCAGTTACAACGTAGAACTTCGTACATGAGTAGATCAGTTCAGTCATACCGCATTAACACAGATACGCAGCTGTCAGTTCAAATCCAATAATGGTAGTGATAGAAGAAGTATTAGCAGTAATGGAGAAGATTAGGGTTCGAAGATATGATTCGAGACCGAATTGGTCACAAACAACCAACACTAATCTACCCTCCTTTTCAGGTTCCTCAACAAAAACACCCCTTCACGGTGTGGGTAGCCGGGAAGTGACATTCGCCCTTATACCCTTAACACCACACATAAAAATAATAATGTTCCTTTTTTGTGGTAACTACTAATTTAATTCTATTGTAAAAAGTCGACAGAAAAACACACTGGTTATACGAGTCGTAAGATTCCATATTCAAACCATTAGAAATGTTTCATTAGTAAATAAATACCTTTAATAACTCATGACAAAGTCATCTCAATTTTTAAAATGGTAATATAATGTATTGTTAATGACTTCTTGGAATTCATCTGAATAGTAGACACTTATATTTGTTTAGTATTAAATTTAGCTCACGTTCCAATTGGAACATTTATCACATGTTGAATGTTTCTCACGGGAAAGAATTCCATTGAAATACAATTCTTAAATTATTGTGGAATGTTTATTTTAAAGTCTAATTTCAGTCATTATTTAAAGAATAAAATTTCTATAGTAATAATAAACTCAAAGTGAAAGTATAAAGTTTAAGTGATTTGATGATAATTATCTAACCATTTAGCAAGGCAAATGATTCGATTTACACCATACTATTTTGCGTTTGAAATAACTTAAAAATCGGAGTTAATTTTGTCTAACTAAATGAGTAAAAAATTCTCAATAATCAGCCATAATCTGACGAAGTTACTATCTATAATAAACATTTTCAGAGATTCGAAACGCTGAAGATTTATAGGTCAGCAAGATGATATCAACCGAGTTGCATTCTCTGAGCTGGATAGTGAAGCGAAGACACTTCGCAGCGTTCAGTAGCTAACTGATTGTAGACGCTTGTTCGATTGCAAAACATGTGAACTTGTCAAAATGCAAAGAAGACCGGCAATAGCTAAGAAGCATGCTACTTAAATTAGTGAAAAACGAGTAAACATATGAAAAGCAATTGAATGTATCAGCTTAATAGAAAAATTTCAAAGAATTTAGTTGAATAAATTTTCAGCATCAAATTTAACTGGACACCATCGATTAAATTATGAAACTCCATTCACGAATTCAGCTTATCGCTCAATCACTTATTTATGTCTCACTTTTTTTGGCTTACATCACTAACTGATGTTTGTTTGACAACCGATGAAAACCAGGAAGCACTAGATAGTTGTTTTGTCCTGAACAGTGTTTATCTACCAACGAACCAGGGATCAAACCATGAACCTTTAGATCTTAGGACAAGCACCAAACTGACATCTTATGATATACTTTATTAACGTTTACTAGTTTGTTATGTTGTGGAATCACTCACCTTTTGTCTTCTGTTGATACGTGCCCCTGATTCACTGAAACATCAGTGGTTACTGCTTATCAATAGGATTTTGAGATAGTTAATTCTTAACACTAGTCACTAGTGTGAACAGTATGATTATTTTTATTACAATGTAACAGATTTGTGTTGTATAAACCATAAAATTAAACAATATTTCCAAGACCTTCTCACTAAAGTTGTTAACAATGAAATATTCATTTCCTTCAATAATTCTTCATTTGTTATTTTCAATGTAATCTTCTTTTTTTCTCCCTCTCTCTCTGTGTGTGTAGTGTTCACCACGTGATACAAGTAATTTTGACAGTGAATTTACAAAAGTCACGCCGGAATTAACTCCAACAGATAAATTATTTGTCATGAATTTAACTCAAACGGAATTTAGTGGATTTTCTTTTGTTAATCCAGAATTTATTGTTGAAGTGTAAAATGTCGATTTTTTATTTGTATTTCCATACTTTCTTCTTTGTTTTTGTACTTTTCTTTTTTTTTTTCAAATTTCATTGTGATAAACATTATAATATTCATTTTTCATCTATTTATATATCTAGTTAGTTAGTTAGTTCATTCATTCATCCATTCATGTTTCCTTCTTTCCATCTCTCTCTTTTAAAAAAATGCATTTATGAATGGTTTACTTGGTTATTTGATTTCTCCCTCTAAATGTATACAGAAACTCTTTTTCCTTTGCTTTATTTCTTTCTTTGTTATTGCTAAATCTCAGTGTGTTGTTTATCCTCTGATTCTATGTGTATGTTTAATATTTCTATGTTGAGTTTATCAAAATACAAAATCCCAAGAAGAATAACCTTGACAACAACAATATGAAAATGTTATCACTAGCTATTTTGTTAACATGATATTTTCATGTTTTCAAATGCTACTGTTTTGCATTTTTAATTTTATTCCAAAAACTTGTCCACTTGGATTATGGCGGACAGTTATGATTAGCCGAATACTGTTCAATCATATATATATATTTATATATGCGAGAATTGTTCTTGTTCTCCTTTTTTTTCAATATGTAGATTTGTTACAGTTTTATTTTGAATAAATGATCTCATTTTTTTCTTCTCGTCATGTTTGCTCATTTCCATTTTTTTTGATGTGATATCATTTCTGTTGAAACAATGTATTGTAATCTATAATAATTTATACTTTAAGTGTATGTAAACTACATTTAGGAATTCTTTAGTTTTCATTTCTATGTAGATCATTTCATTTAAATATGTTTTTTATTCTGCTTTCACTTTTTTTTCTGCAATGTAATGTAAAATTCCTTTTATTCCTCATTTAAAAATGTGCAATAAAATTTATGATCTATGTCAATGGGAATAAACATTCCACTAATCAAGTACTTTTACTAATGTTAGTAGTATCGTTATCATAGTTACTAGTAGTAGTGTGATAGCAGCTGAACTAATTTATTTGCTCATCATTTTAATTTGCTTATCAATATTTTCATACAATCTTTTTTTTAATGAAACTTCTCTCTCTATTATCCACTTTCTTGACCATTGTTTAATTTCAATCAGATCTAGTTGTTGTTCCCATGTGTTGTTGATGTTGTTGTCGATGCTGTTTACGTTTGTTTCATTGTTCATAACTTTCACATTGATTTCATTCTCGTCTTCTGCGTCTTCTCTCATTTTCATATCTATTTGTGTTTTTTTGACTTTTTTTTCTTCCTTTCTCTCTTATCATATACGGCTGAGCATGAATTGTCAAATATTTCATTCAATATGATCACATCTTTTGTTGTTTGTTATGACTGTTTGGATCAAGCGAATGGAAATGAATAGAAATGACAAAATTAAGAACAATGTGAACGTTTGAAAGGCAGCTGTTTGTTTCTATCTCTTGTTTTGTTTTCTATATATATGTATGTGTATGTAGAGTAAAGTGATTAAGTGCATTTATTAATTGATATTTATCAACAGTTCTGTTTCATTTATTGTCTTTCTTTTTTTTTTCTTCCTTGTCATTTACACGTTTTTAATTTGTTCAGCGAAATAATCAATCAGTTTTATTCCAATACATAAAATTATTGTTTAAAAGAAATAAAATGTCTTTTTTTTCTATCGAATTTTTACTTCTTTTTGCTTTTTATCACGTTTTTTGCTCATTGATTTGAATGAATTGAAATTAGCAAAGTTTGAGTTTTATACACTGTGATCAGTTAACTTGTATGAGTAATGAAAAAAAAAGGTGTAGATACTTCCTCATCTTAGTAAATAAAACTCAGTATACATCACTATGAGTAAACGTTTGACTTACCCCGTTGTTGGCGTTTGTGTTTGAAACAAAAGATTCTGAGTTCTAGTCCTAGTTAATGTTGTTGTTATTATTAATACTCAGACAAAAAGTACTTCCAATTGAAGAGTCTTAAATTGAACGAAACTTGCTTTCTGAATCTTGATGATTGCTATGATTTATCGCTTTTGAAATGCACTTGTTCTAAATTATTTCGAAATCCGTATTAATACTTAATTTTCACATAGTCAAGGGATTTGAAACAAAGCATTTTGAAAGCATTGTTATTTACGTAAATGTAACTTTAAAACCTAGTGAGAATTTTACTATTTTTCCTTAAAAAATTACTGTTAGTGATGCAAAGTGTTGTTCTGGTAGTATATTACTATTAAATAATTAAAATAACTATATCCTAAAGACTTTAACATAAGGTTTGAATTTCAACTAGTTTATATAGAATAGTATTAATCTACGTGCAAAAATGTTTTGAAAGCCAAATATATTAGAAATTTAATTGGTACTAAGTTATATTCGTGTCTTTCTACTTTCATAACAATGATAAGAATTTTTCACTTTGTTTTCTTTTGAATAATACATTTTAAGAAAGAAATCTCATGTATAAATTTGTTTCTCATAAATCAAATAATCTTATGATTTGAGATGCGGAGTCATTTGTTATTGCATCATAGACTTTATTAAACTATTTATTCATCTTTATCGGTTACGTGGCGCATAAAAAAACTGTTCAATGTTAAATATATTTTAAAATTAGCTTAACAAAAATAGATTATTCAGTTTTGTTCAATGCTTTGGGGGTAACTGTTAAGTCTTACTAACCAAAAGGCTACCATGTCTATCCGTCACCTAGTTACTTACGTATATTATCCTTATGGAGTATGAGCAGCCGACCAACATTCTCCAAACTACTTTGTCCTAGGCTCTCCTTTCCAGTTCCAGGCAATCCTTTTCATATCTGCCTCTGATTCTTCGGTCTACCTCTTTCCCTTTGGCCTTAAGGATTCTGAGTTTAGACTTGCTTCGTAACGTGAACTGTTAACTCTCACTAGCCAAAAAGCTGCCATGTCTATCTGTAATGATGCTTAAGTATTAAAAGACCGTAATACTTGTTATGTTCCTGTCGAATAATTTAAATGTGACCACTAATGTAACACATGTATTTTGAGGACTCAAATTAATTGTACATGAAAAGAGATTGCACGCTTATTTATCCAGTTCTAGTGACGTATACAATTTTCTTCTCTTTCCAACCAATTGCCTGTTTTAACATATCCTAATTTTAAGTTGATTTTATCTTATAAATCAATGTAAGTATCCTAATGACATAGAAAAATTTATATCGAAGTTAGAATATCAGAACATTTTTAAATGACATTTTCAAGACTGTTGAAATGATTCTGGATTAGTTGTTGTCCATTATAACTAATTATTAATTTATAAGTTTACTCAGAATATCGATACAACTGCTGCGCATTGTTATAGTTAACATCTTATGTCGTGACTTTAGTTGCAACGATGATTATGTTTTTTGGACGAGGAATGGTTTTAGTAACTAATAAAAAGTTAGAAGAAGTACTCTAAGTGGTATTTTTTTAATGCATTTTGTTTAAAAATATCAACCAGTTTGGTTGATACTCATGTTGCTATTATATCCGGACTAGTGACACTGCAAGTTAAGTTAAAAAAGTTATGACGGCATCGACTTACAACATGAGGCCAAATTCGATAGCTGCGATTAGATTTTACAGAAATTCAACACTTTATTGATTGTTTGACGATTTTGTTTTCGTAATATTATATTAACTTTGAAAGTGAGATGAAACATGAATTGTCTCGCTTTCACAATTGTGTAGGTACTTCTTGAAGTTGTTAACAAAGTGATTATTATATCTACTGATTACAGGTAATCAGTATAATTCTATTTTATCTGATGAATTGTGGATTTATGAGTTTCTGAACACAATATGTTATTAAACTTTGTGCAGTATGCACACTTTGTGGTGTATGTCTAATTTGCTTTGAATCACAGTAAAATGTAATTGAATGATCTCATATTTCGAGCAATAAAATATTGATACAGTGAAGTTATTGTTTAGTGTTTTAAGTAGGTAATTATCAATCTTTCCGATTAAGTTGAATCAAAGAACTATATGTTTTCTTTAGAACTGCCAACATTTGAAGTTTTAAACTAGAAATGTTAACAGTCAGAAGATCTACATACAATAAGTAGCAGTTTTGTTGCAGATTGGAATATTTTGGCAGTACGCACCAACAATAGAAGTATTTTGGGGAATATTTTTTCCCAATACAACTATTCAATGTAATTTTTCATGTCAAGCATTCGACTGCATTATATTTACTAAAATCAACTTCAAAGTACATATTTTAGAAATTATTTTAAAACCTCAGTATAGTATTTTTCATCCTGAAGGTATACTTTTTTTGTCGAATGTGTACCATTCATAAACTTCTCTACATATTTATTGAATGTCTTGAAGTAATTATCTAGTGTAATTTATACTTTCTTCTTTACGTTTTTTTCTTCTTTTCGTTAAATAGTACTCATCTACACCGGTGAAATTCAATATAGAGTTTATGTGTATAGTTTACGGCATAAACTCGTTATAACGAGAGTTAACAACGTCGGTGATGATGATAATGATGATGTTATGCTATCGTGATCGATCAATTCCTAAAGGTTTATTTTTTAATTTTCTAATTATTTAATTTCCTTTTTCTAAAAAAACAATTGACAGATTCAAATTTTATGCAATTATTTTATCATTCATTGAAAAAGTTTGCCGCTATGTACAAAGTTTATGTACAATTGATTTTGTCCGAGATTAATTTGGAACAATTAAACGAGATGATGAAGTTATCATTAAAGTTTGTTTAAAATTAATAAACAAATTAATTATTTTATAATTATAGAACTAATTATATTAAAATTATATCCAATCAATCAATTAATCATCGTTATGTAAGATTAGAATATGCATGATTATTTTTTGCTTGATAACAACACTAATGATTATTTCAGATTTTTAATATATTACAAAAGTATATGCATTGTTTTAAAGATGCATTCTATTCGAATCATAATTTTAACATATTTCTAAAATATATCCTTTTTATACAAATTGACAATTTTAACTATGTATTTATTATGTGAACAATTATTAAATAATCTGAAATCATAAAAAAAATGTTTATTTTCATGTGAGTTAACATTGTTTCATTGTCATACGGTTGTGAAGATTGCTGAGTGTCATTGGAATTATGGATCGACGAATGTTAAATAACCATTGGAAACTTGGAAGCACTAGACGGTCGTTTCTTATTAGTATAATGTTCACTAGCAGTGCACATCTACGACATTTGGACGCGGGAATCAAACCTAGGACCTTTGGTTTCATACGTGAGCGCTTAACTTATAGACCACTGATTCGATATTCAACGATGTTAATATCCTACTTTAACCAATTCACGATATTACACGATAATCACAAGTTATATTTGAGATGTGATTACCACACACCCGACACGTTTGAACTTCACTTGGTGTGCATGCGTCATGGGTGCGCACTGATGATTATTCCCATAATAGAGATGAAACAGCTACCTAGTACTTCTTTGATTTCAGTACACCGAATTTCATTGTTTTCTTCATAATTTTGCTTGTATTGATAAAAATATTTATTATCCTGTCATTTTTAGTTGAAACTTTAATTTCATACGATCTATTTAATTAGTGATTCTGTTTACTGAAATCTTTAGATTAGTTATTAGCAAAAAATGTCCTAGTCAAGTTTATTGCATCTTCGTAATATTTTTAAAATCGAACTGATTGATATTCTACAGAGTTCAACGTTAAAACGTGAACATTTTTGTAATGTGTGTTCGTTTTCAACGATATACCTTAAATACAGTAAATATCAATCTTCAAATCTTGACAATGTGTTATAAATTAGCGTATGAATATGTTGCATTATATAGTGTATTGTATTGGTCTTTGTAAAAATAATTACAAATGAGTACTAATTATTCTCAATAGTTTCGTTCAGTCTTATTAAACCTACTTTAAAAGAAATCTATAATGTTTTAAATTGTATATTATTTCCTGTTTCTAAATCATATTGACTATTTCTTTAACACATGTTTCCTTCTAATACATTTAAAGCATTTTATTAGCATGCAATATGGTTGTGGTATTGAACTATCTTCAATTTACCATTCATTTAAAGTAGGTTGATCAGTTTTTAGTTTTTTTTTTCGTATTCGGAAATTAATCACTTTCTAATGTTTATCCACACTTTTGGTGTACTGATTTGCAAAGATTTGTACTCAGAAATAAAATTTATTGGAATATGCGCATTCTGAGTAGAAGCCTCGACATTGCCATTTTTTACAGGCTTTTCTATCAACAAATGGATTATGCAAGCATCTATTGATAAAAACAATACTCTGTAAACAATTTAATTATTTTCCGTATTCAGTCGCCTGGATGTTATTGAGTTTGACTCTGAATCTTCACATCAACACCGGGATGAAAGTATATCCAGCTGACAAATCTTAGGTTGAATCCCACTGCCTGATAGGATCCAAATCAGCTATAACTGTACTCGTTTAATTTTCTTAATATATCAATATCTGAGGTTATTTTAAGCCTATGTTAGGAAAAAATGTTATAAATTTAGTCAGATAATAGGTTTCTTGAATAGTGTTTCTAATACATACATACATATATAGGCTTCATTGCACTGAGTTTAAAATTTTTACAGGTAGGTGAAAACTTTATCGAAAGGGCTTTCAAAATTTTAGATAGCACATTAATTGTTTCATTGAGTTCTTCAATTCTTACATTGTCTCGTGCGTGCGTATTTCTCTTATGTATTAAAGTTTCCTAACAATTAGTCTAATAGATTTATTTTTAAGTTTTTTTTACTGAGAATATGTGTTTGATAGAAACTATAATAGCATTTTCCGTCATCAGAATGTACTTTTCCGACTTATATTCAGCTGCTTTCTGAATATATTCACAGTGTACAATTAGTGTACGTTATTTATTCCATTCTAAATTAATACAAATAGAACAACACATATAAGCGAACAATATTGTTTTCGATTAGATCGTCGTCAGGCTTTACTCTAATATACATGAATATTTATATGAAAATGTTAAACCAATCGAGGCAATTTGAGTTATAATCACAATTAAATTAAAAAGATTACGTCACTACATATGATAGGCAAAAGTACAAGTGAATAGTAGGAAGACAAGTGTACTGATAGTAGTAAGAAAATTATAAAATATGATAACTAAAGTCTTATCAATTGTAGGTCAAACGTGAATGAATAGACTCCAAATAATCATTAAAAACATCAAAACCATTACGTAATAAGCAAATGTGCAAACATAAAAATAAAAATAATAAATAAATAAAAAATATAAATGTCAGTCGTTAGTTATGTTATTTTCGGCCACGGAAGAGATAGGGGTGTCACGAATTTCTTCTGAACACATAAATTGGGGTTGAATGTACCTATTCCTATGGCTTCTGCAAAGTGTAGGAGATGGGATCGAACTTCGTTGGGAAATGATGGAGGTATACGATAGATCACCCGAAAAGACCTAGATTTATATACAATGTGACCACTATCTACCAGGTGTGCTAAGATAGCACTACGTACTTTTTCCTATTATATGTAGTGACGTAATCTTTTTCATTTCATTGTGATTATAACTCAAATTGCCTTGATTGGTTTAACATTTTCATATAAATATTCATGTATATTACAGTAAAGCCTGATGACGATCTAATCGAAAACAATATTGTTCGCTTATGTGTGTTGTTCTAATTTTCACAATGGGAATCTTTAATAATACATATAATATAAAATAGTACATAATATATAATATCTTGTATCAGGCTCATAATCTATGCCATTATTGTGTAACATCTTAACTTTAATTGTTATTATCAGGTACCGGATGATAGATCATCAATATGGCGACCGTATTTTTATTCACTCGTATACACTTTATTAAATGGTATAGTTGTCTTTTACTTGAAGGTAAGCCATAAAATGTCTTATTTTAATTGATAATTACTAATATTTTTAAGAAATATTTTCGGTGGTGTGAATTTAATTCGGTTGTACCGACAGTAGCTTATTTCACTTATGAATGTTGGAGAAAGATGAGCATTGATTTTATCAATGGTAAGTGATAGTTCATTTTGATCTGTTTTCATAGTCAGTAAATAAAAACTCATAACAAATAACTTTTTTTTTAAAAACAGTTTTAATCCTGAATTCAAATATCAGTTTAGATACTATTAAAAACCAAGAAATAATAAAACGTTATTGCGGTTTAAAGTGAGATATCGAAACAGTTAAAATGCGTATCACTACCAAAGACCAAGTTCATTCCATTTAGGTCTCCTCTGTAATCATTAATAAATGACTGGCTTGGATTCCACTAATTCATAGTTCGGTCATTTCAAAGTGATCTTTAATTGCTGTTTGATTTCAGCAATAACTATGTTTTGGGGACGTTAGATCTCCAGAACTAACTTGGAAAGGTCCTAATTTCGTAATTTTGTTATGAAATTTTGGATTTTCATGTTTACTCGCCATTCGACCTTCAGCTTATATTTCCTCCCCGGGAAATTCTTGACTGTCATTGGTTGATGGATTATTTTAGTAGGCTACTTTTGTGGCTGTCCCAAGGACGTTACTATCATGTTTAAATAAGCTCGATTTGTGTGCTTGTTGGTCTCGTATTTTTCGGTCGCTTGTAGAATACACTTTCTATGCCTCATCAAGTCTTCTTGATATAGTTAGCCTGGCCAGGGACATGCGGATTAGAATAGCCTATCGAGTCACTGCATCATTTGTCTTCACTCCGTTTACCGAGTAAGGTGAACTCGTTATAGCTTCAAGCATATCAGTTAACAAGCATATCACTATGTCACTTCTAATGTTGTTGAATGTCATCAGTTCTTATATCTTACGAGAACGTCAAAGGTTATACACTAATATACATATGCCCATAATAAAAACCTTTTACACCATGACATAAACTATTCAATTTACCTAACTAGATAAGCAACCTATTAAGTTCTAATAATCTTGACTCTTGAAGAAGAAAAATTTATTTTTATGTAATTCCACAACTCTTTTATTTATCGACAATCATTTGAATTCCATGAAGATGAGGAAGAAACTTCAATAAAACTAGACATTTAGCAATCAATATGGTTTAAATCTGCAATAACTTAATCTAGCTGAACATATATATATATATATCCCTTCTGAAATTTGACTTCTATCTAAGTATTCATTTTTGCATGTGTTTGAACCGTGAATCAACATTGATCCATTTATTCTTTTTAATTTAATTTTTCTATAGATTTAACTAAAAATAATATAATTCAAAAAAGAAATCCTACTTTCTCAACATCAGTAATGTATTCAAATGAATATATAAATAGAACATATGTATTAACACATAGTATTGGACGTTTATCTATGAAACGTTCTGGAAAAGCTTTTCGTTTAGTTATTAATGCTAATTATCATTTATTATCATCGAAGAATTTAGTAAATAAGCAAGAGTCAAATTCAAACATTCCACATTCCATTGAACATTGTTTGAGTCTGAATCAACGTTTAAAATTAAACAATGGTCTATTTGAATTTTTTCGAAAATTAAGAATTGAAGTAAGTTAGCAGCCGTACAAGTTTTTTCCATACTTACTGAAATATAATATGCATTGATCAAACTAATTTAATTTACTATATTTTGAAATGTTCATTTTGAAAGTTTCGGTTACCAGTTAAATAAAAGTGGACATGAATAGTATACTAGTGTAATTCATATATATATATATATATATATATATATATATATATATATATATATAACACTTCTCGTTAAAGAATTCAACTGAAAAATGTGAATATAGGTTTCATTATTATACCATTAATCAAAATGTATTGCTATTTTTTTCTTAGTTCAGATCTTCTCAGAAATGTGAATTAAATATGGTATTTCTAAATTTTGCATTGAACGCCATGAACAGGCTATTGTCACACTTTCTAATTAACTGTTTTATATACATTCTTATTATTTACTAGAACATTGTGATATTTATCTTTAAATTATAATTATTGATCAACAGAACTGTAGGTTAGTCTCATTCACCAATGATATTGAATCAGTGTTTTTCTATAGAATAAATTCAGTTAAATGTAATTCGTCAGTTGTTGAGTGTTCACTCGTTTCTTTCATAGTAAATGAATATTTCAAGTTTGCTTAGCAAGCAATCAATAAGGTTGAAATTGTTATTATCCAGGGTTTGTAGATTTCTTATTTATTAATTAATAATTTTGTGATAAGTATTACTTTCGATTTGTACAAAAGTGCCCGTTAAACCATTTGTGTAAACAATAATTTCTGTTCTATATATCAAACAGTATTAACACATTGTTACATATCATTGTTGGATCGTAATCATGATTCAACGATGCATTTCACACGTTTTCAAGCTCAGTTTAAATTATTTGTCCTTGAGATGTCTTTGCATATAGCATTCAAAACATGGATGATTTTATTTTAAATAAGTTTCGTTATTACAAATGTTACAAATATTTGATAATAAACATTTCTTATGTTAAGTGGTTGGAGTCAGTCGGCAAGAGATCCTACTTTTTCATGCTAGTTGACACTTGTCAGTAAGTTTTTCAGTCTTTAAAGCACCGATGCTTCTTAGTGCATTCGAACTCTGGTAATCTACATTCACAGTGTCAGATCTCATGGTTGTTATATGAACCTCAGCTAACCCTTTTTAAAAAAGAGATATTGACACTGGTTGACTCTGACTAATGATCAATGCAATGTTTTTCTGTTCCTTTATGCCCTTCCTGTTGAAAGTGTATCTATATGTAGGTTGTCAGCTTCTTTTAACAGCTATCGATTATGGTGTAAACATATCATAAACTTTTTAGCATTTTCATCATCAAACGTATTTTATTTCACTAAATAAATAGTCTATCAACTTTAACTGTCACAAATATTTCCAGTTACGTTATCGACAGTTAGAATTCATTACTATTACTAGTAATCTTTCTCTGTGATATAAATGGTCTCATTTACAAAGATACTTCCTTTTTTCTTCTCGACAAACAATTCCCGAGATTTTGTCTTAATCATTTTACATCACTCACAATTTTTATCACATGATTAACTAAATAATAGTCAATTGTTGTTGTTTTTTTACATTTTCCTCATTTTATAATTTATTTCTAGTTTCCTGGTGTTTATGCACCATCTTTATTATCGACAAAATCTGCATTCAACACTTTATTATCATTTCGTTCACTTGTTTATTCAATAGGATTTCGTCGGTAAGTTAAATACAAATACGAGTGACCTATATTTTTGTTGTGTCTAATCTTACCTTTTATATATATATATATGTATATATATATATTACCATAAGGAATCTAAAATTTCATAGTTTACATCATGAAAGTGAGACAGTCACTCCTCACTAAGGACACAATTTTGCTAATCAATCGAATTTAGTCATGTAAACTATTGAATGACAGCGCAATAGTTTAAAAGTTAAGCACTGACTATAACACGTGAATATGATGGATCAGGTCTGTGATAGAGTTGTGGATACTCTCTATCAATGAACTCCGTACTAGAATACATTGGCTATACGATGGTTTCTGGTTTTATATGATTATCTAATTAAAACTTGTTCATGATATAAACTGTGATCTGATTATTAAACTTCAAGATGGACTTTTTTATGCATTGATTAGATTTTTTACTAATTTACATATTTATTAACAGTTCGTTTTTTTAAATATCAAAAATATACTGTATATGTACATACATACACATATATTCAATGCATGTTAAATCTGAAAAAAAATTTAAAAAGTTCTCATCTGTCATATAAACAGCTTAAGAACTTACAGAACTGCTCAACTATGCAAGACAGCGAGCGAGAACTAACAGGATATAAAGCATAAGTTAATAAATAATCCGAAATCCAATGGAATATTCAACATCATAAGTAAATTTCAAAAAGGGGGAAAATTTTGCCGGTAAATAAAAACAGTGGCATAATACTAAATTAAAAATTGATATGCTTTAAACTATTACGAGTTCACCTTAGTCGGTAAATGGGAACGAAGGCAAATGATGCAGTAACTCGACAGGCTATTCTATTCCGTTTGTCCTAGGTCCTGATAACTAGATCAAGCGGTCTTGATATGGCGTAGAAAGTGTATTCTACAAGCACACAAATCGAGCTTATTTGTACATGACAGAAACGTCCTTAGGAGAGCCACAAAAATGGCCCACTAAAATAATCCATCGACCAATGACAGTCAAGGATTTTCTGAGGGAGAATTGTAAGCTGAAGATCAACTAAGCAAATTATGCGCGAAAACATAAAAAAAAAATCCAAATTGAAGATCTTTTCCGAGTGAGCTCTGGGGATCTAACGTCCCCAACAAAAATGGAAGGTAAGCAATGAGTTGCGCTTCACACGTGTAACCAGTTTTACACTCCATCATATAATGTTATCAATCATAAACTATAGTAATACGTGTTCTGAAAATTATTATTAATATTCCAGAAGGGATCAGATCAGTAATCGTCCTTATGCTAATAATAAGGAAGGCAGCATATATCATCTACAATGCATAACATTCGACGTTCTCTTTTAATTCAATCGAATTTGAAAATAGTTTTAATTACTGATTGATTCCAATCTCTGAATTGTTAAACCCTAAGTAACATTATTGAGTTATTATTTAATTTATGGATTAGTATTTCAAAATGACACATTCCCAAGATTAATTACAAAACTTTTAGTTCTAGTCACAAAACAAGATATCACTCCAATCCATGGACTAGAGTTAATCATTCTCCATGTACATTTTCATAAATTATTCAGTCATATTTGAAACATGAAACTTTTCTAATACTTTATTACGATTTTTATTATTATTATTATTATTGTTAATTAATTAATATAAATCAGAATTTTGTTTTCGTTTTCCATTTCATTTGCTGATATTATTATCATAAAGAAAGAATATATATGTATATAATATTAATTCAGTTTTGTTATTGGATTATCGCTTTTTTTTCCTTTTTCGTTTGATTTATTGATTGAGAACAATGTTTGTTTTTTAATGTTGTTGTTGTTGTTGCTTTACTATCGCATGTATCAATCTCAACTAACCTACATCTTTGATAAACAATAAAAATATATACTTTTACGAAATAAAACTAATTACTACACATAGAGAAATTTATTAGTATAAAGGAATGAAAATAATTTGATCAGCAGCTGTTACCAAAACAAATTTATGATCTTTTATATACATAATAATAATAATAATATTCGATTATTCCTTTATCGACAGCGAAACATCGCCAATCATTGAGTTATATATTCAAAACGTTTAGAAATAAAAGTAAATTTTTTCAAATAGCTTGCTATAATAGTTTAGTATTGAAAGCATTTGACTTTTTTAGAAAGTTATAGAGGTTTGAATTTCTTTGTGTGTAGGGTTCGTCAGTAGGTACGCTTGAAGCTATTACAGGTTCACCTTAGTCGATAAACGCGAACGAGACAATTAATCAGCGTCCCGGTAGGCTACCTTCATCCGAAAACGGCAAAACAGAAGTCTTAATAAGCGTAGAAAGTATATTCTACAAACATCCAGCAGGCACAATACAATCAAGCACACAACTCTCGTTTATTTATACATCATAGAAACGTCCTTAGGACAGTCACAAAAATAGCACACTAAAATACACAGCAGCCAATCACAGCCAAGGATTTTCCTGGTGGGAAATTAAATCTCAAAGTCAACTAATCAGCCCATGCTCGCAAACGTGAAATCCAAAATAAGACATTTCTCTAGCGAGTTCTGGGGATCTAACGTCCCCAACATTGTGTCATTTAGTTTCGTTTAAAAAATAAAACTGGATATTATCATCACTTTTCTCTTGTACAAAAAAGTGTACCTCAAAATTGAATATTTATCTATATGTGCACTGAATGTCATTCACCAAGAGAACAATTTTCTCCATAGTTTACTTTATGATTAACGTTTATATACAGAAATAAAAAATAATCAGTTTATTAAATTAACTAAACTACAATTTCAGTATAATAAACTGGGAGAAAAAACGTGCATTTCGTGGTTTGTTTTTTTATAATTACTACGTTGCACCTATAGTCTAAATTGAAACTAATGCTGAGATTCTCCCGCTTTGCCCAGACCGATGTAGGTGGTTTACTGAGGGGGCCATTTTCTATGCATCTTCTAAGGTGGGGGGACGACTTCAAGAGATTCAATTTCATGTTAACGAATGTGCTCAGGTTCTTGGAGACTATTTGCACTGTCCGTAGATCATTCAATTCTTAGTCAAACTAGGTCATTCTAAGTATAGATCTGTTTAATTCACAACAAAACTAAAAATACTATAAAAGTATTGTTTTTATGTTTCTTTCAGTTATTTAACATAACACAAAATATTGAAATTATAAATTGTTTAATTGTGATTAGTATTTTCGTAGTTCTAGACACAACCCTTGAATAGTAAGTAACCTTGAAATCTAAACCATAACATTAACAAGATTAAAAATGAGACATTTGTATAAATATGCTTTTCTATGATACCAGGCATGACGTTAACTCTGAGGATGAAATAATTATCAATAATTTTCATCTATCATTATTATTATGGTTATTATTATTATTTCCGCTTGAATAAGATTGTTTATTTTTTAATATTTTCCATTGTTGCTTCATAGAAATTATTGTCACGTAGTCTGCCTTTATGTCTGCTAAATGTCTATGCCAAAAATATTACTCCTACATGAAAACCAAAAAAAAAAGTTTATATCTCATACCCCTGTATTGTTTCAAAATCTTTGTATTGGAAAATTCTATAAGCATGATTCTAAGTGAGAAGAAGCCTAGTCCACAGTCGTGTTGAGTTTGAATGAAATGTCATTCTTATCAATGAATATTGGTTGTGTAGCATTGCGAATGGAAAAAAAATTTGCATGACGACTTCGTTATTTTACTGTTAATCATTTGACGTGAAACCTGAAGTCGCAGGATTCAAGGCACATTATCATCGTGGTTGTACACTGTTGAGATGTTCCATTAATCCAACGTCTATTGGTTTTCAATGTTTGTTTAACTTTGATTAGATAATTATCGTAGAAAAATTATTATTGGAAAGAATTGTAATTGATTGAAAATAATTTTATTTGTTATTTGTGAGTAACTGGTTATTCCTTTGAATACTGAGATCGTTAAAAAAAGGTCCTTTTGATGTCTTAGAAATTGATTTTTTTTCTCAATTATATTCCTAATACAATCGAAACATTAATTCCATACCTCTATTTTTGTCAATCAGTTTAAGTTACTTTCAACATAGAACCTGACATGTATACGTATCACTGAAAGATTTTATGTCATATCAACACAGTCAAATGGAAGTATTAAAACATATATGAGAGTAGTAGAAAGTAGTAGTATCAGAAAATAATAAGTATAAACAGTATAACTCTTGCAGAAAAACGATTTCACAGAATCAAAAGTCTAAGTCTTTTTTTTGGAGTAATTAAATCCTTGCGTTTTATTTCAAACAGTATATGATGATACAAGTGTTCCAATGTAGAAATATGCAATTTTCATTTGATTACTCTTGATGGCGGCGATAGGTAGATGGTGGTGACTACCAGTTTCGTCTCATTTAAAATTAGCCATCTGGGCGATGTTATACATATTACATATTTGACATTGATTTCTTTTTATGTTTGCAGATTTTGGATTGCGAAATTAGATATTTTGGATTGTTTCAATCAGATTAATCATTCAAAATTATTAGAAATATTCTCTAATATATTGAATGAAGTAAGTGAAAAACTTGATAGAATGCTGAAAATAATGTTGTTGTGTTGAACAGTCAGTCATTGGTTACAATAATGTACGTTTTAATTATCATTTAAATAACTTATTAATCTTGGAAATAAATAAAGCTGGACTGAAGTAAATTGTGCGAACAGTGATTAATTATCAAGAGATAGAGAGAGAGAGAGAGAATATTATAACAAAGACAAATTATGATATTTTGACAAATGAATCTTGGGAATAATGAGAAAAAAACAGAAAACTGTATATTATTATATAAAGGTAGATGATTCAAGGTTACTTACTTACTTACGCCTGTTACCCCCAATGGAGCATAGGCCGCCCACCAGTTTTCTCCAACCAAATCTGTCCTGGGCTTCTTTCTCCAGTTCTGTCCAATGTTTGTTCATTCCTCTCATATCTTTCTCTATTTCTCGGCGTAGTGTGTTCCTTGGCCTTCCTCTATTCCTTTTGCCTTGAGGGTTCCATGTGAGGGCTTGTCTCGTGACGCAGTTAGGTGCTTTTCGTAGTGTGTGTCCTATCCACTTCCACCGCTTCTTCCTGATTTCCTCCTCCACTGGAATCTGGTTTGTTCTCTCCCACAGTATGTTGTTGCTGATGGTGTCTGGCCAACGAATACGAAGTATTTTGCGTAGACAGTTGTTAATAAACACTTGTATCCTCTGGATGATGGCTTTGGTAGTTCTCCATGTTTCCGCTCCATACAGTAGAACTGTCTTGACATTTGTATTGAAAATCCTGACTTTGGTATTGGTTGAAAGTTGTTTGGAGTTCCAGATATTTTTCAACTGTAGAAATGCAGCCCTCGCTTTGCCGATCCGTGCCCTCACATCTGCGTCGGATCCACCTTGGTTGTCGATGATGCTGCCCAGATATGTAAAGGTGTTAACGTCCTCCAAGGCATCTCCATCAAGAGTGATTTGTTTGGTGCATGTTGTGTTGCATCGGAGAATTTTGCTTTTTCCTTTATGTATGTTGAGACCTACTGCTGCAGAGGCTGCTGCTACACTGGTTGTCTTCTCTTGCATTTGTTGTTGAGTGTGCGATAGAAGAGCCAAGTCATCTGATTCAAGGTAACAGCTTTTAAAAAGCCCAAGAATTTATTTGTGACAGTTTTTAAATCGCAATTTAAAATCTCTCTTAAGGTGTTTTTTTTTAATCTCACGAACTATATATAATTATGGCTGTTAACTATCTGTGCTTGCTTATCAAAGTTTAAGATTGCAACTGTTACTGAATGTTCTTTTGTCATACGCTTCACTATCATCGGTCATATTCACCGATTAATTTCTCCCTTTATAAATGTGTCTACTTGTTTGTTTGTGTGGTCTAGTACATTCATTGCCACATGGGAAACCTTATATCAATATTTTAGTTTTGGTTGTTATAACAGTTTAGTGCATCCAGTAGCGATAATTTAGATTACACAACAATTTATAAATATGTATAGTTTTAAGGAAAGCATTGTTTCCTATAGTTGGTCATAAAAAGAATTGATCTTTGGTTAGACATAGAAAATGATTTTAAGCATAGATTAACAGCATTCAATTCTATTCAGAAACATTGTTCCTACCTTAAATCTGCTCTTGTATTGTTTAAATTCTTTTTTCTGTATATTATCTAAATCTTTTTTTTTGCATATTTTATTCTTTCACGATATGTAATAAAAATTTCCTGCCTCATTTTCGTCTATTGTTTCTGTAGTCAGTCAATAAACAATGTGGAATCTGTCACGTAGGCGGATAAGTTCAAAATATTACATAACATATTGCCAAGATGATGATAAGGAAAAACTAACTAAATCCTGTAATAATAAAAAGTAGTTCCGTCAGTAGGATTGCCAAATTAAACATAAGGAAGAGCATAACAGCATAGTATAATAATAACCGTAAAATAACATTATCATCAAAGATTTAAATAAATAAGTAAATCGATTTTTAATTACTATCTCCTGAAGTCTACAATCACGAAGTACTACTATATTTAAATTGCAGTCAATCAGGCACTGTCTATGGACCAAATGTATCATGATGATGTGATGTTACATGCAGTTGTTTTGTATATATAGTACTCTATGTATAACGCCAGCATCAGTTACTCGGTACTTTGATTGGATGCAAACTATGTTTCAAGTATATTTACTATGGGAGGACTGCCAAAAGGTAGTACGAAACGAACTGCTATGAAATACACTTCCTTTAATAGGTCGGTCGATGTTTCGCTTATGACTTAGCTGTAACCAATTTTACAAAATACTACCATACCTTATGAATGCATGTCAATAAGTGTACAATTTATATTCTATGTTTGGTTATGTTCAATTTTTTCTTTAGAATATGTGTTCATTATTCGTTGATGCTAAATACATTTCTCGGTTGAACAAATATCTGATATAAAACTTACTTATGCTTGTTACCGCTAATGAAGCATAGGCTGTTGACCAGCATTTGCCTACTAACTCTCTCGCGAGTCTTCCTTTTCAGTTCTAACCAACTGCAGTTCATTCTTTTCATGTCTGTCTCCAATTCTTGGCTCACTGTTTTTCTCGGTCTGTCTCTTTACTATCTACCTTAAAGGTTCCAAGTTTGGGCTTGCGTCACTACACGGTCGGATGATTTGCACAGTCCGTTTCCTATCCACTGCCAGTGCTTTTCTCTCATTTCTACCTCAGCTGAAATCTAGTTTATTCTCTCCCACAGTAGGTTGTTACTGATGGTGTCTCATGATATTCTGAAGTTATTGCGTCTTCATCCTTTCACAGTTGTTTCCTATAGTAGTTTCCCCTTCATCGAACACTTGAAACCTATTACTGAGGGCTATTTCGAACTCGTTGAGTTTCTTAAAATTGCGAAATTTGGCCGTAGTAACTTTTTGTAACGTTGTTTTCCCAGTTTTTCAGTACTTTTATAGTTTCAGTCTTATATTGGCCATTACCAAATGGAAATCTGAAGCTATATGTTGACTCTCATCCTTGTTACCACGTCCACCATGGTCCTTCTGAACATTTTATTGATGCAGACATGATCGATTTCGTTCTGTGTAGTGTGATCTGGTGAAAGCCATGTGGCTTTGTGTCGGAATATAGTGCCTAACCATTTTGTTGAAGACACATAGATTTGCGAATCCCTCACCATCTCGGTTCCTTTCTCTTAGTTCTTGTCGTCCTATATCGTCTTCATATCCCGTGTTGCTAATTCCAATCTTGGCGTGTAAGACTTCCATAAAAATTGTAAAGTTGTTTTCTGATCATTTTCGTATGATTGACTGCAGCCTCTTATAGAATTGATCTTTATCGTCTTCATTTTTATTGTTTTTATGCGCATAGCACTGAATGACATCCATTTCAATCCCCTCTTTCTTTGTTTTGAAAGAGGCTTTGATGATTCTGGGTTCATCAGATTCCCATCGTATCAGTCTTTTTTCTGCTTCTTTGAATAGCATCCGTGAAACTCCCCAGTATGTGTGAGGAATCTTCTTCTTCATGGCCAGAGTACAACAGCACATCCTGAAGCTATTCTTTTTTGTTCTTCCTGCACCCAAAGAGTTTCACTATTTTCAATAACCACCAGGTTGTATTTTTTCATTTCCTTAGTAACTTGAATGGTTCTTCCGATCTCCCACTTTGTGCAAACATGCCATTTACCTATATTATTTGTTGCGCTGATTGTGAAAATAGGCAGCCGCCTCATAACTTCCGAATTAGATTGGCTTTCACCATGAGGCGTGATAACTCTTGCAAATAAAAACCTTGTAACTGCCAGGATAGAGTTTAATTGATTCGATTTATTTTTTATGGTTAGCGTTTTTACTATCGAGCTCGTGCTTGGGACCAGCAGTTTCCCTAGAACTGCTCCAGATGGAGTTACCTGATATAAAATGTACTCTATTATTTATGAATAAAATCACATGTTACTTTATAAATTCCGTTTTTTTTTCAAGGTCAGTGATTATATGTATCCAACACCAAATAAACGTTTCCTTATTCGTGAATTGGAATGGCTTTTAAAAGAATCCATCATTTCTGTATGTTATCACTGGTTGGTTGATAATAATTATAATACTTACAATAATAATTCCTACGAGTTTATATTATGTGTAAAATTTTTTTTAAAAGAATGTTCAATGAGTTGATGGTGAATTTCACATATTTTGAGTGTAAACAGCATCATGAAAACATGTTGATTAGTGTAGAATCACTGTATATCAGGAATTATTAGTCTTAAGACTTTAAATCATGATACCCCATTCTATGTCTAATCATCAAATGCCAGTAAAATCTATATGCTTAATTTAGTTGGTTGTCGTGTTTTTGAACGGTGATGAAGATCTCCATTTATCATTAGGTTTCGTCTTCTTCCTTATGTCGAACAAAATTTGAGTTTTTTCCATCCCTAGCTTTATTTTCTGTCATTATAAACAACTGAATAGCTGTAAAATTGTTATTTTGACCTCAACAGTACAGAATCACTCCATAGATAATAGAACTCAACCAGATTATGGTTCGCTTACAAATGAAAGCGACATGCTTCTATTAATCTCGTCTATTGTTCGAAATTCATACTAAATGAAATTATTTTTATCAATAATGTAGTTAAGATTTCATCAAATTTATAGTTGAATAAAACTTGAATCACACAAAAAATTCAATTTTCCATTCGGACATTGGATGGTCGAATCGCAGCTTGATTACACCTAAAATTGGCTAACTTGCTTGAATCTTATTCTTATTCTGTATTAAATAAATATTTTCAAATGTTTATGATTACAGATACCGTAATAACCTAAATAGATTGAAATTAAAAATCCGATCCCATATTTTTTATTGAATCAATGATTCTATTCTGCTGGTGACGTTTTAAAGTATTAAGCGCTAAAAAAGAATTAATCGGTTGTTGATATTTAGGACTGAATTTTGATCAGTCTTTTCTATAAGTGAAACATATAACTATTTTGTTACGATTATTATAAGATAAAATGTAGCTCCCTGTGTAATTCAGAACACACGTTCTATTCTATTGTGGAACTTGTCAACTGGTTGCTCTTGCATTTGTGTTGTTTTGTTCACAATCAGATTTTAACTCAATACCTTTCATTAAAAAGTCAATGAAATTATTCAAATCGTTACCAATAATTATGAATTGCGTACTTGTTATTGGCTATCTGAACTCAATTGTCCAGTAGATAAAGGGTTAACATTTGAAATGGAAAGCACTGTGTTTTAATCCTAGTGTGTACATGAACACTGGGATGAATATGAATATGGTGGTATGTTTTAAACAGAATGAAACACAAGCATGATACTCATTGCTAACCATAATTTATCTATCCTATAGAAAATGAGTCTGTTGTTTCAGTCTGTCTATTTAGTCAACCACATAAGTTATGGTTACCTATTAAAGTATTGTGAAATTTATACTGAAGTTGTTTATGAGTAATAAACATTTTACAGTATCGAACAAAGTAAGATTTCGTACTTTTTTGTTGTAAACAATTATATATGTAAGAATAAACATATTTTTGTGTATAAATAAATATGTACGTATATTTTTTTCCCTAAAAATGAAATCCTATTTTTATAGATTGATGGGAAATTCTATTCATTTGTCAAAGGTATACCTCAAGGATCATGTATTAGTTCAGATTTGGCTAATATTTATTTAACTCAATTAGATCGTGAATTATACAACAACACACAATTTATTCTTTGGTCACCTCATAAATCATTACAAAATAATGTATTTAAAACAACGAATATACATTTAAGTAAATGTTCAACTATTCTTCGTTATTTAGATGATTATTTGTGTATATCAACATCTAAAATTGAATTACAAAATGTAATCAAGAAAATCAATACTAGTGAGTAATCATTCATTGTTAGAATGGAAAAAAAAATTAAATGTTTTTGTAATTGTTGAGTAGTTTATTTCATTTTAAAAGTAAAGAACAAATATATTGATCTTTTGTTTTAATTTGACAATAAATTAATTTTTATAGTAAGAATATAGTTGTATATGTTATTCCATTGTCGATTCCCTCTTAAATTCGATACATTTACATTCTACAAGTAATTTGTTTTCACAACCATTTAATCTCAATTGAGGTACAATTAGAAATTAAAGACCATTTATCAGCTGTTTCGTTCCAGTATTGAACTCTTCAGCAGTGTACATCCATTAACCCACTAGTCTCATACTATGAAGAAAAAAGTTTTCAATATTCTTTAATTTTCAATGGTACCCTACATATTATGATGAATTTACTTTATAAATTAAACCATTTCGAACAGATGAACAGTATCACCAACAGACCAAAAGAAACGATATTGATCGAAACTGGATACTTGATAAACGAATTACATTGTTTCTATGGATAATCTAATGAGAAGATTTTCAGCTGAGGGTGCATCATGTTTGTTATGGTTAAAGTCAGTCAGTTAAAACATAGAACTTCGTACAAACGTACGTACATAAGTTCAAGTTGCCATACCTCATTAGCTCAGAGATGTAATTGTCAATAACAGACACTGCCACAGAATCTCATGATCCACAGAGTCAAATGCCACCTTTAAGGTAGAGGAAGACAACTACTGTCCGACGCCTAAATGTGTGTCTGTGTTCCAGGACCTATCGTAGTGTGAAAATGTGGTCTATACAGCCACGTCCAGGTTTAAAACCAGACTGGTTTTCTCGAGTCTGCTCTTCACGAGCACTAGTAAGGCGTCCAAGTTTAATCGAGGCTAACAACATAGAAGATATATTAGTTAAACTTATTCCCCTGTGATTGTCACAAGAAGACATTTTTCCTTTCTTATAAATTGGGACAATCAGAGATTGAGACCAGTCAGATGCGATTGTGTCCAGTTCCCAAATTCTACCTAAGATTTCAGTCAATCCAGCTGCTAAAACTGGACCACTATCCTTAAAAATCTCAGGGATCAATCTATCAGGATCCGCAGCTCTACCTCGCTTCAGATTTCTCATGGCTTCCTCAACTTCATAAAGACTAGGAGGACTTATATCGGTCCCCCATTCAGGTTGGCTGTCGAACGTGCGTAACCAAAGTGTGGCTGAAGGCCAGTTGAACTGATCCCTAAAGTTTTCTGCTCATCGGTTCAATCTCTTGGATTGAGAGTGAATAATAAGTCCATCGTTTTCCGAGTTAGTTTCACTTACATTCGGATTTCTAATACCGGTTTTCTTGATAAGTCTGAATAGTTGTCTACTGTGGCCTATCGCCGTTGCCTTTTCCATCTTCCTTGCTTTCGCTACTCACCACTGATCACGATCATTCCGAAGGCTTTTTATCAGCCTGCGCCTAAGCTGGCTCCGCTGCTCATCGCATTCAGAGCCGGGCGGGATGAGTTTTCGAGCATTCATCAGTTCGGTAGATGCTATTGAAATCCACGGCTTCTCCCTAACCTTATGGTTTTCTTTAAAAGCACATATCACTGCTGTTTCCACACCTTTTTTGATACCATTCCAAGCTGCCTCAGGGTGGGTATCCCTCGCTACATGGCTGTCTAACAGTTTTTTCTAGTTGTTCCTGAAATATATTCTTAGCTTTATCGTTACCATTAAGTAGAGCCTTAACAGGTTTCCTTGAAATATTTTTCTTACGTCCCGTAAGACGCAGACAAATACAAAAATTTAATTTATCATTGTATACATATATTACGTCATTTTTTTCAAAACTCGGTACACATATTTTATATGTTTACTCTTTTTGTGTTTTTTTTTTATTTTTATTGTTTAGTACTTAACTCTTATGGATTAAAGTTGAATGAACAAAAATCAGAGACTAATTTAAATGACCCAAGTAAACTTTGAAGAATTTGTTTTTCTTTTTAATAATCTGTTTTTCTTTTTAATTTTCAATTCACCTACAATGGAAGAATATCATTGTTTAAAATAGATCAGTAAACAATATATATATATCGTCTTGTTTATTATTTTGTCTCTATCGAATCCACCTTCAAGTTAGTTATTTTCATGTGACGATTTGCAAACAGAATCATTAATCTTGAAATCATTGATAGTCAGTAGCTTTAAGATAGGTTTCTCTGTGGTTAAGCAACAGTAGATAGCCAACAGAGAACCCCTGAACTTGTGTTTCGAGCTAGCTGGCCTTCATTAGCCATGTTTATTCGTAATGCTCAGTGAACCGATACTCTTTGATGGATTCAAACCATCAATATCATCCATGTCTGTTAGTATGAGACGCTGACACTAAGCTTTTCGGATGATTTCTAATCAGCTGTGTGAATGCAAGTGAATGGAAACCTCTTAATTTCACGTTTTTCTACTCATTTACTACTGGTTGAATTCTATCGATCAGGTTGCAGTTCGATCACCAGTCTGAGTGACTGGACATTGATTTAATCAGTATAATTCGAGCAACACGCCAAATAATCGAGAAAAATTGACATTTGTCTATACTCAGTAGTGATGCGCACTGCTGATGAGTCCCATATCAGGACGAGACGGCCGTCCAGTGCTTGCAGGTTTCTAATGGTGGTCTAACAATGATTGATTGATGGTTTCAATTGTGTAAAAACGCAAACCTCCAAAACTCTGCCCCAAAAGATTAATCAATTGTCAATTTCTCTTATGTTTTAATTAAGAAGCCCCTATGTGTATCACAGTAAATCAAGTTTAAAGTAAACCAATTATCCATTGATGATATTTACAGTTAAAGTAATAATGTGTCATTCAATTGTGTTTTATTTTTTTACTGTTTTACACTTGAATGTCATATGCTTAAACCAGTGTTGTGGCATACTGATGAAAAGCTTCAAACTAGTGTGAACAAGGTTTTTCAGTACTCCTTAATTATTATTGACCCACTTTTTTCCTTGATACCAACTCATGATAATAATTTATCTTTCTCAATTTACAAAACTAAAATATAATTAATGAAGTTCAATGTACAATACTGACATATTTATTGTAACATTTCCAGTCATTCCAACTACTATGTAATTTTCTCTAAACGCTTGAAAACATAGTTTCGTTTAAATTGTTTGATTGTCGATAAAACATTCACTGTATAAATGACTTACTTTATAAGCTGAGGTTAAAATGATTACTTTATATGTTGTTTCTTGGCATTCAGATATTGTTCATCTCATGTAATCTACTAGTGAAATTATTTACGTAATTATATTGTAGAATAAAACGTTTTTTATCAGTTAGCTCATAAGTTGCGTGTATCGAATTAACTCAATAAGTTGAATAATCAAGGAAGTCTCTATTGTATTCTTATAATGAAGAAATAGGATAAATTACTGACAAATTTGTAACTATCCAAATTACATACACGTACAATCATTGACAATAAATCTGAAGTAAGTAAATAGTCAATAAATCAAAACTCTTTTGTCTTGTTGGAAATATGATAATCACTTCTTTTTTTATATAAATAAAGTGTTGTTATTTGTAATAGTGAAACAAATGCGCCCAATCGTTAAGTTGTTTAATGATAGATTTGAACTTTGCTTTACTGACATTGGTTTGAACCAATAGGGAATATCATTGTCCCTTAGACTGCAAGTATTCATTTTGAATACATTACTAAATTAAATTATGAATAACTGTGGTAAGTAAATAAAACTTCATTATTAACTGTTATTTAGTAGAAATGATCAATAATACAAATGTTAATAGTTTTTGTTACAAATTGACTTTGTTTGGCAAACAACTGAAAACTAATGTGGTTCACGTTTCCTACTTCAATCAGTCAGTTGATTTTTAAAAATAAATATGTTGTGTCATTAATGTATTTCAAACCTGATCATCCACAACCTCTTACTAGAAAATTCAGAAATTTCATTCAAAATTACTGATTGATGGATTCTTTCGTTAATTTTAATTAAAAATTCCAATCATATCGAATGCACAACTGTGGTGCGCGCTACTTATAAGTAGTATATGACGCGAGTGAAAACGTAATGTCTGGCAGCAGAAGATGGGGGAAAATGAAGAAAGGAAGAGTGGGAACACAATGGAATTTGTATGAAACTCATGAACAGTGAAATGTCAGACAATGGACTGATGATGGATTGATGTTTTGCAAATTAACGGTTTACGATATGGTTTTCCTATTTTACTGAGTAACTCTGTAATTTGCGATAAATACAATTCGGTTGCCCTCACCTGTGTTCTCCTTCACTACACAACTAGTGCGATTAACAATTTTACGGTCTATGGAAATGAAAATTATGAAGCTCTAACTAAATTTATGACCATTGTCAATACAATTTCCAATTTCATTAATATATATGTTAAAACAATTGATCGTTGTTGCTAATATTACATGTCTAAGATAATTTGAAAGGTTATTCAAAACTTGCCTTTTATTTAAATTGTCGAATCTTATTTCTAATATCTTTTTATAGAATATACACTTTAAATTTAGTAATGAGATGCTTGTAGGCACTCTGAAGCAAGGTGTACATGTAATCTTGGGTGAACGGAAGTTTCATGGTAGGTTTGACCCTGTGTTATTATCTAGTTTCACAGCTGGAGTCATTACTACTGGGCTACTCAGGCTTCTATTGATCTCCTGCAATTGACTGATAACTGATCAGTGACCTTTGTCATGTTCCTGTATTCATTTGTTCGTTCGTTCTCTTTAACTTGTCTAATCGGTAATAGAATGTTTTGCACACCTATCATTCATAGTTATTGTTTCTACTACTTTCTTAATAATAATAATAATAATATTTTCCCCCATATGGAGTCTTAATTTAACAGATATGAATGATCTTTGTTGTAATTTATTTGTTCTTTAATTAAAAAAAATCTATCGTTTTTCTTTTCATTAAACAGATTTCCCTGTACAATGGCTTGGGATTGAAATTCATTCTAGTTTAGCAATCACTTTACCTAAAACTGATAGTCCACGTAAGTTTTTTTTTTATAAATCTTTTGAATAAATAATACCATAATAATTTAATCAACAACTTGTAGACAATTTTAATATTCACTTACTGGTTTACTCAAATTTTTCTAATTGTAACAATTTGACAGTACTTTTAATCATAGATTGATATCAAACGGTGAAAATTGAACTGCTCAGTTATTCTGTCCCAATTTAAAATTTCATAATCCTAAATAACAGCAATTTCTTTCATTCATTCAGAAAAAATCAAATTCCAGATTCCTATTTCTCAGGCCGAGTACAATACATTTTTATATACCTTATGCTCAATATATCTTTCATCAAATAATATTTATTTGTAATGAGAATTTACCTATTAGATTGAAATGATTTTCTTCAAAACTACTACTAGTCAAATGAGTAGATAATTTGATTCAGTCTAGTTATTTGTTGAAATTTACTTGTGTGATAACGATGACGACGAAAACTAGCAACAAAATGAATATGAAAACTTTTCATTATCTCAACTATATTATTCACAAAACCATTATTGAAACACAACATAGTAATAACAATGTTACGACTTTGATTGGTCTACCTACTAATTGATGTTTTATATACAAAGAGAGATTAGGAGGTATTTTTCCCCAACTAGTTTACGATCTTCATGCTTTGAAGTTCTAAGTACAATCCTGAGACTTGTAACGCATCGGTTCCACTTGTTCATGGGCAACATTAACGGTAAATTTTAACCGAAAACTACCTGATCACTAATCAGTAGTGACCTGATTGGTTATTGAGCGGAACAAAACTAAATAGGAGTAATATGCAGATTTTGAATTAAACAATACAATATCATTTCTTCGTTCGTCTCTTTGAGTCAAATAGTAATAATAATAATGATAATAATAATAATAGTAATGTAAAGTTACGTTTTTCACTGTAATCGTTAGTCTTATGCTTTTTTTTCCAATGTTTATTTCATCCGTAGCAAAATTTTGTCGATTCTCTGGTCAACCGTTATCAGCTAATGGTTGTATGCGACGATTATGCAAATTTCGTCTTCATTGTCCAATTTGGCGTTTCACTTTTCACAAGATAATCTATGATAGTAACATAAGACAAAATATATTCAATTGTAAGAATGTCAATATCAGAAAAACTGATTATTTGTTGCAAATTAACGCTAATCGATTGGGTAATAGAATAGCAGATATTGTATGGATAACTTTAAAAACTTCACCGGACAAAGAGAGATTACTTCAACCGTCTATTTGTCGAAGACTGGCACGTAAGCTAAAAATCGATTTTATAGTATGGAAAAATGGCTTTTATTCTCTCTCTCTCTCTGTTATTGTTCAAAGCTAAAATAGTTATATGGAAATTGGTTTTCTATGTATTATTTGTTGGATATTATGATTAAACTTAATTATCGTTCCAACTTATAATTCATAGACTGATATCTTAAGTTGATATCCCACCGTAAATTTATTTTATTTCTTATTTTATGAGCTCTTAGTATGTAATTCGGAGTTACTTAACTCTGTTGCTCGCTGTCCATGATGTCTTTTATAAAGAGATTCACAATTTCGCATTGGAATTGATAACTAAAGTTGGAAGAAAAGTTGAGTTTCAGCATGACTCAAACGAATGACCTCCAAATTTTGAACATTTAACACATTTAAAACGTTGTCATATCATTTGTTTTCAATAATCAGTAATGAATGTTTCGTACTATGTTACAATTCAATGTACCATTCAAGTACAAATATCCTTGTAAGAACAGCTGAAAACAAACTATGAAATAAAACTAATCCTTATTATTCTATCCTAAATATTTTCTAAACATTATCTCAATTCATAAATAAAAGAAGCTAACTATATTTTGTCTGTTTACTTAATTATGTTTACTGTTGTCTCTAGTAATGAATGTTCAAACTTCAGCAGGTGTTCATTTTTCTCCATTCGCATCACTTTAATTGTATGACAAGTTTTTTTTAAATTATCGTAGAGAAAAATGTAAATTGTGAGTAGTTAAATGTTGAATTACATTTTATTCAATGATAAGTAGAAATTGGACAATAGTAAATACCAGTATTTTAAAAAGGTGATAACGACAGTGATTGTAAAATATGATGATATCAGATATATAGTACTTGCTATGTTTAAAATCATTCAGTGAATAGTCTGCATGAAATACCAGTATTTCATACGTACTGACTAAAATGTTTGAAATTTTTGAAAACAAACTAAGTTATATTCAATGCATTAAAAGTAATGAGCAAACAATACAACAGTGTTTTTATTAAGATTCATTAAAGCCGCAATGACGAGGAGGGTTACACTTGATCTTGGTATTCAAAACTGTCCAGATAACATGAACGAACTAGACATTTTGGGTTTTTCTTATTACAATCTGATGAGTTTAACTCACTATTAAGTTTGTCACTTTCTTTCTGAGACTCTTAAATATCTTGTTATATTATATGATAACAATTCACATGAAATATTCCCAGAATCATCATCATCTGAAGCAATTTTAAGAACCCCTGTTATAATATTATTTCTTAACTCGATTTACATTTGCATAGTTTAAATCACGAACTGATCTTAGCTACAATCCCATTAAAAACCTGGAATCATTGTACGGCCGTTTTGATGCAGTACGGGACTCTTCAGCAGTGCGCATCCATGACTTCCGCACGCAAAAATCGAACTCGAATCACGTTTGAATGCTAAACCTCTAGACTACTGAGTTCACATCCAAAGGTGTTAATGTTTAACTTTGATCATTCCACGATACTGGTCTAGCTAAGATCAGTTCTTGATTTCAGCTATAAAAATAACAAAAAACCTCCACATGTCCCTTATATTTATATTTACAAACAAATTTTATTGATGAATGATTCATTTCTATCATTTTCTACATTATCATAATAGAATTGAAGATAGTCAAACTTATATAACATTGCATTATAACACAGAAGGCAACAAAGTACAATGAGTTAATTGTATTCTGTTCTTGCTTCTTTTCAACCGTAAATAATGTGAATTTAACAGTTCAACTCTATCTCATTAATCGTTTCTTAAATTGGTAGTTCACTGTAGTTGTCATTTTCTCGGCTAACGTTATTTTTTACCCAGACTACAGAATGATCGTACTTAAGAAAAAAAGGTCAACATAAATTTTCTCATATGTAACAATGTTTTTAATAATTAAAACAAATTGCTTTGCTTTATATAGGTTGAAAATATAAGCATTTAAACAATGTGAATAATTTTTCATGGGATTAAGTTATCCTGGTTTACTTTTTTTTCTGGTAATTCATCGCCAATTTTTTGCCAATTTAGTATTGGCCAACATTAAAGGGTCATGATTACTAATAATAAACATTTGTTTTCCTTCATCCGATAAGTGTTCGTTATATCCAGCATTTCGGGGCATTTTCCCGTTTATTCAATACATAGGAGCTGTGTGAAAAATCTATTTTTCGCTGCGTATTTCACCTCAAGCCATAACTATCACCATATTTGCGTTGTACATTTGGAATTTCGGGATGCGCTACACTAACGTGTTCATAGTAGACAGCTGTAGGTAATTTTAGATGCTTGAAATGTAATCTCGGGTCGTAATGATTTTGTCACATGCCACTCTCACCATACTAAATGGATGAGAAATTATGGGATACCCTAAACTTATTGAACATTGAGATATAAGTATATATAAGTTCAACCATAAGTGTCTAAATAATGTTCAATTTACTACTTCTGCTAAAGTCTTTACTTTTTTTCTTGAAGAAAAAACCTTATTAAATAGGATTAGTCCGTATTAGTTTGTGTATGCTTAAAATTACATCTGTTATGATTCATCTATCAGCCACACACACATGTATCGATGATTCATTCATTCAAACACTGATCGTTTTTTAACTAAGCCGCCTACACATCGAAATAACCTACATTTTGAAAATTATCCGAAAAAATTTGTTACGTAGGTGAATAAGAAAATAAAAATTAAAAATGTTTTATTCTCTATAACATTTATCTTTTCTTTATATTTATGTAAATTACTTAACTTGGATTACAATATTGTGAGTGTAATAATTTTTTAATTTTTATTGAAAATCTACAAATACTAATTGATGTTATCCTAAGTCGATTATAATGCATCATTTAGAGAAATCAATGGTTTACTAAGTTATCATTTCTTATAAGATAGATTTATTCATCATTTGACCATGAAGTATACAATCAATCAATCAGAGATAAGATGGAAACTTCAAGCATCTAATGTAGGATTGAAATGAATTGGAACCACTAAAAGTCCATTAACTTTTATACCATATTTTAAAAAAAAAAATTGATCAAAGTGTTTTATTGAAATTTGAACAAGTAATTTAATGAAGGCATGGATGTAATGAATTTCAGTCTCAACATGTTTCCTGATATGAAAAAAAAATGCTCTAACCACATAACATGTTGATATAGTCAATATGATACCGAGTCACTTAAACAAGCGGTCGCATTGTAAGTCAACCAAAATAATTTCACCCGCTTGGCTTAAATTAATTCGTTCGTAGGCACTTTCAACCGTATTTCATGTTTCTACATATTCAAATTAGCAGTAGAACTATTTTACTTTGGTCAGTTATGTACCACAAGTAATGAAATGTAGTGATGCAATATCAGAAATCGATTGGATTTAAACTTATACATCATTAGATTCTGGCTCAGTTGTCTAGAAATTATGCGCTTTTACGCAAGACAGAATCTCCTAGGTTCAATCCTCTCTAGTCGAGTCGTGAAATAACACACCACCGAGAAGTTCTATACTATGACAAAACAGTGCTTTCTGGCTTTCAATGCTTATCTGTCTAAGATCTGTGAGTATTGTAATTCATAGAAATTTAGTTTGTTCTTTCATTCAAATTAAATTAAATGTAATTAGAATGGTCAATTTGTTTGGATCTCTTCTAATAATTATAACTTTATTTTATTAATTTCAGAAGCAGTATTTAGGTGTATATCTGTGAATATTGGCTTCAGTCGATTCTGGTTATATCATATAACTGTCAATAGTTTCATTAGACGTTTACTTCCGCATAAAGGTGAATTGAAATGGTTGATTGTTTGGATGCAACAGTTCAGTAGTTTGAACAAAACAAAATTTTTATTTCATCATAATAAAGACGTAATTAATTAATTAATTAATAGTTAACTGTAAAAAACTGAAAACAACTTTTCTCATCGAATATCATAAATAACACTAATTTATTTCCTAAACGATTAAAATAGGAAAAAAATTATTTCTGTTAATTGTCAACTACTAGAAAAAGCTAATGAGAATAATGGAATTCTTAATGTTGATATTTGTGTACAGTATATTTTTGAAATATACATCATGTTCCCTTGTTTTATTGTGTTTATATATATATATATATTCACTGAAACTTCTTTTTTCTTTTCGTTAAGCCAGTTTTTGTTTAATGAATATTTTCGATTAGTAGACAGGATATCATTTAAATTCCTATTTAAAATGTAGTTTGTAATGGTTTGGATTATCACATTGTTAGTATTTTTGATTAAACTTTGGTAGATAATCATTGTGTCCGATATGCCTCGATTTAGCGACTGTGAAAAAAAAGATCGTAAAGAATAGATGAATGCGGCTACATAGAGGCGATAGTGTTTTGCAGTCAAGTACTATGTTACGAAAAACTTCTAATATTATGACTTTATTTTAAAAATACGTTGTATATTACTAAATCATTGAAATTTTAATAACTATACAGTTTGTAAGCAGAGATGAATAGTGGCGCGTTTCGTTCTGTTTGCGGCCGATCAGCTGGATGTACAGTTTGTGTTCAAAAGATTGTTAAGAATCCATTCATCGGTGCCTATAAGAATATATGTGAAAATATGTAGTGAATAACTAATACATTTACTATATTTTTATTTTACATGGATGTAAGTCTGTCACAACGCAATACAAATGTATACTGCGTACTTCAAATCCGAGTTCTCTTTTGTATCTAGTCGAAGCTCTAAGTTTGCTATTTTGGCATTTCGTTAGACTATATCAAATTCATATCTGATATTGTGGTACACATGGATTTAAATAACATTGGAGAAATCGCCTATCAATGCGTTACCCAATAGGTTCGCAAGTGATGATGGTGCCCGTTTAATTGAAACAGGTTTCCACAGCTGGCTTACGGATGCTGGATGCCGACAATTATTAGCAACTCTGTGACATCCTCAGTCTAATGGATTAGCAAAGAATTTCATTTGAACATTCAAGAGTGTAGGGTGAATAGGAGATTTATTTACTGCATAAATAAATACTTTATATGACGTGATAATATGATACAGAATTCGTACTGCGTGCTTCGAGTTCTCCACCGCTCGCAGTAGTAACTGATACGGAAAGCAAAAATAAATATAAACCATCGTAATCACTTATTTTTGATGCTGGTGTGGTGGTTCTTATCAGAAAGTGGAATATAAGTGGTAGGTAGCGTGATGTTTTCTTAAAGTTGCTGCTAGACATGAGAAGGGAAAGATATCGAAATGCATAGCTTAATCAGTATAGTTTTTATATCGGAAGACATGTTTAGTGGTGACCGAGTCGAAATTGACTATAATCACCACTAAATACTAATTACTAGCCCGTCAATGAATTATAAGTAAATCCAGGGTAAAGAATATATTTAAAGGAGAAAGTGGGCGATATCACGAGCAGCAAGGTAAGAATGATGACAGCAAAGCAAAAACAGAAAGTTGCTCGTAAGCGCTTTTAGTACAGTTAAACAAAAGGAGTACAATATAAAATGTTTCCTTTTCACCGATCGCGTTGTCTTCGCAGAAGTATTCCACTACAGAGTGTTGACCGCCTCACGGATCTTGGGAGTCGCATCAGTGCTAATCGCCTAGTGTCTAATAAAATCCTGGCACGGATACACAAGGCTATACTGACTTTTGTCAAGTTGCTTCAACTATGGCGCAGGCGAGATATCCGTCTACTTTATAAAGGAGGACTTGTTGGTCGCCTGGGATGTGTGCAGATATTAATCGGAAATTGCAGGAACTTCCTGTTTCTTTACATAAACTGTAATAATGTAAACACAAATAATCTAGAAGGGTTAGAATAATGTAATGGTAATTTACTACCTCAACATAATAACTCACGGTAGTCCAGCTAAACGTTACGAATATCGTATACTACGAATCCATTTGGTTAACAAAACAGTTTTTACGAGAAAATGATTGTTGACCATCTTCAGGTGTTACAGCCTAGAGAACGGGCAATCAGACGGTAAAGATTCTTGAATTGAATGACCATTGTGTACACAGTGGACATGAAGGCCAAGTAAAGAATAATGGAGTAAGTGATTCTTATTTTAATTCTGACCGTTTTGTAGCTAATCCTAATTCTGTAGATAATTTACTATCATTATTATTTTTAGTGAATGAGTAGCGAACACAGAAATACTGGTAACTTTGGAATGATGAAATGTATTTAGTAGAGAAATAAGTGACATATTACATGCGTTTAGATGCTGACTTGACCATCAGCATAGGTAACTGCCGTCCCGTTACTGAGACATCCTCCACAAGAGTCTCCACCTTGACATCCACGACATCCACAACACCGAGGGCATTGAGGGCATGCACCAGAACAGCATGGACACTTTCCACCTGATTGCGGTGCTGGAGCTGGAGTTGCAATCCCTGAAAACCAAGTAACACAACATCACAATGTTACGTATTATATCGAAATTCACAGAAATAAACAAATCTCATCCTACACATAACCACTTTGAACATCAACGCACTACTACACTGATCAGTGTGGTTGACATACACTCCGATAACTGGTCAACCTGCACCAGCTTCATGTCATGTGGTGGTCAAGTGTAATCGACCAGCATCGAGTAACAAGAGACTAACCTGAATTTTGACATTCGAACGATACGACCAGTACAACTATAATGAGCAACATTAATATTTTAATGTTGCCAGTAAATCGCATTCCCCTTTGAACATAATGAGATCATGCGATTATCAATACTATTATTCACAAAATAAAACCACTTACGTGAGATCCAAAGCCATTATCATGCGACAACAAGTCGAACGAGGTTGTAGTAATCATCAAGTGCTGATAAAGTAACTAAGGGACACTTGTTATGCCTAATTATCCTGAATTTATTGAAGTTCACACACGAGCGTGTTTACCCCCTTCCCACGTCCTATTAGCCGGCACAAGCGTTCTACAATCAGCTTGATGACTGCTCGGGCACATGGTCTGAATGTTTCCGCATCGTATTGGGGACACTGCATTAGTGATGTTCCCTTACAGTTGGACGATCATTATTTGTAGATGTGTCACAAAATCATATCTGCCCACCTCTTCCTATCTATCTGAGTTTTAGCTTCACGCTTGCCGGTGATCGCTCGCGCCAAATATCAATATCTTCTCTTTGAGAGTGAGAGAGTTTAAGAAGCTCGATCTCTTGTAATCTGGTCAAGGAATTTGCTAGTCAAGCAAGTACGATTTCTACGATACTAATAGGCAATCCACTATCCAGACGTGCCAACATGAATGACCTAGGGATGCTTTATTTTCAATGTCGACCAAGTTAGTGGTTTTAGTGCTCACACACAGCTGGTCGATATAAACCGCCATTGTAAACTTGCCAGTCAAATAAATATGCATAGTGCCATGACTGTGGTCGATCCTGTGTGATCCTGAATAGCCGTAGTTTTTTTCTAAGAGGCGAATGCCTTGAGCATCAAGACTATGTCTGATAGAGTCAGGGAGACTGGTTCGAATTCGACATTTCTTCACGTTCAGAGTGATTCCATGATTTTGAAATCGTTGTAAACCAAGGTTCAGGTGCTGGGAATCAGATAACCTGTCTGGACTTGCACTAACGTAGTCACGATCATAAACATGCACAAATCTGAGACATCTAAAACTCTCCACGAAAGATTTCCGATAAGTTTGAGCAGTACTGCCGAGACCGAAAGACACAATCAGAAATTCGTAGATTTCTAAAGGAATGCTGATAGCTATTCAAAGAAAGAGTTTCGCAGCTTCAATCAAGTCGATTTTTGAAGAGACAGTCATGCTCTTCGAGGCAGCCGTTAATTCACGAATGCAAGTCGACGGATGACGATGGGATGTGGTTTTCGTAATTAGTTGTCGATCGTCATCAGTCGGACGTCAATCAATCAAACTGCACGATTTATGGACCAAATGTAACGAGGATTCCCATTAGCTGTTTGACAGCCGGATAATCCCTAAACGTTTCACATGGTCATATTCGTTTTAGTAAGACTTTGAATTTCTGGAGTTAGCCATCGGGCTTTTGATAATACAGATGGTCCAGTGGTCGTGGTATGGTGTGCAGCATTGCTGGTTACATTCGGAAACTGCTCTCGTGTTTGACACAGTTACGGGTACCTGTCGAGTAATGTTTGAAAGAATGGGCCACTTATGTATTTAAACGCGACTGGACATGATCTACAGAGACGGGGTGAAACTCCACGAACAGATAGCCTGCGTTTGCTAAGTTTTACCAGTGGGTTATAGTGTTGTCTCAAGCCTCTACCAATAATTAGCTTTGACACGTCTGCCAAGATAAAAAACCCAGTGAACCAGTTACTACAAACCAACGATGAGGTAAGCGAATTTTTAGCCATAGGTGACCATCAGTTTTCCATTCGCCATCTCTAAACCGCAGTTTTTGTTACTCGGAACGTCCGTGTGGTATGTTTTGTAGGTAGGGAAGCTGCAACGTTTCTTACACTTTCTTAAAGTTTAGCCATATACATTGTGATCAACACAACAATTCGAAATGTAAGGACAAAACAGGGAAACGAAAATAAAACCGCGATATGGAAAGATGTATCAATAAACACTACATAATAACAAGGGGGAGACTCACAATATTTCATTGAGTTTACCAGATCACATAGTGCTGACGAATGAATATGTGACTTATAGCTCGTCATTTCATACCACAAACAGAATATCAAATCAGTCCCCTCACACAATCCCAAACAGGTAACGTTCTCACCGTTTCCTCCAGGCTAACAACCTTTTATGTAAACTTCAGCACCTTATTTAATATGTGCCCTCCTAAATGCTGTCATCAACAAAATGCGTAGTCGGACAAAAGTTCC